CCTGTGGCTGGAATGATGATGATGATGAAATAGAATTCTTGATCCTGTCCATTATGAGTAGGCACCCAGTTACATGTTGGTATGAAAGTTAATCTCAAAATATAGTCTGATTAAAGCAGACATGTACGAGTAGGTACAAACCAGCAATGGATATGCTCGCAGAGATTCTATCGCCAGTCAAAGCCCACCTCGGTATTGGAAGCATTACTTAGTGTTGCTGTAATTTGTCCCGATATATCATTACAAACTGCACAACCGCAAGATATGCATGAATTGCATACATTTGTACGTACGGCTTGCATTCGCGAAACTGTAATGTCAATACCATGCTCTATTGTTCACGGATCAGAAACACGAACGATTGTGCTTATTGATTTACGAACAACTTAAACCTACATGATTATTTTATGTTAGTTTACACTATTATTGATGTAGGTACATCGATTGTTTAAGAAGGTCAACACCGTCTTCCAATGTAGAGTTTGGAAAAGTTGGCAAAGAAAAACGTGGTTGAGATTCCGCGTGTAGCAGTTGTTTTTTCAGCTGAAACTTGGTAAAAAGTGAATTACTTAGGTAATAGAAATAGTATGTTTTCTTGAACTTGTTCCTTAGATATCGTATATTTCGTGGAACGTCAACCCAAGTTTATGGAATTCCCAATCGACTTGATGACGTTTTTCGGAAAGAATAATTTTTCGGCCAATCCAAGAACCCCAACAGAAGCGATGATATATTGCGACATTTAAGTCAGTCAGGCTTTCAGTTTTATAGGTAGTAGTAGATAGATTGTCCTGGTGTTTGTGCCATACCCCCATCGCAACTAAACGCTTTTTAATTTGAATTTGAATTCCTACTGGGAGCAAATGTTATCTTGATTCGCACTTGCATTTATTCCTGGATAGGAGATATGGAATTTTGTATCTTTACCCCTTACCTATACTCGTTAGTTGATTGATATCTATCACCTTCAAGATAATATGCTTAGTTTGACGCTTGCTAATTGGAGCATTAAATCAAATCAATTTATTTACTGTCGTAAGCATAATTTCTTGAAAATATGTGTGAAATGCTTTGGCTGTTGCATGATTCTAGAGAACTGAAGCTACACGAATAAAAAGGAAAGCTAACGTGCCGAATATCACACGCAAAATAATAAATAGATAAATCGGTATTATATTCCGGATTTCAATCATTTCACTTTTTGCACCAATCGATTCTAATGTAAGAGAAGGAAAGTCTTTATTGCATAGGTAACTACATAATATTTACTTATAATATACATAATTATTATGTATCGATGTACGTCTCTCTATAACAATACGTAAATATAAAGTTCACGAATTAGTTAAGAGTAGCATTAGTGAGAACAAGAGTCTGGTTATATGTTTGGCTGTCCCATGATCAGACTGAGGCGCACTAATTCACGTTTACCGAAAATGACTCCCAGAAGACGTAACCTATTAAAAATCGCATTATATTTTGACCCTAGCAATAAACCGACTGATATAATAACATGATTTACCAAGATAATATCATAAAAGCATATCTGTATTTAACCACATTCATTAAATCAACGCTGAATACCATTACAGATAAAACAAACCGGTGGCAGTAAATAAAATTAATCTGCAACATCTCACAATATTACCTACTTAATTACGCAGTACGGATCAAGTAATTACTTTACTTGGCCACTTGATTATCTTGCGACAAATAAGTGAAATATCGTCCCACAAATTTGAGTCAATCCAAGATCTGGCTCCATAATTTACTCCGTCCGGTCCGAATCCGCATATCTGAATAGCAAATGCACTCATTACTCGATCGATTGCACACAATAACCTGTAATCTGTATTGGCCGACCTTTCAATAAGATTGACCCACATTTTGACCTTTTGCACCACACCCAAAAACCTTAGATAGCCAAGTGTTAGGATTGGTTTACATGACTGAATCATAGGACTGAATGTATTTTTCGATGGTGAATTTTCAAGCTTTGGGTATTCTAAACCCATACTTTACTAGGTAAATAAGAAAAAAAACAGTCAAATTGAGAACCTCCTCCTTTTTTGGAAGTTGATTAGTTAAGTTCACGAACACGAACAGTAAAATCCGTATCCTTATCATCATCTCAAGTTATTGTCGTCATTTATGTAGTTAGGCCTATATTATATCTGAAATCGATTCTCATTTTGCAATAGGCTATTGTGCTTCGACTTTAGCATCTTTCATCCGACCTGTGTGCTTACCATGAGTTTGTGTGAGGTGTGCTCGCTAGTGTGTCGCTAGCGACTGCGTAAAAAAATGACATTTAAATGTATGACATATTGTGCAGCGCCCCTAGCGGCTACTTTCAAGAAATACAATCTTCATAGAGTTTTTTGACGTTCTCGCTAGCGAGCACACCTAACGTAAACTCATGGTAAGCGCACTGTTCTTGTCTTTTTTTACTTGAAAGTTACCCCTGGATGAGTTGATTGGCAGCCTTTTGTCAATCTGATTTCAGTTTCTAACGTTGATCACTACTAGTATTATAGTTCCACTAGATGGAAATGCCTTATATGTATAGCTTCTTTCTTTTTTTTTAGCATTTCGGGACTTGGAGTCAAAAATACCTAGTCCGATAGTCCTCTCATATTTTATGACTGGTTTTCTAACATAGGAAAAGTGTTTTAAAAGTAACTTTAAAAAATCGAACGGCCTAAGGTGGGATTTCGAAGATCGAAGAGAAGATTTAAAGTCGCCACTCGAGTACCTGAGGCGGAAAATAATGTGGTGGCAGGCCTTTATTCAAACCATCATAGCAAATGTTGTGATAGGGATAAAGACATGTTTTTGGTTTTACAAAAGTAATACGATAGAAAATAACACAAAGTAATGTTAGAGGGGCATTTTTTGCAGAAATTTATCAAATAGCCAAAAAAAACACGAATTTTAATGCAGATTATTTTCAAAAAGTATATTTTTTATTATTTGTTGGCATTGTCTGGGTATTTTATGTATTTTTAAGTAGGTATCGCCTGTTATTTAGCATTATTACTGTTTTTATTTTATCAGGATAGGTATTTTTTGTTATTTTTTTCGTCCATAAAAATAGGTCTAGTTTCACCTATTTTAATATGTGCACTTTATCAAGACTCACACTATATCTTTCTTTTACAACAAGGTTTGCGACATGTAATCCCGGTGCATTATGGTGTCTCGACCACACAAATTTTAACTCAATGGCTGTTGCAACATCAATAATGTCTCGAATTCTATTTGAGATTACCTTCCGTGAAATATGGGTTTGTCAAAACCTTGAACAGGGTGACTTGGCGAAAAGCAAAGGTAAGTAAATTGAAATAAGTTTATCTAGCTCACGGCGCGGACGCACGCACTCTAAAAATAATTTACGCATTGAGTTTCAAAATAAAAATTATTAGATCATAATGGCGACTTTAAAACTTTTACAGGCTAAACTTTTAAAAATACTTTAGCTATGCAACCATACTGTTATTGAGTGTAACAACATAGTAAATGTATCATAACAAAACGCAGTTTATCAATATTATTGAAAGATTTAGGGCACTCATACCTAGGTAATTTTCAATTTAATTACAAATACCTACATAAGTAATTTGTATCAATCGATTAAATTCATGTTTCTTAAGTTTAAAGCAATAAAATTGCAATTTAAAGCAGGCCATAAATCTCTGAATGTTAATTGGATGAGGACTAGGTGTCGAATTCCAGGTGGCCAATAGGACAATGGGTTGCAAGAAAGGGTAATGAATTGCTTTATGGATGTTTTCATAATTTCGATGCTTAAAAAATCATGTTATGGGCGACGGTAATCACTTACCATCAGGTGACCCGTCTGCTCGTTATCCTCCTGTCACATAAAAAAAAAGTCCGGAAAGAAAACTAAATTAATGGACAATGTATCTACTCTAGATATGTAAAAGTCCTGTGTTTTTGCAACAGCAGTATTAATATCTGCCGAATGTACTGACCAAGTACAAACTAAGATATGTGCTTCAGACGACGATAGACGAGATAAAATATTGACGGTTTTACTACATAGTTTTTGAAGTGTTACCATATGTTTTGTGTTTTTTACTGTAAGTTTAGCATCTATAGCACCTTTTAATAGTTAAAAAAAAAGTTGTGAGTGGGCAGTCCATCATCCTATACAAAGTTGGTCACCTGAAGCGTGGGTCCTGCTGGTCTGAGCCCAATTCGTAACTCGAATGAAAAAAAATACTGATATTTTCAGACCGGATGAACGACAAGGAAGATCAAAGACGAAATACAATGATTCTGCTGGAAGCGACAACGGATATTGTACATAAATAAATACACAGACCATAAAAAGCTAACGTGAGCCTTCCAAAATCGGAATATGTTTTGTCTTTTGCCGCGTTTTTGCGAACGAAGAACGAATCGAATGAAAAGATCAAACTTCAAACCGAGTAGTAGAGATGTGTATAATTTACCATTAAACGGTACCGTTATTGATAACGTGTTATTAATTTACACAGATTTATTTACATAAACATTATCATCATTGTATCTAATCGTAACTGGTTGCTCTCCCCATTTATAAATTATTTATTTTATGTCTATAACTTTAAATGGTTACGAGTCTAATTACATTTGAACATCCAGACTATAATTGAATTATGCTTCTTTTTAATTTTCATTTTATTTATTAATTTAATAGGCTGCTTTCTGACACACATTAAAGAATGAAACGTTACTATTCTTGACCAGAGCCCCGATTACGGTAATTTTTAACGTCAACAATCCAGACACGCTTCTCGATTCTGCGATACGATTGGTCGTTCAACAGCGTACGTCAGCTGTTTTGATCAATCGTATTGCAGAATCAGAAACGCGTCTGGATTGTAGACGTTAAAAGTTACCGTAATCGGGGCTCAGCAAGACATTAGGTAATTAAATTACCAGTACAATACCTACCTGCAGTTATTAAGATAGCCAACACTAGCACTTGTTGACTTTCCGCTCATTCTTTCGTAAATTTGTAAAAGTGTTCAGTAAATTATTACCATTTTACAACATTTATATCATTTTTGTAGTAAGTACCGTATTGTGTTATTATTATGCTAATGATTTGTTTAACCGTGGCTGTTTAGACGTTTACTAATATCAGCACTAAGATACACACCAATCTATTTTAATCTAAAGCAAAAATGCAGCTACGATTGACCTTCATTTTTTGTAATAGCAGTCAAGTTTATAAATAGCTGGCATAACAAACCGATGTTCCTAAATCAATAAAGTTAATGTTATTGAATCGCGACTTAAATACACAGACCATAAATAAAATATAAATAGTGCTAGCAAATGTTTTTTGCGCTCTTTTGGTGATTATATTAGGTTCTTTTTATCACTAGTACCTAAATGGTAGACGAACGCCGTTGAAATATTTGTCGGCAAAAACGCAAACTGAAACTCACTATCCACATTTGATATCATTTTACTAAGGAGGGGTGTAAAAGTTCAAATTTTTACCAACCTATTCTTACTACACCTTTTATACTAAACTAATCATGAACTTTTAAATTGTTTCCAGAAATAAGAGAATAAGATGAGCACAAAAGAAGATGAGTTACAACCTCTTGGAGCTAAACACCGATATCACAATCAATTGGTCAAAGAAGCAATCGAAAATAACTACACAGATGTAAATACAGGAAACAACGATGTGAATATATTACTGCAAATAGATATTGCAAGCCAAAACAGAAATGTTGATTACATATTGGATATTCTTAAAAGTGATGACTTGCTCCACGTTTCCAGAGCAATCAAAAAAGGCACATGGTTAATTACAGATAACAATTATGCTAATATAATCGATCCTGAGTACTTAAAATGTCATTTGTTTCCAAACATGTCTGCCAAAGCTCAAAATAAATTGCTGAAAAGCATCAGAAACAACTTAAAAGACGAAAAAAGGGCTGAAAAGTTTTACAGCGTTGAAGATAATGTTGAAGCCGCTCTGAAATGGCTACCAAGTTGTTCTATACCTTTTATAGAGATTGAAGTTACTAAGCATTATAAAAATATTAAGAAACCTCGACTTTTTAAAAGACTTTGCGAGCGATCGATCAATATTTTAAACCTTTGCCCAAAAGGCGACCTATCTAAGGAAAAGATTGATGCAGTGAAATTTGTGCAGAAAAAAGATGTCACCACATTCTTAAATGCTATAGAGCAAATGAAACCCTACGAAACACTAAAACTGAATAAAAAGACAACCAAACTACTCATGACGCAATGCCCAAATAACATTATTGAGAATTTTCATAAATACCAGGCATATCTTGACAAAGATACTTTTTCAAAATATTTGAAGCAAGATAATATAAAAGATTTCATATTTAAACAAGCAAGTATGGCGCACAGCTTTGAGTCGTCTTTCGGTTTAAGATTTGAATGGCTACAGCATTTCATTCAACGTATGCCACAAGAAGAACGTTTTGATTTTGTCAACAAAGTGTTTATTAAGCAAATACACAAATCCCAGGGATCAAACTTTTTACCAGATTCCGAAACAGCACATGCGAAAATCTTATTCGATCTTTTTCATAATAGAAATTATGAATGGTATAAGTTTGCTCCGTTTGAAATTGCATTCGACGAATTCAGGCGCCGCCCGTCATGTGCCGAAGATAAATACGACTTTCTTAAACTACTAATTAAATGCTGTGGTAGCAATCAGTCACATTTGCAGTTTATCTTAAAATATTATCGTGATAAACACATCAACGATAGTTACGATTCCAAAACAAATTTTGTAGATGAGATACTTTCAGAAACTAACATTTGCCAATATAATGATGAAACTTGGAGTATTTTAGACGACTTGTTTAAATCAATGGGCGTTTATTCTGAATCTGATGATGACTCAATTAAATATATTGAGACGATCATTGTGCGTAAACTTATTAAAAATGAGCCTATACCAGAACTAATTGAAAGAAAGTTTGTCTACAATAATACTCTTGAAAAGTTTAGTATTAAACTCAAACAGGATGAGCAATTCAGGATTTTTAATTTTATATTCAATCACGTCTTTCAAAAGGCTGATGATTTCAATAAAATTGAAAATGAGGAGCAATTTAGCTTGATAGCTGAGTTACTGAAAAACGTTCTGGAAATATTGAAGGCTTGGCGTAAATCAATGGATGACTACCCGTTCGTGGTACAGAAAATTAAAGATCTGATTAAAATTAAAATGGAACACTTGTGGGACTATGATCTTTCACCTTTGTATAATGTACACAAACCTTGGAAACGCCTAATGTTTGAAGAATCTCTAATTTTAGAACCATCTGAAAAAGTTTGCATTAATTCTCTCAAACATGATCCAAGGCTACTTGCACGATATGAAGATAAAGTGGATAATTTGCTAAATGACAGTAAATTGTATATGAAGAAATTTCTTAGCAAAATCCGCATTTACTGGCCGGAATCAGTGGCTAAGAAATATGTAAATAAACATTTACTCCACCTAGAGCTGCCCACTAACCACAATGTTGTGGTTCGCAATCTTTGTACTCTAATGCCCCAAACAGATATTTTGGAGATGATAAATAAGTACGTCCCGAAAGATGCTAAAATTAATTGGGACGAGGAAGACGGTTTGATGCTAAGCATCCGTAGACACATTGCTATAAACATGCATTTTGCGCGCCCTCACCCTCCAGCCAACGTGATTCTTGAATACGCAAAGGGTGACTACCTCCAGTATGCTGTGCCGTCCGTCCTTGCCATATTCTACAACATGAAGCCATTACTTTTCCCACAACAAGTACAAAAACTGTTCAATTCACCTGTATCCCTTCAGAAACTTGGAATACGTTTAGCAATCACAAAACTGCACAATGAAGATTTAATCAAAGAATTTCATAATCTTTGGTCTAACACAAAAAATAGTACCATCCGCTCCGTCATCTTTCAGTTAACGCTCAAACTTCTGTGTCGTCAAAAAGATGATCGTACAGTACAAGAACTGTGGAATCTATTAGAAATGTTCATTGACAATCTAACATACAAAGAGGACAAAGTTATTTATTCCCTGATGTATAAAACAGAAAGTATACCTATTTTAATCAAACCAAAGTTCATAGAAAGAAATTATATATTTTTCGAATCATATCTTGCACAGCCCGATACGAATGTTGATGAGTTTGAACGATATTTTATGGAAGAAAGATTGATTCTATACGCTGAAGATGTAATGGAAAAAATTAACGAAGATTTTATCATCAGAGTATTGAAAAAGCTAATCGATCTTAAATTCTTCTGTAAGTCGCCAGACGCAAAGCGACCGCGTCGTCATTATATAAATCCATGTAATGGGATAATATCTTTATTGTCTGTGTATTTACTCAAAGCTAAAGATGAACAAGATCAAGAGCGTAAATACAAATCTACATTAATGCCTATACTACAGCGTGCCCTAGGAAAACTAAAAGAAGAATATCAATGGAAGGAGAATATAAAAGCGCTACTTGACTACCTGCGAAGTAATCTTGAGAAGTTCGCACTTAATAGTAATGTGGTCTCCCCTTTAAAACTGTTTTCAGACATCAATGACGAACTACAAAGGTCCCTGAAGGTATCAGAACACTACACCCTTTTGACTAAATGGAAATTGACCGTCGAGTACTTGAAAAATTTGGAGCCAACTGTGTCTGAGGATGACAACCAAACAGTTAAAAACACCTTGAACACAGACGGTTTGGCACGAAAATGTCTTGAAATGCTGAAGGAAGATGTTGAAAAATACTTTCCTCGTATTTATATCATATTTCATAAAGCTTTTTTCGAGACTTTGCAAGAACTTTGCAACAATGAAGAGCAAATTAAAATTTATAAGAATATGCTTACGGACATAGACTTTGTCCCGGGTTATTTAACCATTATTAAGATCTCCCATAACTTTGTTGATTGTGAAAGAGACGGGCAATGGGATGAAATACTGCATCTCTTGCAAGAACATCCATCAACTGAAGTAAAAATGCATTTCAATTTTTATTTTAAACAAATGAAAGATTATTATTGTTAATTTAGAAACCATTAAACGTATTTTTTTCTTTTATAATGACATTATTTACATTTAAATTAAACTTTGAACTTGAATTTGTATAATTTTTTGGTAGATAGGGGAGACCTAGGAGAGTTGTGACAATTTTTACTTTAGGGGCCATATCTCGCTCAAAAAACATTCCACAGCTATGAATCATACAAATTAATGTAGCACCGTTCCTTCTGTTTTCAAAAGAATCACCAAAGTTAACAAAAGTATTAGGGTTTCTAAGAAAATCACCAAAATCTTAGACCACTCCCTCTGTCACAACTCTCCTAGCACCGAGGTAAGTTGTGATAGCATTGTATTTCATCTATTAGGTATAAAAATACCATAATACTCAATCAAATATTATTTTTTAGCAAAAAAGTACTTTAATCATCCTTTAGTAACAATTAAAACAAATAGTTATAGGATATCGCTACGCAGATTGAGCCACATTTCTCCAGCTTTCATTTTGTTCCCACGACACTGGATTTTTTTTAATTACTTATATTTTTTAGCTAATATAGTCACTTAATATATTTTCGTCGTCTTCTATAAAAATAAAAGAGTCTCGGTGGTATAATCCATAGACGGAGCTTCGCCTTCTGGGTTTACTTGATAAGCCTCTTTCTTCTTAACATAAATCTTGACAAGTTTAGATTGTAAGAGGTCGCAGCACATCTTAAACTTTAACCCTTTTTAACCTAATCACGTCTTCATAAGCCAGGTCCTATATTTCGACTCCAGCAAGCAGTTCCTCTATATGGTATTCATGTATAGTCATTAGGCATTCAGAATCAAAAAAGTAGCAGCAGGCAATTATAAAAATTAACTTTGAACCTTCTAACAGACAAAAAACATCTAAAAACATCGTGGAAATGGCCCATCAGAAAAATTAAGTAAGCTAGGAGAGTTGTGACAGCCTGTCACAACTCTCCTAGGTGTTTAAAATGACGACTTGGTTCGAATAATAATTTTTATTTTCTAAACACGATGCGCACACAAAATATCTGTGCTACATTTTGAGACTTGAATAACCATGCAACTTGAGAAAAAATAACACAACAGTGCACATATACTAAAACATGATTTAAATTGAAATAAAATTTTGACGAAAAACTTACTTTTCGCATTTTTTTGTACACAGACGTCATATTTACGTAACCGTGCCTCTTGCGCCGCCCGCAGGTACTTAGTCAAGAAGAGCGTGTTAAAAGCGACAAACAAGCGTTTTTTCCAGCTTCCTAACTATATTAAGTAAGGAGAAATCGTCCTTGTCACAACTCACCTCTGTCACAACTCTCCTAGGTCTCCCCTATTATGTTATTCTTCGGCCGTTTGGTGTAGTGGTTCGGTACCTCTAGTAGGAAAAACTTTCGAGTTCGTTTCGTTGCGTATTCAAAGTGTCATCGAAAAATTTTGTATGAAAAATTAAACAGCGCCCCCTATATTATAGCCGCCCTAGGGGGCGCTGTTTAATTTTTCATACAAAATTTTTCGATGACACTTTGAATACGCAACGAAACGAACTCGAAAGTTTTTCCTACTAGAGGTACAGAACGAACTACTATGCCGAGAGGTCCCGGGTTCGATTCCCGGCCGGGCAGAAATTGAAATGATGAATTTTAATTTCTGTGACGGGTCTGGGTGTTACTATGTATAATATGTATGTATTTAAAAAAAAAAGGATATAAGTAGTATATCCGTTAAGCTAGCACCCATAACACAAGCATATTAATTGCTTAGTTTGGGCACAGAATAAGTAATAGTAGCTAGATGGCGCTGTGTGAGATTGTCCAAAGATATTTATTATTTATTATTATTATTCTTGTTTCACTGTATATTTCACGAACAAAATAAAATAAAATAAAATAAATAATAAGTTGTTTGTTTTGTTTGAATTGAATGTGTAGTGTGAAAAGTATTTAACATACTTTTCACACTACATAACTAAATAAAAAAATGTGAAAAAACTTGCATTTACTTTTCAGAACGAATACCTTTTTTAGCATTGTGAAAAAATAATTGGTAAACACTATGGTAAACACAGTAATCAAGTAATGTTACCTATGTGGGTTTTGTGAGAATATCAAAGAATAATTTATATTATTGATGTTGATTTAAGAAATTCTATAAAAAATATCGTGGAATGCCAATCCATCTATGCTATGCATTTAAACGTTGTTCCAGGCTTTCAGCAAAGCATACGATATCTTGCACGGCGTCGGTGGCGTCGGCAAATCTACTTAACTTCACGATAATGTCATAATGTTGACAAAATAAAGTATCTAATATCACAGATAATATAATACTAGTCTAATACCCTAGACCAGCGGTTCCCGAAAGGTGGTCCGCGGAACCCTGGGGTTCCGTGGAAAGGCCGCAAGGGTTCCGTAAAAAATATTATCCCACGTTTTGTGACCGATGTTGTTCGCGCGCACCGACTTGTTTAACGCACAAGGGGCGTGCGGGCGGAGTAGTACGGGGGTTCCGCTAGGAAAAGTATAATCATTTAGGGCTCCTTGGCATAAAAAAAAATTGGGAAACCCTGCCCTAGACAACTGTTCATAAAACCGCATAATTTAACAGAGTTGTAACTAAAACAATATTATGTTAAGGCTCAGTTGCACCACCTAACTTTGACCGTAACTATAACGTTATCCGATGTATTTTGTATGGAGTTTGACAGGTTTTTGACGTTTGTCAAAGTTAAAGTAAGATGGTGCAACCCAGCCTATTGTTTTGAGTTACAACTCTGTCCAAGGCCAAGATTCAACAGGTTCTCCTAACGTTTCCTCTCTTTTACTCTTTACGTCTCTATTATTTCTCTCGCTCTACGCTACGAACGCACGAGACTGGTCGATCTGGACCGATCGATATGTCCGAGACGCCGCGGCGCCGGCGCCGGTCTTGTTGCAAAACAGTCTGCTTTGTTGATAAAAAATAACTCTGTATGTGCAAATACCAGCTACTTCCACGGTTACCAAGCACGGAGACCATCTCATTGGAATCACATAGAAGGCTTAGATTAATTTGATCTAAGATAGAAGGTAAGATTTTAAGAATTACAAATTATTATGCAATGTTTTTTATTCCGGCCTATTCAACGGAATGACGTCAAAAAAACTTATTACTCATCAAATCAGTTTACAAAACTCACTTGCTTGGCTTGTTCAAACGTAGGTACCTACCTACTTACTTACTTACCCAACCTTATTTCCAACTAGCTTTTGCCCGCGGTTTCACCCGCGTGAAATTTAGTTTGTCACAGTTGGTCATAAATTATAGCTTATATGTTATTCTGGGCTATAAACAATAATACTGTAAAGTTTCACCAAAATCCTTTCAGTAGTTTTTGCGTGAAAGAGTAACAAACATCCAGACATTCTCATTTATAATATTAGTAGGTAGGATAAAAGTTAATAAAATATCTGTTGACGTAGGTAATGGTCTTGGTATAGTCGTTCGTTTCAGCGAATGACGTCCACTGCTGGACAAAGGCTCCAAGGTTTTCCACAATTAACGGTCCTGCGCTGCCCGCACCCAGGCTCTTCCCGCGACCTTCACCAGATCGTCGGTCCACCTAGTAGGAGGCCTGCCCACGCTACGTCTTCCAGCCCGTGGTCGCCACTCGAGAACTTTTCTGCCCCAACGTCACAATAGTCACAAAATATAGGTAACTACTTAATCCTTTGAAATTGCCGTTTTGTATTTTTTTTAACAAATCAGTTCTTTATTTGTAAAATAAAATTGTGTCTTGATAGAATAAGATTACATTACGAATGCAATGTGATGATAACATTGAGCAACCTGTATGACCTGTAGCTGCACTATGTTACGATAATAAAAAAATTGCAAATTGCGTAGTCTGAGGAAACAGGTAAAATTACGTATTTTTTCACGTAGTTAGGTGAGTATTACAGTAAAAACAATGTTTTAATCTATCCGCCTAGGGTGCCTAGAACGAAAAGCTAGGTGCTTAAAAGGTTGCAGTGTTACCACTTGAAAACAAAAGAATATAACACTAACACCTCGGCCTTGGCCAGTTTCCATTACATCAGTCATTTTTTAAAGTTATTCAATACTACCTATATTTTTTAATTCTGATAAAAACTGGCCATGTCAAATCTAACCTCCTTAAAGTCTCAAATTTTTAAATAACAGCAATATTATTATACAGTGTGAGTCACGTTAAAGTGTACATATGAACATAGATGAAACTAGACATATTTTTATCGACAAAAAAGAGGTCAAAATTTTTTTGAGATTTTTTTTAAATTTTTTATCGAATTTTTTTTCTTCCAATTACTTATTGTAAAGAAAACGTAATAACTTTTAAACTAAGCGGTATATCCTGATAAAATAAAAACAGTAATAATGCTAAATAACAGGCGATACTAATAAAATACATAAAATACACAAAAAAGGCCAACAAATAATAAAAAATGATACTTTTTGAAAAAAATCTTCTTATAAATTCGTGTTTTTTTGGTTATTTGATAAATTTCTCTAAAAAATGCCCTTATAACCGGTGGTTTTTATTACTTTGTATTATTCTCTATCGTATTACCTTCGTAAAACCAAAAATCGCATGTCTCTATCCCTATCACAACGTTTGCAATGATCGTTTGAAGTAAGCCTCACCCGGCGCGCCATTCAACGCTTCGTTAACAACGAAACTGAAAATGGCTCTAGATTTGTAATTTTGATTAAGACAATTTAGATTTCAAATAAAAACAACAGATTTCGAAGTAAAATAAGCATTTTAGTTAAAACTAAAATCGTCTCTACCTGTAGCGGAGAATAATGTTGTGGCAGGCCTTTGTTCAAACGATCATAGCAAATGTTGTGATAGGGATAGAGACATGCGATTTTTGGTTTTACAAAGATAATACGATAGAGAATAATACAAAGTAATAAAAACCATCTGTTATAGGGGCATTTTTTGGAGAAATTTATCAAATAACCAAAAAAACACGAATTTAAAAGCAGATTTTTTTCAAAAAGTATCATTTTTTATTATTTGTTGGCCTTTTTTGTGTATTTTATGTATTTTATTAGTATCGCCTATTATTTAACATTATTACTGTTTTTATTTTATCAGGATACACCGCTTAGTTTAAAAGTTATTACGTTTTCTTTACAATAAGTAATTGGAAGAAAAAAAAATCTATAAAAAATAAAAAAAAAATCTCAAAAAATTTTTGACCTCTTTTTTGTCGATAAAAATAGATCTAGTTTTATCTATTTTCATATGTAGGTACACTTTAACGTGACTCACACTGTATTTCTCTGAATGGGATTAAAATATAGACCAAAACTAAAAAGACGATGAAGTCTTGTCTTTTTTAAATCCATCAAAAAATGGCTGAGAAATTTATTATTTAAATTACCTAGGTACATCATATTATTTTCGCGTGGAACTCAAACATAGGCGGTGCCGTGATGTCACGCCACGCGTTCTAGTTTCAAAAACAATGCTTACCACCCTTGCGTTGTCGAGAATAATGAAACTAAAGTCAAAGTCTCCTTTTTTTACTAAGAAAGCATCTTGAGACACCCTGGCTGAAAAATTAAAATCTACTAGATTTAAAAAAAAATGGAATTGGATATTTTTTTGTCACTTCTTTTTCAGTTATTTTCCAACACAAGAAAAACCAGGTCGTTAAAGTATGATTAATGTATTTGCATTGTATTATTAGTATTTGAGCTATTCTACAAAACGAATGTAAATTTATTAGTCTACGTTTATTAGTTTCGACGTAATTGTTGAACAAAGATACCCCTTCCCAGCGGTTCCATAGCGCGGCTAGTCGGAATAGGTTGTGTGATTCATTCAGGCAGTTATTTTAACAGCGAATTAACCTTCATGGTCAAAAAGTCGTGAAATTACTGACTTTTTGGAATCTTTATAACCGTTTGAGCTAGTTTCATGAAAGGGCATCTATGTGTACTTATAAATCGGTCAAAACCACTTTTGACTGGAAAAATCAGTCAAAAGTGGTTTTGACTGATGCTCTTGGTTAATATCACTTTTGATTTGACTGATATTTCCAGTCAAAAGTGGTTTTGACCAAGGGCGTTAGTCAAAACCGCTTTTGACTGCAAAAAATCAGTCCGGTTTTTGCCATTAATTTGGCTACAGAACCCTAAAAACATGAAAGTGTCTATTTTAAAGTTTATTATTTCATACTTACCTACTCAATAAGCGTAGGTAATAGCTTATTCGAGGGGGATTGTGATTTGTTTTTTTTATTACGTAAGAGTGACAAATATTTTGTCAGGTTTTAGTAGGATAAGACAGTTTATTGAACTAATTGAAAATTATTTTGCAAGTAGGTACATGTAGGTGGTTGGTCCTACTTCTATAAATGAAAAATCTTCTTTCTTTTTCAGGCTTCAACATGGCATCAGTGGTGTTAGAGGGTGAGAACCTAGGAGAAAGGCATCGTCACTTCAACAGCTTAGTGAAAAAGGCCATTGCCGATCAAACTGTGTTGGAACCCATCAACTATGACGACCCAGACGTCGACAACCTTTTTAAGATTGACGTCGCCAGCACTACCAGAAATGTGGAGTACGTACTACAGGTCCTGACATCCGAAGACATGCTGTACGTATCTAGGGCAATCAAAAAATGCACTTGGCTCATAACCGATGACCAGTACGCTCACATCATCAACCCTAAATACCTGAAAGATGAACTTTTCCCAAAAATGACCTCTAAGGGTAAGAGCAAATTGATTCTCGCCATAAGACTCCATCTACGGGACCCAGCACGCGTTGAAGCGTTCTACGAATTCTACGCTGACGACTTGCAAATAGCTCAAAAATGGCTCCCATACTGCTCTCCAGAATTCATAGAAAACATCGTTTCGAAGCACGCACGCGAAATCAAATCTCAAACGTTAAAACGCCTGTGTGAAATTTCCTTCAAGTACTTCAAAATATACGCAACAGCTGAAAACACCGGATATTTCAGACAAGACCACCTCAAAATTACAATGTTTCTATTGAACGATCACACTGAAGAATATCTTGACATCATAGAATCGCTCAAGAAATATGATGTCCCAAAATTTAAGAGCAAGGCCACTGAAACAATAATGCGGAAGTGCCACGACAGAATCGTAAAAAACTTCGTGAATTATGCTTTCTGCATCCACCTTCCTACTTTCGCCAAACATTTGAAGAAGGAGATAATTGAAGATTTTCTAACTCAGCAGGCTGAAAATAAGAAAATGAAACATTGGGTTAAATTCGAAAACATTAAACACTTCGTTCAATACTTACCGATTGACAGGAGGTTCGAATTTGTTAGGAAACTATTCATTGATAAAGAGAAAGAGGAGAATAAATCGGATACTGTAAATCTAGAAGACGACGCGTTTTGTGACGACGGTGGAGCACAACCTCGCATGCAACTTTGCAGCATGAAGTTGTCATCATCAAGGCACATCTCGGCTAGCAATGCTCATATTTACCGTTGGTATCGCTTTGCTCCATTTGAATCGGCTTTTAATGATTTGAAAAAGTTGATTCGCGCCGAATCAAATCCTGCTGAACGCACTGCTATGCTGTCAATTCTATTACATTGCACCAGACGCAATCCACGACATATTCAAACTCTCTTGCAATTTTATCGCGAAAAGCATATTAATGAACCTTTTAAGTTCAAAGTTCAATTTGCAAACACCTTCATATCTTTGAACGCAATACACCAGTTTGATGAGAACACATGGAATACTCTCAATGACATATTCACTAGTATGGAAGTTTACATAGAATCTGAAAACAGTGTACCGTTCTGTGTAAAAGCGATTATAGTATACAAACTCCTTCACAACCAAACCATCCCTGAAATAATTGAAAAGAAGCATACCTTTGATACTTTTGAAGATTATCGAAAGAAGCTTAATGAGAAAGAGCAGAATATACTGTTTGATTATTTATATAATCTTGAACTTAAAAAGCTAAACAAAGAAGTTACAAATGAAGTAGATATGATTATTACCATTGGAGCTTTGAATAATATTCTAAAACTGGTTACAGCTTGGAAAAAGAGGGTCGAAGATTACCCTAAAATATTTGAGACCATTAGGTATTTGATCACAATTAAAAAGGAAAAATCGTGGAAAACTAGCCTTTCGGACCTATATCAAGCACAGAAATTACTGAGGCGAAATCTATTTGAAGATTCCCTCGCTTTAAAGCAAACCGATGAAGTGTGTGTTAACGCGCTGAAGCACGACCCTGGTCTCTTAGACCGCTACGAAGCTGAAATTGCAGCAATGCGCTCAAATGACGCCATTTCCTTGAGGAAATCACTGGGAAAACTGAGGATTTATTGGGCGAACTCTTTAGCTCAAACATGGATTGAAGCATACAAAAATCAACTTGAGAAGCCGAACGGTCATAAGGCTGCCATAAATGGCATATGCATTCTTTTACCTCGTAAGCAGTTTTTCGAAGTGGTCGCAAATTATGCTCCAGTTGAAACTAAAATTAATTGGAGTGACACAGACGCAACACTGCTAAGCTTAAGGAAGAATATAGCCCAGCAAATGCAATTTGTTAGACCACCACCAAATCTAGAAGGCATTTTGACTTATGCAAAGGAAGACTACCTTCAGTATGCGCTGCCTTCTCTCAATGCCATTTTGTACAACATGAGTTCCGCTAATACATCAGAATGTATTCAACGTCTGGTGAACGCGCCAGTTTCATTGCAAAAACATGGCATACGGCTCGCGTTTAATAAATTGCAACTTTCCGAAATCAAAGATCTCATTCATAATATTTGGAAAAATTCTAAAAACTCTTCTATAAAAACGGTGTTGTTCAAACAAACGTATGATCTTTTGATTAAAGAAAAAAATGAATCAAACATCAACCAAATTTGGGAGTTGCTCAGCAATTTCATTGATAAGTTATCACAGGAGGAGAACCGGATTATATATCTCACACTAGGTAACGTAAAAAGTTTGCCCATGCCTGTACGACCTGCATGTTTCGTCAAAAGTTATTTATATTTGATATCACTCCCCACAAAAGCAAACTGTGAACCGATCATAAAATCCTTAGAAAGTCAAGCTGTTGACTTTATTGAGCTCCTGGAACCGGCTTTTGTAGAAGACGTGTTATTGAAATCTACAGCAGAACTTATGGCCGAGACAAATGTTTATGATATGAAGCTTACGACAAGAGTACGACTGCTTACGTCATACATACTTTCGATCAAAGATGAAGAAACACAATATAAAAAATATGAAAAAGTTTTACACCCGGTCTTGGAGAGCTGTTATAAGTCATGGGGACAGAAGAAGGATAAATCCTATGTGGTTAGGGATAACTGCAAGGTTCTGCTAAAAGATCTTCTAATCTACACCAAAAAACATATACAGAAGACGGCTACAGTCCCGGCAAAAATGTTTAAAGATATTCAAACGAAAATTGTAGCTGCATTGGCACCTGAAGAAAATTATGCAATATTGTCTTATTGGAATATAACAGTTTTATTTGTAGAATCTGTAGCCAAGTATTTGAAAGACCTAGAGAAAGAAAGTTCAGCCGAAAAATCTGGTGATGAGCAGGTAAAACTGATGAAGACGCCATGTTGTATGCCGGGTTGTGAAAATCAGCCCAACGACCCAGAATGGGAAAAAGCGTGTTCAAAAATAGCAATGTACTTCGGAGAAGCGTGTTTGAACTTTTTGAAAACTGATATTTCGTTCGAAAACCGATCTATTTTCACCATCTTCGCTTCATCACTCTGCGAGGTATTCACGAATGTGGATTTTGAAAGTATTCATCGCCTCAACACATTCGTACCTATGCTTGCTGACAGTAATATTATAGTGAGTTACTTGGTAGTCCTCGAAGCGCTGCGCTCTACGTATTCCTATGGCCAGAAACTCGAAGTGAAACAAACTATTATTGATATTATTAAAACGCACCCGTCTACAGAAGTAAAAATACATTACCATATTGTGTTTAAAAATTACTTTCTGAGAGAGATGGAATNGATACCTTACGTTATCATAGGCGGCTGATATCTAGGAATGCTGCAAGAAGGTGTTCATTATTTGAGAAGGCTAGTCTAATGTCGGTTATAAAAATTGCAATACTGTCAGCAGTGCTCCTACCTTTTCTGAAGCCAAACTGGAAATTACTCAGTAGACCTTTACTTTCTACAAACCATTCAAGTCTATTTTTAATAAGGTGCTCAGCTAATTTTAAAAGAACAGAGGATAATGCTATTGGGCGATAAGAGTCAGCGTTGGATGGAGATTTATTTGGTTTTAAAAGATAGGAATAATTTCTTGAATTTTCCAATGAGAAGGAATGTTTCCGGACTGCATTATAAAATTTATGAGAGAAAGATAATAAGTTAAAGTTGAATCATTTAAATTGACCAGAAAAGAATAAGGAATTCCATCAGTGCCAGGTGCAGAATCTTTCACATATGAAAGAATACCTTTCAGCTCTGAAAGATTTTAAATCCACCTGTGTGCTCCAATGTTATTGAAGGCGCTTTTACACTGCGCGGAAATTAGATAAGTTAAGTCAAAAAAACACAGTCGGGTGGGGATGAAAAATGAATGAATTTCATCCCCACTAAACTGTTTTTTTGACTTGACTCGGCTAATTTCCGCGCAGTGTAAATCCGCCATTACGTTTCCTCTCTTTTACTCTTTACGTCTTTATTATTCCTTTCGCTCTACGCTACGAACGCACGAGACTGGCCGATCTGGACCGATCGATACAGCCGGTTGAGCCGAACAGCGCTTCACGTAATCACGTCCTCCGCCCACCTCCCGAGGCCCCCCGAGCCTCGGCAAGCAAGCAAAGCAATCTGTCTGGCACTTTGTTCGAGAGGCCGGTCTTGTTGCAAAACAGTCCGCTTTGTTGATAAAAAATAACTGTGTATGTGCAAATACCAGCTACTTCCACGGTTACCAAGCACGGAGACCATCTCATTGGAATCACATAGAAGGTAAGATTTAAAAAAAATATTAAGCAATGTTTTTTATTCCGGCCTTTTCAACGGAATGACGTCATACAAAACTTGTTACTCATCACATCAATTTACAAAACTCATTGGCTTGGCGATATGTATTCCTATGATGATTCTTAAATTATTCTTTTTTGTTCCAATTTCGTATCTATTACCTACTTACCTAATCTGCCCAAACTTATTCCCAATAAAAGTTAATAAAATATCTGTTGACGTAGGTAATGGTCTTCGTATAATAGTCGTGGTGGGTAGGCAAGCCTATAAAACTGGCCGTCTTGTATTTTTTTAACAAATCAGTTCTTAATAATATGTCTTGCTTGATAGAAAAAAATTAAATTTTAAAGGAATGAATTGTTGGCGTTCGCGTTGTGATGATGACATTATGCCACCCTACGCTACGATTGCGTAGTCTAAGGAAATAGGTAAATTTATTTTTTCACGGAAACTAACGCTCATTAGGATGCGCTGTTTTTTTTATCAACAACGAGGAAGCTCTTGGCCTGTATCTCACTCACCTGCTGATGGTAATGTTTTTAATCATTTGATTTTATTGTTGTTATTTTTTGCATAGTAGGTGGGTAGGTAACTGTTAATGTTAATCTATCGGCCTAGGGTATAGGGTGCCTAGAACGAAAATAGGTGCTTAGTAGGTTGTAGTGTTACCACGTGAAAACAGAAGAACATGTGAAACATTAAGGCTGGGTTGCACCATCTTACTTTAACTTTGACAAACGTCAAAAATCTGTCAAACTCCATACCTACAAAAAACACCGGTTATCGTTATAATTACCGTCAAAGTTAGGTGGCCCAACTCAGCCTAAGTAATGCAGTCGCACTGATGCTAATTTATTGCAAAAATAATGAGACTGGCCAACTAAATCATACTATTATAAATGCGAAAGTTTGGTTTTGAAGTTTGGATTCTGGATGTTTGTTACTCTTTCACGCAAAAACTACTGAATGGATTTTGATGAAACTTTACAGTAATAATGTTTATAACCCAGAATAACATGCTATAGGTAATTTATGACGATATATTGTGACAAACTAAATTCCACGCGGGTGAAGCCGCGGGCAAAAGCTAGTGATAGGTAAATAATTGTCCGATTTTAGTGATGCTTTTTTGTTCGATGGTAGATCCTACTTGCCGTTTGGTCCCATATGTGTACAATTTAATTTAGTTTAATCGTTTTTATTAGGATTCCGTAGTCCTGACAAGGAACGATCAACAAACAAAGATCAGCGAGAGTTAGCGCGTTACCTACCGAATTGAGAACCTCCTCCTTTTGTTGAAGTCGGTTAAAAAAGATTTCATACAAAATTGCAAACTGGGTCACAACAACACTCACAACAAACTAATAATAAGCTTTCCCCAAGTAAAATAAACGACTACGAAATTTTGCGTGCGTTAAAAGAAAATACAGGAAAAAAAAGCGTTCGGAAAATTTTCTACAAGAAAATTAACATTTGTCTACAGTGAAAAAAGTCGATCGGATTTTTTTATACAAGAAAATAAAAATATCGGAAATGCATCTAAAAAATCAAATTTTTATGAGCATGATGAATAGAATTTTTTCGGACTCAGATTACAAACACTGATTGATATTTTTGGAGTCGATGCCGGTTTTAGTACGTTTCTTGAGCTTGGCATTTCGCAGACTGGCATCGACTCCAAGAATATCAATCATGGTCATAATAATAATAATGTCCTAATTAAATAAATAACGTAAAATTATTTTTCTACTTTTTTGGAGATTTTTAGTCGTTTTTTGTCCTTGCCGCCACCTATTACTTAGTTCTATTTATATTTAAATCTTGATATTGCCATTGGCCATTACGTTAAAATCAGATTTTGTCAAGTAAAAAAAACATGAAAGTGTACTAATTTCGATTTTAATGTTTTTTTTCATACTTACCTACTTAGGGCTGATTTTACCATCCTCGGTTAACTTTTAACTGAAGAATATGTTTGCCACATTGACAGTTTCAGTATGGAAATATTATTATGTCAAAATGATAATTTTATTCTTTAATTAAAAAAAGTTATCCGACGATTGAAAAATCAGCCCTAAGTGTGATAAATATTTTATCGGGTGTTAGCATTGTTAGTGGTTGGTCCTACTTCTATAAATGAAAAATATTCTTTCTTTTTCAGGCTTCAACATGGCATCAGTGGTGTTAGAGGGTGAGAATCTAGGAGAAAGACATCGTCACTTCAACAGCTTAGTGAAAAAAGCCATAGCCGATAAAACTGCGTTGGAACCCATCAACTATGACGACCCAGACGTCGACAACCTTTTGAAGATTGACGTCGCCAGCACTACCAGAAATGTGGAGTACGTACTACAGGTCCTGACATCCGAAGACATGCTGTACGTATCTAGGGCAATCAAAAAATGCACTTGGCTCATAACCGATGACCAGTACGCTCACATCATCAACCCTAAATACCTGAAAGATGAACTTTTCCCAAAAATGACCTCTAAGGGTAAGAGCAAATTGATTCTCGCCATAAGACTCCATCTACGGGACCCAGCACGCGTTGAAGCGTTCTACGAATTCTACGCTGACGACTTGCAAATAGCTCAAAAATGGCTCCCATACTGCTCTCCAGAATTCATAGAAAACATCGTTTCGAAGCACGCACGCGAAATCAAATCTCAAACGTTAAAACGCCTGTGTGAAATTTCCTTCAAGTACTTCAAAATATACGCAACAGCTGAAAACACCGGATATTTCAGACAAGACCACCTCAAAATTACAATGTTTCTATTGAACGATCACACTGAAGAATATCTTGACATCATAGAATCGCTCAAGAAATATGATGTCCCAAAATTTAAGAGCAAGGCCACTGAAACAATAATGCGGAAGTGCCACGACAGAATCGTAAAAAACTTCGTGAATTATGCTTTCTGCATCCACCTTCCTACTTTCGCCAAACATTTGAAGAAGGAGATAATTGAAGATTTTCTAACTCAGCAGGCTGAAAATAAGAAAATGAAACATTGGGTTAAATTCGAAAACATTAAACACTTCGTTCAATACTTACCGATTGACAGGAGGTTCGAATTTGTTAGGAAACTATTCATTGATAAAGAGAAAGAGGAGAATAAATCGGATACTGTAAATCTAGAAGACGACGCGTTTTGTGACGACGGTGGAGCACAACCTCGCATGCAACTTTGCAGCATGAAGTTGTCATCATCAAGGCACATCTCGGCTAGCAATGCTCATATTTACCGTTGGTATCGCTTTGCTCCATTTGAATCGGCTTTTAATGATTTGAAAAAGTTGATTCGCGCCGAATCAAATCCTGCTGAACGCACTGCTATGCTGTCAATTCTTTTACATTGCACCAGACGCAATCCACGACATATTCAAACTCTCTTGCAATTTTATCGCGAAAAGCATATTAATGAACCTTTTAAGTTCAAAGTTCAATTTGCAAACACCTTCATATCTTTGAACGCAATACACCAGTTTGATGAGAACACATGGAATACTCTCAATGACATATTCACTAGTATGGAAGTTTACATAGAATCTGAAAACAGTGTACCGTTCTGTGTAAAAGCGATTATAGTATACAAACTCCTTCACAACCAAACCATCCCTGAAATAATTGAAAAGAAGCATACCTTTGATACTTTTGAAGATTATCGAAAGAAGCTTAATGAGAAAGAGCAGAATATACTGTTTGATTATTTATATAATCTTGAACTTAAAAAGCTAAACAAAGAAGTTACAAATGAAGTAGATATGATTATTACCATTGGAGCTTTGAATAATATTCTAAAACTGGTTACAGCTTGGAAAAAGAGGGTCGAAGATTACCCTAAAATATTTGAGACCATTAGGTATTTGATCACAATTAAAAAGGAAAAATCGTGGAAAACTAGCCTTTCGGACCTATATCAAGCACAGAAATTACTGAGGCGAAATCTATTTGAAGATTCCCTCGCTTTAAAGCAAACCGATGAAGTGTGTGTTAACGCGCTGAAGCACGACCCTGGTCTCTTAGACCGCTACGAAGCTGAAATTGCAGCAATGCGCTCAAATGACGCCATTTCCTTGAGGAAATCACTGGGAAAACTGAGGATTTATTGGGCGAACTCTTTAGCTCAAACATGGATTGAAGCATACAAAAATCAACTTGAGAAGCCGAACGGTCATAAGGCTGCCATAAATGGCATATGCATTCTTTTACCTCGTAAGCAGTTTTTCGAAGTGGTCGCAAATTATGCTCCAGTTGAAACTAAAATTAATTGGAGTGACACAGACGCAACACTGCTAAGCTTAAGGAAGAATATAGCCCAGCAAATGCAATTTGTTAGACCACCACCAAATCTAGAAGGCATTTTGACTTATGCAAAGGAAGACTACCTTCAGTATGCGCTGCCTTCTCTCAATGCCATTTTGTACAACATGAGTTCCGCTAATACATCAGAATGTATTCAACGTCTGGTGAACGCGCCAGTTTCATTGCAAAAACATGGCATACGGCTTGCGTTTAATAAATTGCAACTTTCCGAAATCAAAGATCTCATTCATAATATTTGGAAAAATTCTAAAAACTCTTCTATAAAAACGGTGTTGTTCAAACAAACGTATGATCTTTTGATTAAAGAAAAAAATGAATCAAACATCAACCAAATTTGGGAGTTGCTCAGCAATTTCATTGATAAGTTATCACAGGAGGAGAACCGGANCAATACTTTTGGCCAAGGCTGTATATCTCACACTAGGTAACGTAAAAAGTTTGCCCATGTCTGTACGACCTGCATGTTTCGTCAAAAGTTATTTATATTTGATATCACTCCCCACAAAAGCAAACTGTGAACCGATCATAAAATCCTTAGAAAGTCAAGCTGTTGACTTTATTGAGCTCCTGGAACCGGCTTTTGTAGAAGACGTGTTATTGAAATCTACAGCAGAACTTATGGCCGAGACAAATGTTTATGATATGAAGCTTACGACAAGAGTACGACTGCTTACGTCATACATACTTTCGATCAAAGATGAAGAAACACAATATAAAAAATATGAAAAAGTTTTACACCCGGTCTTGGAGAGCTGTTATAAGTCATGGGGACAGAAGAAGGATAAATCCTATGTGGTTAGGGATAACTGCAAGGTTCTGCTAAAAGATCTTCTAATCTACACCAAAAAACATATACAGAAGACGGCTACAGTCCCGGCAAAAATGTTTAAAGATATTCAAACGAAAATTGTAGCTGCATTGGCACCTGAAGAAAATTATGCAATATTGTCTTATTGGAATATAACAGTTTTATTTGTAGAATCTGTAGCCAAGTATTTGAAAGACCTAGAGAAAGAAAGTTCAGCCAAAAAATCTGGTGATGAGCAGGTAAAACTGATGAAGACGCCATGTTGTATGTCGGGTTGTGAAAATCAGCCCAACGACCCAGAATGGGAAAAAGCGTGTTCAAAAATAGCAATGTACTTCGGAGAAGCGTGTTTGAACTTTTTGAAAACTGATATTTCGTTCGAAAACCGATCTATTTTCACCATATTCGCTTCATCACTCTGCGAGGTATTCACGAATGTGGATTTTGAAAGTATTCATCGCCTCAACACATTCGTACCTATGCTTGCTGACAGTAATATTATAGTGAGTTACTTGGTAGTCCTCGAAGCGCTGCGCTCTACGTATTCCTATGGCCAGAAACTCGAAGTGAAACAAACTATTATTGATATTATTAAAACGCACCCGTCTACAGAAGTAAAAATACATTACCATATTGTGTTTAAAAATTACTTTCTGAGAGAGATGGAATAAATAATAAGAGACAGTTGTAACTAAGTACTTATTATACACTAGCTTTTGCCCGCGGCTTCACCCGCGTGAAATTTAGCTTGTTACAGATCCCTCTGAACACGTGGTCCGACTGCTTTGTCCGACTAATCGGACCACGTGAACTTTTTTTTCCTGTTGGTTCGATTAAGGAGTCGGGTCGGACTGGCCGACTCGTAATCCGGGGAACGCGGGTTCGGTCCCCGCCGCCGCTCGACTATTGCGGTGAGCTCACTCGTGATACAAAGTCAAAATTTCTTTATTTGTTTAGACTAATAAATAGTTCTTACAAATCGTCATTTTGCCCTTAACAAGCATATTTAAGCTTAGTACGAGGGGCTAACGGGAGTATTAGTAATTTGTATAATAAGAATAACAAATTACTAATAATCTTTTAAAAAAAAAAGATACTTAACAGAAAAATAAAATACATACTTAAAATGACTTGTACGTCCTTCCAACTCCTAGTTAATTCAGAAATATTCAGAAATAGTCCTGCCTACCGTTATCATAATTTTATGTTTTTAATTTTCATACAAAATAAATTTTATAAAATCAGATTTGTAGGTAATGAGAAATAAGTACTAGGTATTTTCAACCTTTTTGATAGGTTTTATTCTTAAAATATCTGCGGAATTACTTAATACTAAATCGCAACCATCACGTAAACCTTATTTAAATTATACTCGTAGTATTTATTTATTTATTTATTTAAGGCTCATAAAACAAGTTACAGTCATATTCAGGCATAGATAATATTCCATAGATTAATCTAAACCGCAACTCTAAACATGTGTGCACAGAATGAATTGAAAATTATGAAATTCACTCACTACAGACTCACTCACTCTGCTTTTTTGCACTTTTCTCTTGCTGATTGATCTGAAAATGAAAAAAAAAGTTCAGAATGTAATTGTAAAATATAGGTAGTTAGGTAAGTAAGCTGGTAAGTAGGCATACCTATGTAAAACCTTGACAAAAAGAACCTTTGTCTTTCAAATTGTATTAGATTAGGATGTGCTTATTAGTAAGTACTGTATAATAACATAATAGAATTAATATTTTTTTTTAGGTTTTGAATAAGTTTTAATGTTTCAAAAATAAACTAAAGATTGAAATTTTGTCTGAGTTTTTCCTGTTCGTCTGAGTTTTTTTTTAATTTAACTTTATCTAAAAGTTTATTATCAGATTAGATAGGCTATTAAACAAGGTTTATTTTAATATAGAATTTTAGTTATTTAGGTTTAATTGAAAAAAATACCTACCTATCCCTAGACCATGTTGATGTGTGTATGTTTTCCGAACAAAATAAAATATAAATAAGTTTTTTTTTAAATTAAATGTGTACCTAGTGTGAAATGAAAATATAGTAGATTAACTAGCCTACCTTAACTAAATAAAAAATATGAAAAAACTTGCATTTAAGATTCGGCCAAACCAACGCGATCACACGCGATCAGCCGGCGAGCGGCGATGGCGGTAAGCAGGTAAACACAGTATCAAGTACATAAAATATGGTTTTTGTCACAGATCGTCATAAATCATAGCCTATATGTTATTCTGGGTTATAAACAATAATACTGTAAAGTTTCATCAAAATCCGTTCAGTAGTTTTTGCGTGAAAGAGTAACAAACATGTTGACATCCATACTGTCCATACTTACAAACTTATAATATTAGTAAGAAGTAAGAAAGATTGTGAGAATATCAAAGAATAATTTCTTTTAAAAAATATCGTGGAAAGCCAATCCATTTTATGCATAACGTGTTTTCAATTCAGTTCACATTCAGCAAAGCATACACATAGGAGGATAGGATACCTTNTACGTATCTAGGGCAATCAAAAAATGCACTTGGCTCATAACCGATGACCAGTACGCTCACATCATCAACCCTAAATACCTGAAAGATGAACTTTTCCCAAAAATGACCTCTAAGGGTAAGAGCAAATTGATTCTCGCCATAAGACTCCATCTACGGGACCCAGCACGCGTTGAAGCGTTCTACGAATTCTACGCTGACGACTTGCAAATAGCTCAAAAATGGCTCCCATACTGCTCTCCAGAATTCATAGAAAACATCGTTTCGAAGCACGCACGCGAAATTAAATCTCAAACGTTAAAACGCCTGTGTGAAATTTCCTTCAAGTACTTCAAAATATACGCAACAGCTGAAAACACCGGATATTTCAGACAAGACCACCTCAAAATTACAATGTTTCTATTGAACGATCACACTGAAGAATATCTTGACATCATAGAATCGCTCAAGAAATATGATGTCCCAAAATTTAAGAGCAAGGCCACTGAAACAATAATGCGGAAGTGCCACGACAGAATCGTAAAAAACTTCGTGAATTATGCTTTCTGCATCCACCTTCCTACTTTCGCCAAACAATTGAAGAAGGAGATAATTGAAGATTTTCTAACTCAGCAGGCTGAAAATAAGAAAATGAAACATTGGGTTAAATTCGAAAACATTAAACACTTCGTTCAATACTTACCGATTGACAGGAGGTTCGAATTTGTTAGGAAACTATTCATTGATAAAGAGAAAGAGGAGAATAAATCGGATACTGTAAATCTAGAAGACGACGCGTTTTGTGACGACGGTGGAGCACAACCTCGCATGCAACTTTGCAGCATGAAGTTGTCATCATCAAGGCACATCTCGGCTAGCAATGCTCATATTTACCGTTGGTATCGCTTTGCTCCATTTGAATCGGCTTTTAATGATTTGAAAAAGTTGATTCGCGCCGAATCAAATCCTGCTGAACGCACTGCTATGCTGTCAATTCTTTTACATTGCACCAGACGCAATCCACGACATATTCAAACTCTCTTGCAATTTTATCGCGAAAAGCATATTAATGAACCTTTTAAGTTCAAAGTTCAATTTGCAAACACCTTCATATCTTTGAACGCAATACACCAGTTTGATGAGAACACATGGAATACTCTCAATGACATATTCACTAGTATGGAAGTTTACATAGAATCTGAAAACAGTGTACCGTTCTGTGTAAAAGCGATTATAGTATACAAACTCCTTCACAACCAAACCATCCCTGAAATAATTGAAAAGAAGCATACCTTTGATACTTTTGAAGATTATCGAAAGAAGCTTAATGAGAAAGAGCAGAATATACTGTTTGATTATTTATATAATCTTGAACTTAAAAAGCTAAACAAAGAAGTTACAAATGAAGTAGATATGATTATTACCATTGGAGCTTTGAATAATATTCTAAAACTGGTTACAGCTTGGAAAAAGAGGGTCGAAGATTACCCTAAAATATTTGAGACCATTAGGTATTTGATCACAATTAAAAAGGAAAAATCGTGGAAAACTAGCCTTTCGGACCTATATCAAGCACAGAAATTACTGAGGCGAAATCTATTTGAAGATTCCCTCGCTTTAAAGCAAACCGATGAAGTGTGTGTTAACGCGCTGAAGCACGACCCTGGTCTCTTAGACCGCTACGAAGCTGAAATTGCAGCAATGCGCTCAAATGACGCCATTTCCTTGAGGAAATCACTGGGAAAACTGAGGATTTATTGGGCGAACTCTTTAGCTCAAACATGGATTGAAGCATACAAAAATCAACTTGAGAAGCCGAACGGTCATAAGGCTGCCATAAATGGCATATGCATTCTTTTACCTCGTAAGCAGTTTTTCGAAGTGGTCGCAAATTATGCTCCAGTTGAAACTAAAATTAATTGGAGTGACACAGACGCAACACTGCTAAGCTTAAGGAAGAATATAGCCCAGCAAATGCAATTTGTTAGACCACCACCAAATCTAGAAGGCATTTTGACTTATGCAAAGGAAGACTACCTTCAGTATGCGCTGCCTTCTCTCAATGCCATTTTGTACAACATGAGTTCCGCTAATACATCAGAATGTATTCAACGTCTGGTGAACGCGCCAGTTTCATTGCAAAAACATGGCATACGGCTTGCGTTTAATAAATTGCAACTTTCCGAAATCAAAGATCTCATTCATAATATTTGGAAAAATTCTAAAAACTCTTCTATAAAAACGGTGTTGTTCAAACAAACGTATGATCTTTTGATTAAAGAAAAAAATGAATCAAACATCAACCAAATTTGGGAGTTGCTCAGCAATTTCATTGATAAGTTATCACAGGAGGAGAACCGGATTATATATCTCACACTAGGTAACGTAAAAAGTTTGCCCATGCCTGTACGACCTGCATGTTTCGTCAAAAGTTATTTATATTTGATATCACTCCCCACAAAAGCAAACTGTGAACCGATCATAAAATCCTTAGAAAGTCAAGCTGTTGACTTTATTGAGCTCCTGGAACCTGCTTTTGTAGAAGACGTGTTATTGAAATCTACAGCAGAACTTATGGCCGAGACGAATGTTTATGATATGAAGCTTACGACAAGAGTACGACTGCTTACGTCATACATACTTTCGATCAAAGATGAAGAAACACAATATAAAAAATATGAAAAAGTTTTACACCCGGTCTTGGAGAGCTGTTATAAGTCATGGGGACAGAAGAAAGATAAATCCTATGTGGTTAGGGGTAACTGCAAGGTTCTACTAGAACATCTTCTAATCTACACCAAAAAACATACACTGAAGACGGCTACAGTCCCGGCAAAAATGTTTAAAGACATTCAAACGAAAATTGTAGCTGCATTGGCCCCTGAAGAAAATTATGCAATACTGTCTTATTGGAATATAACAGTTTTATTTGTGGAATCTGTAGCCAAGTATTTACATGACCTAGATAAAGAAAGTTCAGTCGAAAAATCTGGTGATGAGCAGGTAAAACTGATGAAGACATGTTGTATGCCGGAGGATTGTGACAATCAGACCAACGATCCAGAGTGGGAAAAAGCGTGTTCAAAAATAGCAACGCACTTCGGGGAAGCGTGCTTGAACTTTTTGAAGACAGATATTTCGTTCGAAAACCGATCTATTTTCACCATCTTCGCTTCATCACTATGCGAGGTATTCTCAAATGTGGATTTTGAAAGTATTCATCGCCTCAACACATTCGTACCTATGCTTGCTGACAGTAATATTATAGTGAGTTACTTGGTAGTCCTCGAAGCGCTGCGATCTACGTATTCCTATGGCAAGAGAATGGAACTGAAACAAACTATTATGGATATTATTAAAACGCACCCATCTACAGAAGTAAAAATACATTACCATGAGTCTAAAAAATACTTTCAAGAAGAGATGGAATAAATTAGAGACATTTTATTCCCTTCGATATAACTATAATATTAATCTTGTGTCACAACAGTAGCATATTTAACTATTTATTATATTTAAATACAAGCACAAGTTTTTATCATACTAATGAAACTGAAAAATCGTACATAAATAACCAAGTCTTTATCAATTTAAAATCAGCATTTATTAATATAACAATCAGATTACTGTAGATGTTTTAATTGTTGCAATACGATAAGAACTTTAATATTTATCTTGGTCTCCTATAGAAAATAAGCATTTTATGTGTATTAAAATCATATTCAAATTGTACTCGGCTGCTTTTTTGTGTTTACTGGATATTTTTTGAATATCCATTACTCAAAACTATTCAAAATAGGGATAAAAAAATTCGACGAATACCTATTATTTTTTAGATTTTTTATTACGTTTTATATTTCTTATTTATTTTATAGTTTTAAGTTAAAGTTTACTCAGTTTTCGGATATGCTTTGTAACTTTTAGACCTGCTTAATATTTGCATTTATTCTGTGTCTAATAAAATACGTGTAATAATACATAAAAAGGTACCTACCAGTCTTTACGATAGCCCGGGATAAACGTGGAAGGGTAACTTGTACGAGTTTAATAATATGTAGTAGGTAGGTACTTACTTGATTACAATAAAGTTTTTGATCTACAAATTTTTTTCATTAATTTTCCCTTCTGGGCCTTGCATGGTGCCTAACTTTAACAAAAGTCAAAATTCTGTCAAACTCCATACAATAGCACCGGTTAAAGTTATAGCACGGTAATACTATCTATACAGTATTCCAACTCGGCCATATTTTTGAAATAAATGTCAACACTCGCGCGGAACGTCACCGCATGACAACATGCGATAGGGCTACAAACTTGCAGACCCTATTTTCATTACATCTGCCTACTTTGAATTTTTATCTAGTACTAGCTGACCCGGCGAACTTCGTACCGCCTTAGCGTAGAGATTTACTTAATATTTTTTTCCGTAAGAACCATCCTTGGACTTCCACAAACATTAAAAAAAAAGAATTATCGAAATCGGTTCAGCCGTTCACACGTGATGCCGTGACAACGCGAAACGGGTTTCATTTTTATATATGTTACGGTCAAAGTGATAAATGTGAAAATTATGAATAATCGCCGGTTATTATGAATAATTACCGCATGATTTGGTAAATGTGATTAATATGAGGTCATTGCTGGAACCTGCTTTTGTAGAAGACGTGTTATTGAAATCTACAGCAGAACTTATGGCCGAGACGAATGTTTATGATATGAAGCTTACGACAAGAGTACGACTGCTTACGTCATACATACTTTCGATCAAAGATGAAGAAACACAATATAAAAAATATGAAAAAGTTTTACACCCGGTCTTGGAGAGCTGTTATAAGTCATGGGGACAGAAGAAAGATAAATCCTATGTGGTTAGGGGTAACTGCAAGGTTCTACTAGAACATCTTCTAATCTACACCAAAAAACATACACTGAAGACGGCTACAGTCCCGGCAAAAATGTTTAAAGACATTCAAACGAAAATTGTAGCTGCATTGGCCCCTGAAGAAAATTATGCAATACTGTCTTATTGGAATATAACAGTTTTATTTGTGGAATCTGTAGCCAAGTATTTACATGACCTAGATAAAGAAAGTTCAGTCGAAAAATCTGGTGATGAGCAGGTAAAACTGATGAAGACATGTTGTATGCCGGAGGATTGTGACAATCAGACCAACGATCCAGAGTGGGAAAAAGCGTGTTCAAAAATAGCAACGCACTTCGGGGAAGCGTGCTTGAACTTTTTGAAGACAGATATTTCGTTCGAAAACCGATCTATTTTCACCATCTTCGCTTCATCACTATGCGAGGTATTCTCAAATGTGGATTTTGAAAGTATTCATCGCCTCAACACATTCGTACCTATGCTTGCTGACAGTAATATTATAGTGAGTTACTTGGTAGTCCTCGAAGCGCTGCGATCTACGTATTCCTATGGCAAGAGAATGGAACTGAAACAAACTATTATGGATATTATTAAAACGCACCCATCTACAGAAGTAAAAATACATTACCATGAGTCTAAAAAATACTTTCAAGAAGAGATGGAATAAATTAGAGACATTTTATTCCCTTCGATATAACTATAATATTAATCTTGTGTCACAACAGTAGCATATTTAACTATTTATTATATTTAAATACAAGCACAAGTTTTTATCATACTAATGAAACTGAAAAATCGTACATAAATAACCAAGTCTTTATCAATTTAAAATCAGCATTTATTAATATAACAATCAGATTACTGTAGATGTTTTAATTGTTGCAATACGATAAGAACTTTATATGTTACGGTCAAAGTGATAAATGTGAAAATTATGAATAATCGCCGGTTATTATGAATAATTACCGCATGATTTGGTAAATGTGATTAATATGAGGTCATTGATGTGTGTATAAAACTAAATAGGCGGCTTAGGGGTGGCCCAAGGGCCACCCCCGCCGCACCCTAACCTATTTTTCGCTTTAAATCAAAACATTATGTTATAGGCATCATGGAAAAGTAATATTATGCAAGAAACATTCCAAACTCATTATGCCAAATTATATTAATATATGATGTCAAAACGTTCAAAAGTTTGGCTGTACACGAGCACGTACACAAGATGTTGTTCTCTTTTATGAAATTTGATAGTACTAAGGTTGAATGATTAAATAATCACTGTTAAATGTGATTAATTTATCACTTTTACCGCGACTGTCGGTAATTATTCATAATAACCGGTTATTATTAATAATTTTCAATTTATCACATTTACCGTAACATATATATAGACTGTGAATGTATTTTGTGATTGTAATTTTTATTTTATTTTGACAAACAAAATACTTTGTGAATGAAATAGGATAAAAATGCATGTTATTTTGTCATTAGTAGATTTAATTAAAAAAAAATATTTGTGTTCAAGTTTAGTAACAAATCTCATTAATTTATGACCGTAAAATGTACCTATGCGTCTCGCTCGACTTAGGCGTACTAAATGTTTGTTTATTATACAGGGTGTTAGGTAAATGGGTTTAAAAGCCGACACTAGCCCATGGTATATAAATGGTATGGTGAAGTCAGAAAATTGATATTATCATTTTAATCATTTTAATTTTCACACAAATCTGATTTTATAAATTTTATTTTGTATTCAAATAAAAAAAAATGAGGATATCACTGACTTCACCATAGGTAGGTATGTTAACATGGTCTAGTGTCGGCTTATAAACCCATTTACCTAACACCCTGTATAACTAGCTACTTGTAATTAGTTTTATAAAAAAAGAGCGCTTACTGTTTGAAAAACAACACATCGTCCGTTTATTACTGTGACACATTCGCGACACCCCCGACTTTTGCATGTCGAGCGCATACCGAGATTTGAATTTCGAAGGAAAGCTCGCGTTTCATCCGTTTATATGAAGTTACAATACTGTATGATAGTATTACCGTGGTTATAGGTAGCAACTAAGGTTCTTTATTCCACTTTCCGATTGAAGATCTCAATGGTCTAAGGCTGAGTTGCACCACCTAACTTTGACCGTAACTATAACGTTAACTGGTGCTTATTGTATGGAGTTTGACAGAATTTTGACGTTTGTAAGTTAAGTTAAATTAAGATGGTACTTAAATATTAGTTTTCGCCGCCCTGCCCACCTTTGCGAGACAAGCACACACATAAACAATATTATTTGGATTGTTCATGTAGTTGGTGTAGTCCGTAGCCGTAGCACAAAATAATAGTAAGTAGTCCGTTACACTTAGACACTCCCTCTAATTTGGGTTTAGAAATGTTCTCGTAGTCGTAAAGTTTACAAGGTGATAAAACGTTTTTTAGAAAAAATATGTACCAAATTTGGGACCTGACGGTGCGAAGTGCACCAGGTCAGCTACTTTTAAATAAAAGTTTGTTATATTGGCAAAACAGTTTTTATTGCCTGTACACTTACATCTAGGAATGATAAATCTAAACCGATATTCGATACAATCGAAATTATATAATTTTGGACATTGGAGATATTGGATAATTCATACAATAAAATACAGAATCTGTATGAGTATTACACACAAGTTTAGTGCCATTTTGATTTTATGGAATGATGATTTTGTGTTCGTTCGTGTTACTTTTTTTTAACGTTTTTATTACTCATGTTAACATCGCTGGTTTCTCTCTACAGTACAATTAACTGACAGAATTAAGACTGTACTAGAAAACAACAGAAGGTTCAATTTTCAATTAACATAGGGCCAATTTTCAGTTCACTATCTAGATAACAGACATTAGTCGGATGCATTTATCGCGTTATAAAAACTTACAAGTCTGGAACTGTACTTACAACGAAAACATTTACGTTCTCATTCAATATCTCTACCAACTTCTCAAAGATGTGATAGCTCACAATCTAACAGCCAATGCCATTGTGTAGTCAGAAAATCATTTTAACTGTTCCATACCTTTCTATTCTAACGCATATTTTATTTAAGTATACTTATACTATTCTTTCTACTTTTCCATAAACTATTGCCACCGTCCGACTTATCTAATTATACAAAACAATCAAATAATTCTGTACAGACAGTGCAACAATAACAAATTATTATTATGGTTTCAAAATATTCAAGCTTCTCGATGAGTTTCTTTTAATCAATGTGTGCCAAGCAGTCAATATTTAACAAATTAACTTATCTGCAGATGTCACAAAATTATTTTAATCAATCAACACCGTCTTATGTCAATACAGTAATTTTCTCAATATGTTTAGCCTAGGCGCAAACCACCGATTTTTCGTCGGGCGGTCGTTACTTTATTCGATCAGTTAATCAGTATGGAGATGTATGAAAGTGCGCACATTTCACCGATTGATCGGCCGACTCTTCATACAAATCAGAATCGGGCCCAACTATCGGCCGACTAAAAATCAGTGGTCTGCGCCTAGGCTAAGCATTTGCTATTAAACACCACTAAAATTATTCTGTTCATTCACAAACTTTTTGTTTCACAAATATTGCTCATACAAATTCCTTGAAGACAGTGATGATGATATCATGTTTATTGTTGCTCCTGAAAAGAAAAAAAAAAGGATAAAAATATTATAACTTGTAGAAGCTTTATAAATAATCTGTTATTAATATTTTGACTTTTGTTTTGGGATAACCGTGCGACGGGCGGCCGCAGTGAGGGTGCGAGCGCGACAGCAATATAATTACGCGCGAGCGATAAGGATGGGTAGCTTGGGGTCATTGGACGAAATTATATTTGAATTTAAAAATTAAACCTCGCTTACCTTAATTTAATCTTCATTGTTGGCCTCGTCGGGCGCGGGCGTGTGCCACGTCAGCCGCTCCTCGTAGAACTGGATGACGACCTGCGGGCAGCGCACATTGGCCTGCTTTGCGGGGACCAAGTCAGCCTCGTCTGTACCCTGCCACTTCATTAGGAACATCAGCTCGCCGCTGCTGTCTGTCGCACCTGCAAACAAAAGTTTTTTGTGAGACTGATGACATTATAATGACAAATAGAAGTAAAGTAGAATCTCGATTAGGGGCCTTTCATTTATTATGTAACACAATTTAGGGAGGGAGGGGGATCAACCATGTCTTATTTTTTCTTACAAGGGGATGTGAGGGAGTCTTGATAGTTCTTACATAAGATTTCAAAAATGCGCAGTCAAAATTATACTTTGAAAAAGCGCGAGCAACCGCGCGAGTGCCGATTTTTGCTCGTATGCATATAGGTTAACGATTTCCATTTCATCAGCTGTTAGTACTGAAGACCATGACAAATTGTAATATCTGTAATCTGTATTATATTCGTCAGTATTTAGTTTTTTTTAAATAAAATATACATAATTTTAAACAGTTTATACCAACCAATAATTTTCTCTGGCTCCAAGCCCCGGTCAAAGCCTGAAGCTTTCTTGTCATCACTCTTGCTTTTTTTGGCACCTTTCAAGTCTGGAGTTGCTGCAGACGACTTGCGCTTTTTAGCATCCTTTTCAATTTTAGACACTTTGCCCTCTGAAAATGTTATGTATCATTATTTCTTTATTCAAATAACAAACTAGATTTCAATAAATCTAATTTCTAACATAGGTCCAATAAACCTTGTTGCTGGAATATTGAAAATTAGAAATAAATAAATCGAATTTATTTTACCTGCTTCTTTTTTTTTCCTTGCTTCCTCAAATGCTTGGATGAGGTCTGGGCAGTCAAGATTCTCCTCGGGTTCCCATGTGTTGTCAGCATCCGTGTAACCTTTCCATTTTAAAAAATACTCCACCTGTAATTGAACAAAGTACATTTAGTCATAACAAAGAAACTATGGTACATAAAAAGTGGCTTGAAATTCAAGGTCAGTGTCTAAATCTGTAGTTTCCTCATGCATAAACATGAGTAAAAATATATATCTCTATCATGCCGGTAAATTGTAAAAATTACATGGTAAAACGTATATCCTTAATGAGGAAGAACTTTTTAAGCAGGTAGATCTTTTATGTACAAGGGGTTACCAAATTAACATCAGATAATACCTAATAACAAGCTTTTGTTTGAAACTATTTTAAATTGCTCAAAGGTTACCTTGCCATTCCGAATACGCCTGTCCAGTACTTTCTCCACAGAGAATTCTTCTTCCACTTCTGGTTCACCTTCCTTCTTCTTCTCAGCCATTCTGTGAGGTAAAATAAAAATGAACAGCAGCAACTTACTTTCTTGAAATAGGAACAGATCAACAGAGAATCGGTCACATCTTTTACACATTTTCAGCAGAAACCTGAGGCAGAAACAAAAATTCTAGGCTCAACTTCCTAACCTTAGTTATAACTTTATAGTAATAATACTATCAAACTTTTCTTAAGAAAACTTGGAAGTCACCACCACTAATTCAAAGCCTTTCGATTACAAATTCCTAAAATCTTGTCATGCAAGATTCAAAAGCAAGCAACATTAAAAAAATAAACACAAGCTAACAGTCCCGCCATTTTGTTAGACGACGTACAAACAACAAGGAAATGCTACTGAAGTATTTTAACAACTTATCACGGTAAACACAGTTTTGAATCACTTTATTGTACTATTACAATTCAATAATAGAAATTCGGCAATAAAATTCTATTTACCTGTGTTTTTTATTTTCACAAAACTACAAAAACCGGCGAACCACAATGAGGCTAGATCACAGACAACGGCACTTATTTTTTAATTCAATTTCATTCATTCTTCATTCACGAACACAGTGAGATGGAAGTGACGGAACTAAGAATGAGCTACATACATTTAGCTCATGCTTTTTCAATATGAAAAACACTACCTGTCTTCTTGAAACTTAAAGAAGTTTAATAAATTCTTGTGTAAACTTGAGTATAAAAACTAGCTAAGTTACTTCATGCAAATTATGAGACGTTCCGAGAGTCCGGGACACAATCAGACACAACCCAGACACAACCCACACAACGTGACACCACAACTGGAAACAACAAGACGTGAGTAAGAATAATTCAAAAAATATTTCTAATTTAATTTGAAGAATTAAAAATAATTAGTGTCCGACCGAAACTAGTTTTACGACCGAAACCGAAACCGAAAACGAATTTCGGCAACGGTGTCTGTTTCGGCCGAAACCGAAACCGAAACCGAAACTTCCTAACAAGGATTATATTTTGAGGAAAAATAAAGAAAACGTTATTAGGGGTCATCCATAAAGTACGTCACACGTAAAGAGGGGGGGAGGGGGTTGATAAAGTGTGACATGGTGTGACAAGGGGTGGGAGGGGTCCTAAGATTCGTGACATCACATTTCAAAATCTAATATATAGTTCCAAAATACTGGACTGTCCTGTCGATGACATTGACAGTGGGGCGCCACCGTCAATACCGGATCGCTGGTTCAGATTTTTGCCATATTGGAAACCATATAGTTGAACGATGGTAGCGCCCCCCTGTCATTGAGTTTGGCGGGACAGTTCAGCGTGGGTCATCTATATCTAGAGGTACTAATCGCGTAATTTGAAATATAAATTAAACTAAAAAATACCCCCACCACTTTAGCACAACTCCGTCGAAGTCGAAAACGTAGGAGAGTCATAATGGGCAACCAATGAAGCCATTAAAGCAATAAAATGTTTTGTAGGAATTATTTCAGATTTAAAATCTAATTCTACTGGCCTATAATGCTGCCAAACGCACAGNCATGAAAAACACTACCTGTCTTCTTGAAACTTAAAGAAGTAACAGAATTCTTGTGTAAACTTGAGTTTAAAAACTAGCTAAGTTACTTCATGCAAATTATGAGACGTTCCGAGAGTCCGGGACACAATCAGACACAACCCACACAACGTGATCAACGTGACACCACAACTGGAAACAACAAGACGTGAATAAGAATAATTCAAAAAATATTTCTAATTTAATTTGAAGAATGAAAAATGAGATGTGATTCGCTGATACAAACATGTTTTTCAAAATTTGAGCAAAATTTGTGGTCTGCCGTAATAATTACTTATGGCAACATTTTATTTTAAAAAAGAATAAAGATTTTTCATTTGTCGAATAGAGGGCGTTTTTATTTCGGAAAGTTGAGGTTGTCTATGCTCTCTTGTACGAGAAAGTTGTAAATAATTTTACGTGAAATTTTGACTAATTTCTTTTTTACAAGTGATATCTAATCTCAAAGTGAATTATTTATTGTTATGTGAGCTTGAACAGTGATGGGTTTCCATAAATGGTGTACCATATGAAACAAAAAACTATCATTGCGCACGATACCCCAACGCCATTTTGAGGCGAAATTTTATATGTAAGTGCCAAGTATTTCGCAATATTTTCGCTTTTCACCCTTCAAAAAGGGTTGTAAACACTAAATCCTTGGGTAAAATAGTTTACGAAGGTGTCCGTAAAGGTCATGTAAGATCATCTCATGATGTGACGGATGTGGGGGCTCGATGGCTGCTTCGAGTTGGGTTGCGGCGCCGTTTATCCTAAGCTCTCATTAATTAAATTAGCAGGGTTTTTTGAAGTGGCAATTGCTTCTATCTGGGAGGTTTGTGTATGTAGTGTTGTGGATGCAAATCGCATAGTTAGATGGTGGAACGGGAGTGGCTGTCGTGTGTGAATTCGGCGTGGCTAGCGTTATCGGTAGCGTTTCCGACTGTTGCAGATATCGGGTGGCGCAGAGGATGGCCCGGGGTGACGGTAGAGCTCTAATTAACTGACGGACGTCGCCGGCTTATAGCTGGCGCAAGCAGTATGTTATCCTTTTATTAACAAATTTTTATCTTTACCTTGAATTCTTTGTGAAAACTGTATGTCAAAATATCTTCACTGTTAGTTACTACTGAAACAAGACATAAGCTGGAACCTCTTGGTCTGAAGGTTTTTGGAATTATCTAGGACCTACATTTTTCTATTGTAAACTTATAAGGATTATTGATTATTTATGATGACCAGCTTGCCTAACCCTGCTTTTTGTGTACTATCAAACTAGTCCTCTGAGATAATAGTCTTCAACTATTAGATAGAATGAAAGTATAATTGTTAATTTATTTCAAAATCAATTGAAATGCAGATGTTTGTATATGAATTTTCTTTTTAATTTTGAAAAATATTAATAGGAAAATCTTTAAAATATAAATGAGTTATTGGGCACTCAAATCCTTTCAAAACAATGTGTGTGTTACTATTCTTATCTCTCAATAAACCATCCATAATGTATTATATTTGATGCTACCATCTATTACCAAATGCAAGCTATGCATCATGATTCATGGATTTATGCCAATAATATGCCACAATCATTCCGTTAGAAATTATAGAAGAGATCATGCTCTTCCTCTTTGCAAAGATGTTATGAGAACAAGTTGTATCAGACTTGGCAAATGAAATAGAATTGAATTGATATCCTCCTAATTAAGATATCAAGGTCAATTTTTATTGAAATCTACATACAGCTTTCATTCCAGTGTTGAATTTTGATATTTATTTAGTGTACAATATGAAAGAGTAGATAATTCCACAAATTGTCTAACATCTTTTTATTTTTTATTCTGATTAAAAAACTGGTATGCAAATTTTAACAATTAACATGAAATTGGTCTTATAAAACAAACTAATCTTTGTCAACTTGTGCCTAAAAATGTAAAAAAAAAAAACTCTAACAACTTAGCTGTTTACTTTAAAAAATGTGATTTCTAATTGACTGTAAACATTAACAAATTACACAGTATGGTGTGACTCAGAAAGATAGTGGCATTGTTTAAGATCAGTCATATCCAATCAGATATGACCACTGACTGGGAGCATAATGACATGTGTTGCAAGGTCATCAGCAAAATGATCCTATTTATTATTGTCTGAGAACAATGTCTATGTAGTTTGAGTTAGAAAATAGTTTTACTGCATTGTTATTATGAATTCCTGTGCATCAGCATCTGTAAAATTTTATTTTGACAAAATCATGGCAGAATTTTATCAAGGTTGCCATAGTAAATCTGAGATTTTAATAGTTTCTTTTACATTTGCTAATTTATTTACAATTCCACAGACTAAAATGCCTCGACCTGGCAGTCTCAAGGACCCTGACATAGCAGAGCTATTCAGTAAACATGATCCAGATAAAATATTCGAAGATCTCCGGGAGATTGGCCATGGGTCCTTTGGGGCGGTATACTATGCTCGCTGCAATCTCACCAAAGAGATTGTGGCGATCAAGAAAATGTCCTACCTGGGAAAGCAGAGCGAAGAAAAATGGCAGGATATTTTGAAGGAAATCAAGTTAGTTTTATAATTGATTATTTTTATATTTATTATTTTTAATTACATCATTACTTAAAGTGATTGGATAATGAGCTTTGCATTACTTGCAGTTAATATAAAACTGGTATTTCATTAAATAAGACAATAATTTCGAAAATAAAGTTTAAATTTTTACATGTACACAATATGATGTTATATTCTGATCATGTGAACTTGTTATCTAATATTTTTTGTTCATCTGTGCAGATTCCTAAAGCAGCTGGAACATCCAAATACCATAGAGTATAAAGGCTGCTACAAAAGAGAGCACACAGCATGGCTGGTCATGGAGTACTGTGTTGGGTCAGCTTCAGACATCATAGAGGTGAGTCCAAGTTAAATAATTAAAAAAAAGATACAGGAGCTGGCACATTGTGTATAAGTGCCCTGAAAAGGGGCCTGCACTTCAAAGAGAATTTGCATATTAGGTAAATCCTTCTTTTATTAAAAAAATATTTTACTGTAGGTGTAAAAAAACCCTTGCTGTCTAAAATTAAATGACCTCTGAAGTTAAAATAAGGCAAATACCTTGGCTAATCATTATCATCATAGTCATAGGCGTATCTAGGTTCTGTCTTAGGGGGCAAGTCATACCAGCATCTAGTCTAAAGAAAGTAAGTCAGATTTTTAGTTCAGATATGTTGACTTCCAGGAATGCCTGCCTTTACATGGGTTTATTAAATTCTTCTTACCTAAGGAAACTAATAATGGTTAGTTGTTAACAAGGGTGAAAATAATGAAGCCAATGGCAAACTTTTTCATAATAATCGCCATTTATTGTATGTAATAAATNACCCAAATAAACACACATTTTAAAAAAACGAAGTGACTTGCTGCAGTTACTGCTCACACACATTTCACTCATCTTTGTCATAATTACATTGCATTATGTAGGTATGTATTCCTTGAAATAAATAATATGACTAACTTGCATCCGAAAATCTGGACATTCTAATGTGAAATTATGACATCATACTATCTTCTATTTCCAAGAATCGATACTGAATAAATCGAATGCTTATTAACTTAAAGGTTTTTGAGTCATCGTTATTATAAATCATCGGTATCTTAGAATTTCCTGCAATATTGTCTGAAACATGTAATTTGTTTTAGGTAATACTAAATGAATAACACTCCATGACCAGTTTATGTTGTCTAGCTTTTGCCCGCGGTTTCATCCGCAAATTTAGTTTGTCACAGATCGTCATAAATTATAGCCTACATATTATTCTGGGTTATAAACAATAATACTGTAAAGTTTCATCAAAATCGTAATAACCATAAATCCGTTCAGTAGTTTCAGCGTGACAGAGTAACAAACATCCAGACATCCAAACATTCGCATTTATAATATTAGCAGAACTAGCTTCCTCCTGCGACACCGACTCAATTGAATTCGGCAGTAAACAAGTCACTATTTTAAATTCTAGACGTCATCTGTCTCCCTCCTGTATACATTAGATTAAATTGGAGCAATAACTCTTTTTTTTTTCACTTCTTTGTTTATTACCATGTTCTGAAAGTAAACACGATGTAGCAACTTGACCCAAGGATTTCCATTGCCTCTCCAGTTAATGAATTCAGCTCTCATGCGAGCGCACGTAACTACGCGAACTATGCAAATGTATATCAACTATTATAATGCCGTATTGTTTCCGGTTTTGTTATATCATAATTAAACGCTATCGCTTCAATATAGGCACAAAAAGATATAAATAGTTATACTTAAATACCTATACACATTTCTTTAATAATAAATCTTCGCTAGCAAATAAACAATGACATTGTCCTCCGATCTTGTTAAAGTTAATTATTAAGAAACACAAAAGAATTCAAATGAAACGAAGTAATTGATATAATCCTGTCTATATTGATTTTTGATAATGCAATACATCATTAAATTAAATAAAAACCTTGAAATGCTAATGTTTAGCAACCGGCAATGTGGCGCTCGATAAGTTTAATTTTTGAAGGGAAAGGGCTTGTTGAATTATTTATTGTTAATAACATTTCAGTAATTTTTAGATTATATCAGCATTTGTGTGGGTTTTCAAATGCAATATTAAGGAATCTCCACTTCCAAATCTGTTACTTTGTGAACCAATTAAAAATGTGTATGCATACATACATACTCTCAACGATAGTTTGTTGGGAAATCAACCTTGATTTATATCTACAGTATTAACTAAGATTAGAAACTGATAGGTAGCAATTCCATTCAGTAATCCATTTATTTGATGTCACATTTCTTCTATCTTAATTCGGAGAAAGATATTATATTTTTGTGTGTGTCCTTCAATAAATATGTGTATGAATAGTAGATACTTGTATCTATTGTCGAGACCGAGTCGTAGATTGTTTTAGTTAGAAAAACAATATTAATAATAATCCAAAATTTTGTGTTCTCTCTCTTTGGGAGACATTTATTAGGATAATACGAAAAAAAGTGCTTTCGCCTTTATTATTGGTTTTTGGGCCTTTATTTGCGCCAACTCGACCAGGTTTGATCTATTGTGCTATGTGCTATGTGCTTTCGCCTTACATTACAACTAACAACTACATACAACCAAGGATGTACTTTTTATGTATTTTACGTTTTAGAGCAAAATATCTAGTCACATCTATTATAAAATTCATAAATTCATAGGAGCAAAACACAACATTTAAATATTGAATTTGAATTAGATATTCTAATCGAAACGCAACTGTCTGTGAATTCAGAGACAAGATAGTGTATGAAAAATATCATTTATTCTAGTGTGTAGACTATTTTTTCTATCAGTGACGTCTCATTTCTATCGCCATAGGTCCACAAACGCCCTCTGCGCGAGGAAGAAATAGCGGCGATATGCGAGGGCGTGGTCTGTGGTCTGTCATACCTACACAGCCTGGGCCGCATCCACCGCGACATAAAGGCTGGCAACATTCTCCTGACGGAGAATGGCACTGTGAAGCTGGCGGACTTCGGCAGCGCGAGCATCAAGTGTCCAGCCAACAGTTTTGTGGGCACGCCTTACTGGATGGCCCCGGAAGTCATCTTGGCCATGGACGAAGGGCAGTATGATGGAAAAGTGAGTTTTCAGCAAAGACGTAACATCCAAAAGTATCTCTGTGTATCAGTGGTATTTACACTCATTCAGTAATAGCTCATAATGAGGGTTTTCGCGATTGAAAAATCCGCCAGATGGCAATACGTAGACGCGAGGTCCAAATGCTGCATGATTGGTTATTTTTGACATGACATTGACAGATATGTCAAAATCCACCAATCATGCAGCATTTGGACCTCGCGTCTACGTATTGCCATCTGGTGGATTTTTCAATCGCGAAAACCCTCATTATATTACAAAATGTATACGAAATTCGTCAACATATCCTCTTAAAAATCGGCCAACATATTTGTTAATAAAAAAAATTGTACGATATTTTTATGGAACAATCTTATCGGTCTTACTGGCCTTAACAGCTTCTCAGGAGTGCACATAGGCACTAAGCCTATCAGTAATCTGACTGACGCGTGAGCCTCAGGCCCTGAAGAAGTGGGCGTGGTTGCCGTTGACCACATATTATGAAAGATGTTAATTAGCGAACTGTACTAATACTTAATGTAGTACAAGAGAAAGCAGCACATAAACGAAAGCCAGTAATTATCGTAACTAGGTACATTATTCATTCGAAAACTGAAATGAAATCCCATTGTCACAGGTGGATGTATGGTCTCTTGGCATCACCTGCATCGAGTTAGCGGAGCGCAAGCCGCCATACTTCAACATGAATGCCATGTCTGCACTATATCATATAGCGCAAAACGACTCGCCGACGCTACAAGTAAGTTAATAGAAAAATATTTCTCGAGGATAACGCATATTATTATCCAATAGCTGTGTCCACACCGGGCGCATGGGCTCACGAGGCACACTTGACATCTTACTCACCCTGCTCTTGAATGAGCAAGATGACAAGCTTGGAATCACTTCCTTATTTGAATTTGACGAAATATACATAGCTAGATAGTTTCAGGTAATAAAACTTTCTTGTAAGATTCCTTTTTCAAGCTATTTTAGGAACTGCCTATAAGAACCTATCAAGGTTCAGGTTTAAAATAGTAGATGTTTGTTCGATTTTATTGGTTCGAAATTGACAAAGATTATTACATTTTCTAAAAACACTTTTTGCTTGTAAACATTTTAATACATTGACTGACATGTATCGCTGTATCTTCTAATATCTCAAAATACTATCTTTAAAAAAAAAGTAAAATATCAATAAATAAAATACAAAAGGTTTTACATTGTCAGGTTTTCCAAGTGCCTTATACCTGTTTAGCCATATGTAATAAATAAATAGCAACAAACAATTTCACCTGCTCCAGGCGCCAGAATGGTCTGATACATTCCGGTACTTCGTTGAGGAGTGCCTTCAGAAGAATCCCCAAGAGCGACCGTCATCTAACAAGCTCCTTGCGCATCACTTCGTCACGCGGCCGCGCTCGCCTAACGTACTAGTTGACCTGATACAAAGGACGAAGGCGGCAGTCAGGGATCTGGACAACCTGAATTATAGGAAAATGAAGAAAATCCTCATGGTGGATGCTGACAATGAAAGTGCTATTGGTGAGTGTAGTTGCTTGAACAGACTATATTTTCTTCATAATCATGTATTTTAGAAACTATTGCTCTCAGCTGCTCTACAGCTGAGAAATCATGCCTTGTTTTAATAATTCTATTTTTTTTTTTTTTCAAATTCCATTATTACCTCCACTATTCCCCTTCATGAGAGCTTAATAATATTCTAGGCTTTAGGAGAATACTTACCACAACAGTTAGCGGTCGACGGGGATAGCACTAGATCCTCGGGCGATAGTCTGATACAGAAATCGTTCGTTTATGCTCAGAATGCCTACTTCTCAATATGCCAACCGCTCGCAAAATGACAACTTCGCAGAATGCCAACTTCTCGAAATGCCAACTTCTCAAAATGACAACTTCTCGAAATGCCAACTTCTCGAAATGACAACTTCTCATAATGACAACTTACAATAATGAATGCAGGAGCAGTGAATGCTACCACAAATAATAAAAATAATTAAAAAGTCCATATATTTACATTATCTCAATATCTTTATTTGTTACTATACAATCAATCAATACACTAGGGTCGTATCGCATCAATCTCTCATCTCAAATGTCGATTGAATGACATAAACCTATATAATTGTTACAATCATTGTCAAAATCGGATAAACAAAAACCAGATAAGGTCACAGTACACTTTAAATCATAAAATAGTGTATGGCGAAAATAATGTTACGTTATGAGGGTAGTTTTAAAAAATGCACAAGTTATACTTGTCAAAATTATATCGCCCTTGTAATGTGTTAATTTATGTAGTAAAATAATTGTTTTGCTGTTACAGACCGTACCTGGTTTTTGTTTATCCCATTTTATGTGTATGTCAATCAATAGACATTTGAGATGAGAGATTGATGCGATACGACCCTAGTGTATTGATTGACTGTATAGTAACAAATAAAGATATTGAGATATTGTAAATATATGGACTTTTTAATTATTTTTATTATTTGTGGTAGCATTCACTGCTCCTGCATTCATTACAATTGTAAGTTGTCATTATGAGAAGTTGTCATTTCGAGAAGTTGGCATTTCGAGAAGTTGTCATTTTGAGAAGTTGGCATTTCGAGAAGTTGGCATTCTGCGAAGTTGTCATTTTGCGAGCGGTTGGCATTTTGAGAAGTTGGCATTCTGAGCATAAACGATCGTTGGGCTATTGTCGCCACAAAAAAACTTTTTTTTACCACAACACGGAAGCTCTTGGCCTGCATCTCACCTGATGGAAAGCTATAATTATGTCTTAGGTATATTCTAACTTCATTATGTACTGTCTAATTGAAAACTTATGCTCTATCAGGCGACAGCGAGGAAACAACCGAAGAGCGGTCGGGAGGCGATAGCTCCAAATCCAACTCGGCGACTTCGGAGCACAGCGCGGCGGGTGCTTCCAGTCAGAGCTCGTCCTCGGGCAGTCTACGCCGCCGCCCACACCCTGTAAGTGGAAGTATAAATGTCAACGTGAAATTGTGATCTCCCGTCAGATTAAAAAATAACGCGTGGGATTGTAAACTAAAGGTGGGTTAGGTTATATTTTAATCTGTCAGATTATAACCTGACGGAATTCACAATTTTACGGTGACATAAATAACGGACGAAAACTTTCATTGTGACGGAGTGTGACGTCATGTAAGGACCAATATGTTTGGTTGTTCTCTTAGCAAGTTATAACGCCTCCTTTGAGATTGTTGGAGCAATTCATTTATTTAAATGTGCTACGAAAAGATTTATCAAGTAGGGAAATTAACAATAAGAAGGACATCTGTTCGAAGTTATAATAAGAATGATTTCTGCTTCCATCAGTGCATTATGCAGCTTTTTTATTCACAGAAAACCCAACTTTTATGATCTGTAAAGCGTCATTGTTCAATATTATCAATTTGTTGTTGCACGTTTGTTGCAGTTGAACGCGAACCACCATAGTCAACATCAACAATCGCAGCAGCAGTACCAGCATCACAACCACAAGCACGCGGCGCACGCGCAAAGGTGAGCGGCTTCAGCTGTGGACGCTTTGTGTAGCACAAACATCGTGACGATTGTGTGTTCACATCTTGCTTGAGTAGATAAGAGCTTGTAGTATGTGTTGTGTAATGAGTGATGTTTAATAGAGACGCATGGTGAATGATCATTTGGTTTCAATAATAGAGAATGAGGGTTTTCGCGAATGAAAGATCCGCTAGATGGCGGGACATGGATGTGGGGTCTGACTGCTGCGTGATTGGTGGATTTTGACATATCTGTCAATGTCATGTCAAAAATAACCAATCGTGCAGCATTTGGACCTCGCGTCTACGTATAGCCATCTGGCGGATTTTTCATTCGCGAAAACCCTCATTGGTAAATATGTAAAAGTTTTTAGTCATCCGTTTGAGTGTCAAATGACTAAAAAAATATTCAAATTATATCTTAAAGACAAAGCTGTGTAAATGATCATTTATTAGTCTCTTTATATTTATAAACTATAGTAGATATAGTATATCCTCGTATGTTATATTATTATTCGTATATGTTTCTGCATATTGATCTGCCGGTCGCCTAGTTGTGTTCAAGATGAGGAAGTCTGTTGCCAATCACATACTTCTTCATCTGCTAATCACCGTAAATTTTGTGGTTCGAATCCTACATTTATTTTAACAAGTGAGCGCCGCCGGCAGTGACCATAAATTGTTGCACGAAAAAGAGTCCTATGTTGTATGTGTTCTGTGACGTTCTGAGTATATGTGTGTCCACCATTTATGTAGTGTCACTTGCACGCTCAAAAGTATATAAGTATTCCATCTCTCTATCTATGTATGTAGTATATTATTATCGTAGCAAGTACGCTAGCCGCTTACCGTAGCACGCACGCATTAGTCCGCACAATTCCTTTCAGAGCTCCCAAGCGGTGGCTTTACTCATGTTGCTGTTTCGTACGCAGAGAGAGCGAGAGCCCTCTGCCGACCTCGCACGACGATTACGTCAATCGCGATGTACTACGGGACTACGCGAATCGCGATTCGCTTTGCGACGATTACGGCGGCGATGACTACGCGAATAGAGACGTGATTCGCGAAGCTCAGAGGGAGAGAGAGAGGGAGAGACAAGCGAACGAGTACAGAGAATACGTCAACGCCCCGTCCACGTGGCAACAGGACAGCGGGGACGATAACAGGAACACGCAGCGGAGGCAGACGAATAGGAGTGAGTTTCCATTTAATTCAATACATACTACAACTTGTATAATATTTTACTGGATTTCATAAGGAAAAACAAAGTTACCTTTTCTATGTAAATTGCAGGTAGACGTTTCTGGCTGTCTTGATTACATTAGTGCAGAAGATAGTGACTTAAGTTTCGTAAACTGATTAGTGTTTTAATCTTTTATAGGTATAAGCAACAATGTCTCCGCTGCAATGTCCTTAGTATCCGAGCATGGTGCTAACAACTTTGCGACCATTCGAACTACTAGTATTGTAACCAAACAGCAGAAAGAACACAACCAGGTATGTTCCCGTTGAAGTTGATTCATTCAAAATAATATTATCTAAGCTTTTCCTTTCATAGTCTGATGACCGTGACGTGATCCTGATAAGTACGTATTGAATCGGATGTGCGTCTCTGGCTACCCATGCAAATATACAGGGTGTTAGGTAAATGGGTATATGAGCCGACACTAGCCCATGTTAACATGGTCATATAAATGGTATGGTGAAGTTAGAAATTTGATATCATAATTTTATTTTTTTTAATTTTCATACAAAATAAATTTTATAAAATCCGATTTGTATGAAAATTAAAATAATTAAAATGAAGATATCAATTTTCTGACTCCACCATACCATTTATATGACCATGTTAACATGGGCTAGTGTCGGCTCATATACCCATTTACCGTACACCCTGTAGAGTGCAATAACGATCTTAAATGCTACTCTTCGTCCTTATTCTTTCACAAATGTTGTCCAAGTAGCCAAGCCATGCATTAACTTTCATAGGAGATGCACGAGCAGATGTCTGGCTACAAGCGGATGCGGCGCGAGCACCAGGCGGCGCTGCTGAAGCTGGAGGAGCGCTGCAAGGCCGACGTCGACGCGCACAAGGCGCAGCTCGACCGCGAGTACGAGGCGCTGCTGCAGCAGCTGTCGCGCGAGCTGGAGCGGCTGCAGGTACACACGACCACCAGGCGGCGCTGCTGCAGCTGGAGGAGCGCTGCAAGGCCGACGTCGACGCGCACAAGGCGCAGCTCGACCGCGAGTACGAGGCGCTGCTGCAGCAGCTGTCGCGCGAGCTGGAGCGGCTGCAGGTACACACGACCACCAGGCGGCGCTGCTGCAGCTGGAGGAGCGCTGCAAGGCCGACGTCGNAAAAAACCAAAAATTGTCGACAATTACAGCAAAAATTTACCAAGTGTTATACCATTTTGGAATCCTTACTAAATGCGCCAAATTATGACGTCCCTTGCCACACTCGCGTAGTACAATTTTTTTTCAGTACAGTCAGTTTAAACTAGGCAAAATTTTTATTTTGAAGTTTTTTTAAGGAATAATGTATTTTTTTCATCCAAGCTGGAGCAGCTGGTTTTGTAATTTTGATAACAATTTAGAGAAGCATTATTCAGGGTTACATAACAAAAAAAAAATTTGGATAAAGTGAAGATTTGTGGCAACACGAGCAAAAGGACCGTCACCTGGAGTAGAATTTTTTGATTTTTTTTAAATGCCTTTTATTTTTAAAATATGCCACATAGATTTTTTTTTATATTTTTCTGATAACCAGCACAACTTGCCTCAACACCCAGTTCCGGCTTGACGTTACATTACGGGACACCCTGTATACACAACACGAGCGACAAGCCTTCCACTGCTGGACAGAGGCCTCCCTCACAGATTTCCACAAAGACTGGTCCTGCGCTACCTGCATCCAGGTGCTTCTTTCTACCTTCTCCAAATCATCCCTCTACCCTACGTTTTCCAGAGTACTGCAAAGATATTCTGCACGACGCGGCGGGGACATAAGACGATTTTAAGATAAAATTAATAACGAATTCATAACTTTATTTTCCAGACCAAGCACGCCCAAGAGCTTGAACGCAAGCAAAAACAGAACGCGGCGGCCGAAAAGAAGCTAATAAAAGACATCACAGCGCGCCAGGAGCAAGACCGGAAAGCGTTCGAGGCGCAGCGCAAGCGCGAATATAAGGCCAATAAGGAGCGGTGGAAAAAGGAGCTCAGCATGGACGACGCCACGCCCAAACGGCAGAGAGATGCCACGTTACAGTGAGTGACTTCTTGTAGTTTAGTTTGTGACTAACATTACGGACATTAGTCCGCCTGGTTTACTGCTAACAGATTGAGACATATTTGTAAAAAATTCCAAGCCAAGGGTTCCCTAAAAGAACACAAGTCTTGGCTCAAATAATTATGAATTATGATTTTCAGTAACTTTAATTCAGAATTTTATAATTCGTAATAATAAGTAAAATGATCGAATGAGTTGTGATGTCATAACTTGTTTTTACAATGCAAAATTTACGAGAACCTTCTACTAAACTACCTCACTTGAAAATCAAGTTGGGCTCGAGAAGTGTTGCCTATAACAAAAAAATAAGAAGAATCGCGCTTTGGCAGCTCATAAATAGCATGTCAATTGATTGGTAGTGTCAACTGCCTTTTTTTTTTCACTGCGACCGGTATCGATCTATTGTGATCCCCACTATTTACTGTTCGCCTCCGAGTCCTGCATCCACTGCACTATAGGTAGTGCAGTATCTTTTGGGGGGCGATATGTATTACATCCTGTGGGCTTAGGATGTGTTTGCCAGGTGTAAGCTACGCTTGCGCATCAAAGGTCCGTGAGTTTGTGTAGTGGCTTAGTGAGCTGTCACACTGGCGAATTGCAAGCGTTTTCAAAGCGGAGTGTCCGCGGCGAACACGTCGCGGATTCTCAACGTCTCAGCCTCGTGTCCGCCGCGGCTTTGAAAACGCTTGTAATCCGCCAGTGTGGCTGTAGCGGCCTCGACCGGGAATTGGTGAAATGAGCGAACAGTGGACTGTATTACAGGTGTATAGAAACTACGTTAATGACAGTTTGGTTGGCAAGTTATAAGCAAGGGGGCGCGCGGTGTCTCCGGCCCTAGAGTAACCGAGGGCAGCCGAAGGTGCTCGAACAGTGGCAAGGCTTACAGTAAAGCTGAACGTTGTCACAGGTCGCAAAAGGACAACATGAAGCAAGCCGAAGCGGCGGAGGAAGCGCGACTGGTGCGCGCGCAACGGGAGTACCTAGAACTAGAGCTGCGCCGCTTCCGACGCCGCCGCATGCTCGCCGCACACCACAAGGAGCAGGAGTTGCTACGCGAGGTACATCATGTTAACTACTTCGATAGCTTGTCCGAATATGAGTTCCCCAGTGTCGTCCAGGCACAACACAATCAACAAAACACAGAAACAATCGTACAGGTACCTTGTTTGCAGCCGCGCTGCTGGTAGTTACTCTGTAGGACGCCGCCGGCCGGTGGTTAGGGCTTCGCCCGGTGCCTTCGGTGGTTCACTTGAGTCACTAACTTGAAGCACAGTATGGTGGAGGCATCACACACAAAACATTTCTGGCCCAAACGCGAGAGAGCGCGTTGCGTAGGTTGCGCTTTTGCCTTCGTGGCGCGCGGCGCTGCTGTAGTCGCGCGCACTCGCCGTATATGTTTTGGCGGGACGGAGTTGGCGGCAGATTTAAATAGTTCCCGCGCAATCGTACCGTGCTCATTGAAAGCATGTGTGCCTGAACACATCACTAGCTTTTTTTTCGCTGAGGAAATGTTTTGCGCACCGTCACCACTGCCGGCGGACAGGGTGGTGTGTGNTCGACCGCAATCGAACAATATTTTTCACAAAATCGCTTAAAAGCACAGAATTTTTTCCTGGCAGAGCAGGTACAAGTACACACAACACGAACGAAAGCACCAGGCAACAATTAATGTTACAAATTTGTAGCTGTAGCTCTCGTTTCAAGCCGTCCACTGCTGGACAGTAGTCTCCCTAACAGATTTCCACAAAGACCAGTCCTGTGCTTCCTGCATCTAGGTGCTTCCACCTTCTCCAAATCATCGCTCCACCAAGATAGAGGTTTATGGATGTTTTCCAGTCTGTGGTCGTGTTTACTGTTGGCAGAGTATTTTACAAATTATATTCTGCAGGATATAATCCTTGCCATTTTTTTAAGATATGTTATGACAAACGAATAACGAATCGTAACTTTATTTTCCAGACTAAGCACGCCCAAGAGCTTGAACGCAAGCAGAAACAAAACGCGGCTGCCGAGAAGAAGCTAATAAAAGACATCACGGCGCGCCAGGAGCAAGACCGGAAAGCGTTCGAGGCGCAGCGCAAGCGCGAGTATAAGGCCAATAAGGAGCGGTGGAAAAAGGAGCTCAGCATGGACGACGCCACGCCCAAACGGCAGAGAGATGCCACGTTACAGTGAGTGACTTCTTGTAGTTTAGTTTGTGACTAACATTACGGACATTAGTCCGCCTGGTTTACTGCTAACAGATTGAGACATATTTGTAAAAAAATCCAAGCCAAGGGTTCCCTAAAAGAACAAGTCTTGGCTCAAATAATTCTGAATTAAGATTTTCAGTAACTTTAAAATCAGTAAAAAGATCGATTGAGTCATGATGTCATAACTTATTTTCACAATGCAAAAACGAGAAGCTTCTACTAAACTTACCTCATTTGAAAATCAAGTTGAGCTCGACGAGTGTACCTACCAAAAAATAGAAAGAATCGCTTTGACAGCTCATTTGGTAGTGTCAGTTTAAACTTCTTTTTTTTTTTAACTGCGATCGGTATCGATCGATCACAATAAGTGGTCGCCACTATTTTCCATACAGTCCTCATCCATTAAGTAGTGAGTATCTTTTGGGGGGAGATCTGGGGGCACGGCAGTGCCCCCACCAAGTCGAGCAAAAAAGCGGCACGGCCGTACCATCCTTTTCTCGAAGCAATTCAGGCCATTTTCGACCGCCTGTAACTTCGTTGTGGATAAAACTAGAAGGCTGAATTTTCATTAGCTATGCAGGCATTGTAAAGACACGGTATATTTAAAATTTCATTCAATTTGAACCAGTAGTTTAAGAATTATAACGGGTCAAAGTTACTTAATTTTGTCACTCACTGACTGACTCACTGACTCACCGATCATCAAAACTCTAAGGCACTTCTAGCAGACCTAGAAGCTTCAAATTTGGAATATAAGTAGTGTTTGGTGTATGAATCAAGGAAAAACTAAAATATTTGGGGGCACGGTAGTGCAACCGCCAAGTCGAGTAAATTACCATTAAACTGATTTAAAATTAAGCTGCCTCTTAATTTGACAGTTTCTGATATAAATTATCACTCCACGGGATTTGACAACAAAAACTATAACGGTAACTAAGATATTTACCCTCCCGATTTCTGTTGTTGAGTTTACTGATATCACCCAGAACAAAGTGGAATGAACCTAACGTTCGACAATATTAACTGTCATTGTCAGTGCCACCGAGCGCACGTCCGTCCTCATCAAAGTTTTCGGCCGACTGAATGCCTCGCACACAGAGAGATAGAAATATGATTTCTCAGTGCGAGGAAAGGGGCAGCAATAGCGCGCGCATCGCGGAATAAAATAACGTAAGCGACAAATCGGAAATCATTTATTTATAGAAAAACCAAACTGTATTAATAAAAAAAAAACTAGCCACTTATTAGAATCGGTTATTACCTTATCAATATAAAAATTTGGGTTTCATACATTCGCCTATCTGCTTGTATAACTAAAAATAGAGTAATAGAAGGGTCATCTTTGGAATTATTTTCTATCGAGAAAATTGTTCCCATTCATGTTTTGGCTCTAGCCACATACTAGATTTATTTGTCAACTATAACATATTTCAAAATAAGAACATAAGATAAGGGAAAAGTACGATTAAAACTAATTCTGCGCTTCTTTAAAACGCCCAATATTCGCAAGGCATCACCTTAATAATTTAGTTTTTATTGCGCTTCTCCTGAAAGTAACTGAAATAGAATATGCAAGTGGCCCGTCGTTAACGACTAAATCCACCGTTTGGCCCGACTCTTCAAAAGGTTAAGCAGCCTTGCCTAGAGCATCGTTCATTTGTTTCAAATGAAAGGTGTTCACTGTTAATACCTGGTCCGTGAGCACTTAGAATTTTGTCCAATGACCCCAAGCTACCCATCCTTATCGCTCGCGCGTAATTATGTTGCTGTCGCGCTCGCACACTGACTGCGGGCGCGCGTCGCACAGTCGCGATAAGGATGGGTAGCTTGGGGTCATTGGACAAAATTCTACGTGCTCACGGACCAGGCTTTAGATAGACTCGTCTTTCAAAGATTTCCAAGGAGTAAGAGCTGCTGCGCGAGGTATGTCACAACTCTTACTTGTCTTCCTAGAACCTCGTTCGTTTCAACCAAAAGACGTCCACTGCTGGATAAAGACAAGACTGTAATAACATTATCTCATTGCAATTCCAGGAGCTGAACAAACGACAACAACAGTTAGAGCAGGCGCATTCCATGCTCCTACGCCACCATGAGAAGACGCAAGAACTCGAATACCGGCAACAGAAAGGCGTTCATGCGCTAAGGTGAGTTCTCTAAAGCTTAGCTGACAAACCTTTCCAAGAGTAGTACGTAAATTTTACTTTTACCAACTGGCCTATCCGTGATGTGTACGACGGACATCAAGAAACATCATCCGTAGTACAAAGTTGGAAATGAAAGTAGCCTAACGGCAGTTGGAAAGTAATCCATATCATCGAAAATACTTTAAACTAATTTTAATCGCGAAAGTTGTAACATTTGCTTCCACTGATATACTGACTGTCAAGCTTCAACCACACCAACGCGTGGGCTGCACGCGTTGGTGTGGTTGAAGCTTGACAAAACGCACTTTTTGATCGAATCGAAAATCGAATCCGTCAAAACTCCATACAAAAAAGGGGAATTTCGACCACTTTTCGACTGGTTTGTGATTATAATTTGCACTTTGTCTAGACCCACAGATCGTTATCGCCGGCGCGATGAAAGGCCAATGACAGGTCGCGCGACCTATGACAGATCACGCGACCTGTCATTTGAACACGCCGTGATCGTGCCGGCGATGGCGATCTGCACGCGTTGGTGTGGTTGAAGCATCTATATTATATCAAGTATATAAAAGTGTACAACCTGAAATTGTGTGATTTGTTTTTGCCGATTAATATTGTGTAACGGCTTATTATTAGCCGGGACGATTCACCGCGTTCAGATTATTTACATCGATTGTTAGTCACAAAATATGCCCTTGATTTCAGAGAGGAGCAGCTGTCGAATCAACACGCGACGGAGCTGGCCAACCAGCGGGAGTACATGCAGCGCGCCGAGCACGAGCTGCGGAAGAAGCACGCGCTGCAGCTCAAGCAGCAGCCCAAGAGCCTCAAGGTGAGTTCAACTGCCTCTCCAAGACATTTGAACACGCCCTTTTATCGTGGACTTGGCTGGAGGCTGTAAATAGGATGTGGTTTTGTAAAACAACGCCCATTCCAGGGGTGATAGGACATGAACAAGAAAAATATAAATAAAATTTTAACTTTATTATTAGAAAACCCTGTACAAACGTCGCCTAAAAAGACAATGCCGGAAATTGGCGTCTTTTTTTTTCGCGCGGCCATCGACCAAACCTTGTTTTTTGATTACAAAATAGTGTAATAAACCAAACTTACTATAACATGTATACCTCTAAACTCAGTCTGAACTGAGTTACGAGCATTAGAAGTTTGATGATTTTCATACTAGATTTGCTTTTTGCGCGCAAGTTTTGTAAGAAATTGCAACAAAATAGTGACATTGTATGTGAAAACAAACAATACCATCCATTAAAGGCTCCAGACATCAGTGTGGAGCAGAATCAGGGCAATAAAAAAATAGCGCAATATTTTGTTGCAATTTCTTACAAAACTAGCGCGCAAAAAGCAAATCTAGNAAAAATAACTGAGATAGATTTTTTTCCTTATTTTTCCTAAAGTAGTCATGACTATGTCCATCCTGTGGCGTCGGCTTACCCTTGAATTTTGGGACACGTTGTATACATAGATGGTCAGGGAATTTTGAAAAAAAATGTCAGGGAAAGTCAGGGAAAAGTCAGGGAATTTTTTCGAACATTTGCAGTGGACACCCTGGTAGTACGTAATTTTAATTTCTGTGACGGGTCTGGGTGTGACTATGTATAATATTTATGTATTAAAAAAAAAAGTATATAAGTAGTATATCCGTTAAGCTAGCACCCATAACACAAGCATTAAGTTGCTTACTTTGGGGCTAGCTGGCGCTGTGTGAAATTGTCCAAAGATTTATTTATTTATTTATTTATAATTTTACTACGTAATTTTTTACTTTTAACTTACTGGCCTACCCGTGATGTGTCTAGAACATCAAGAAACATGATCCGTAGTACAAAGTTGTTAATGAAAATATGTAGCATGACGGCAGTTGGAAAGTAATCCATATCATTGAAAATACTTTAAATTATTTTAATCGCGAAAGTTGTAACATTTGCTTCCACTGATACATATACTGACTTGACTGTCAAGCTTCAACCACACCAACGCGTGAAGATCGCCATTGCCGGCGCGATCACGGCTCGGCAAGTATATTGAAGAAGTGTACAACCTAAAATTGTGTGATTTGTTTTTGCCGATTAACCGATTGAGTCTCAGACGGGCATTAATTAATGTCATAACAATTGATTATCTATTGTGTCTAGATTCGCGGAGCTTGAAGGATTAATATTGTGTAACGGCTTATTATTAGCCGGGACGATTCATTACATCGATTGTGTCAGTAACAAAATATGCGCATGCTTGATTCAGAGAGGAGCAGCTGTCGAATCAACACGCGACGGAGCTGGCCAACCAGCGCGAGTACATGCAGCGCGCCGAGCACGAGCTGCGGAAGAAACACGCGCTGCAGCTCAAGCAGCAGCCCAAGAGCCTCAAGGTGAGTTCAACTGCCTCTCCAAGACTTTTGAACACGCCCTTTTATCGTGGACTTGGCTGAAGGCTGTTAATATACAGGGTGTGGTTTTGTAAAACAACGCCCATTTCAGGGGTGATAGGACATGAACAAGAAAAATATAAATAAAATTTTAACTTTATTATTAGAAAACCTTGTACAAACGTCTCCTAAAACTTTCGAGACGGCGCTTGTTACCGCCCGCACCACCCCCGCGTGCCCCGCTACACCACCGAGCACATGCTGCCACCGCCCCGGGAGAGCGGGGGGACTGTCCGATAGCTTGCCTGCGTTATAATACTATTTTTCTGTTATTTTTTTTTGGCATCAGTGTCGTGTATACTACCACCCCTGAGATGGGCGTTGTTTTACAAAACCACGCCCTGTATGTCATCGTAGCCTTAAAATGTGTAAGGTCTGGTTTCCACCAAGGCGGAGCAGAGCGAAGCGGAAAAGTGTTTTGAATAACCAATCAGATTTCATTATTTCCACATCTTCACTCCACGCGGCGACCGAACCTAAGTTCACGAATCATAAAACCTGACACTAGGGTTGTGGTCACAATCTACGAATCACGAGAAGATTACTTTCTTATCGCCAGTAGACAAAAAGTCGTAAATAAACATTATTTATCATTAATAAATATTTTTTTCTTTTCCTTTACAGCAAAAAGAAATGCAAATTCGCAAGCAGTTCCGGGAAACGTGTAAGATACAGACGCGTCAATACAAAGCATTGAAGGCGCAGATATTACAGATGACTGCCAAGGTAAGCATTGCTGTAAATCAAGTAATTGTTAACCTACCAGCTAATTTTTGAAATTTAAAACTTGTGAAGTTCTATATCATAATACAACTTTGAGAAAAACTGGTACAAATGTTTTACCTCACGAAAGCGGATGAACCATACTTATGTGAATGTTGATGAATAAAATACTTGCGTGCGTAAGCTCGGAAGAGCTAAGTTTTGGCCGAGTACTGTAATAGCGCGTGTCTATAATAAGCAGCAACTACTTAAGTCCGGCTGCCGAACAGATAGAGACGGGCGGTCGCAGTGAGTGTGCGAACGCGACAGCAATATAATTACGTGCGAGTGATAAGGATGGGTAGCTTGGGGTCATTGGACGAAATTCTATCTGCTCGGCGACCGGACTTTAGTATGTTTTACTCGTTTTCGTGAGATACAACAACTACGCATTAGTAAGAGCAATTGTTAATAAGGATCAGGGTTGCATGATTTAAATCATGATTTAAATCAAAGGCCGAAAATGGAATTAATGAAAGGCTGGGAGTTTATATTAATCAACTGTAATGTTCGAAAACAATGTTAATAATAGGTGTTAATGTATGAAATTGATGTTTTGAATAGAGAATCAGAAAAAAATATTTTTTCCGTACAAACATGTTTGCGATTTTTTAGATAACCACACAATTTTTTTTTTGGTGGTGTTGCCAGCTCTATACATCAATTCTACGTAAATAAAAATGTTTTCCGTAAGAATCGAAAAAATCAAATAAATAAAAAAATGGTGATTTTTAAAAAAAAAATCTGATTTTTTTGAAATCATGATTTTTTTTCCACCCTGATAAGGATGTTGTGTTCCAGGAGCAACAAAAGGAAGTGATAAAGTCTCTGAAGGACGAGAAGCGGCGCAAGTTAGTATTGCTGGGCGAGCAATACGACCAGAGCATCACCGAGATGCTGCAGAAGCAGACCGTGCGCCTGGACGAGAGCCAGATGGTTGGTGTTGACTGTTATAGATCGTTTCATCCACGAAGACCCGCCCCACCATTCTTCCGCTAGTGTTTGAGTGTTAACGGTACACGCTAAATTATCCATGAGTGCACACGCACACTACAATAATGACGCTCGGATTGCTCGGATCAAACTCCCCGCACCCCGCGCTTCCGGGGGGGCGGGCGCACGCTGCGAACGTTCGCGAGTTGTACTAGCGATGTAACTAATAGGCGAACGTATGCGCCCGTGTCGGATGTCGAGGGTGCCGCGCAAGTTTTAACGTAGTCTTGATTTTAATTCTTATTTTGTGGATATTCCTAAAATGTTCGAGTCAAACTTGCGGATCACAGAATGTGCCCGAGTTTCAATAGTTATGCTAGTTTCTTTTAGGTGGTTATCACACTGCGCCACGCTCCGCAGCGCGTGATTTTTCATAAAAAAAAAACGCGCGCGGACGCGTTGTCAGTGTGAAGTGCCGCGCGTGTTTTCTATACAAACTGCCGTACTTGCATACAATGATTAAATCTGTCGCCCCGCGCTCCGCGGCGGAGCGAGGCGCAGTGTGATAACCGCCTTAGGAGCCTATTCGGTATACTTTTAGTTGCTCTCAATCAATACGTTATGATATTTCTGCTGAAATTAAAATTTGAATAATTTCCCTTCCACAGATGGAGTGCCAACAGCTGAAGATGCAACTAGAGCATGAGCTGGACATGCTGACCGCTTACCAGAGCAAGAGCAAGATGCAGGCCGAGGCGCAGCGCAACCGCGAGCGCCGCGAGCTNTGTTAACCTACCAGCTAATTTTTGAAATTTTAAAATTGTTATGTTTTAGATCTACTTGGTCTAGCAAATAACTCAATAAGTGCCCTAGGAATGGAAGCGGCACGGGAGGATGTTCTTATTGACGTCAAACATCAGCGAGACATCAGATTTTATGCTCTATCGGGTCATGTTACGTCAAAGCCACCTCCTATGCCGCTCCCATACCTCAGGCACTGACTTGACTGTTATGCGCTGGAGAATAATTTCACCTAGGATCCATAGACACATAAGACACCTAAGATCCGGCTACCTAAGTAAACTCCGACAAACGTTACTTCGACATTACGTTACTCCGACATTTCTGAATATCGACATGACTTTACTTCGACACTACACTACTCCGACAAAGGATATTCGCCTTTGTCTAAGTAGTGTGGTGTCGAAGTAAAGTCATGTTGATATTCAGTAGTGTCGGAGTAACGTAATGTCGAAGTAACGTTTGTCGGAGTTCAGTTTTTGAGCCCTAAGATCCATAGATCGAACACTACGGCAGTTAAAACTTTCTATTACTTGATTATATTTTTAATACAGACCTTCGGGGCTACACCAAAAAACGTTATCGGAAGTTTCGAACGTTGCCATCCCTGTCACGCAAAGAGAGATGCCAGCATGAGCGACGGTGACAGATAGACCCGAAACTACGTAAACGGCGTTTCGGAGTAGCCCTCCTTGTCGTACTAATCATGAAGCCGATCAGTGCAATTTTTAACAATGTTGTTGTTATCCAGGAGCAACAAAAGGAAGTGATAAAGTCTCTGAAGGACGAGAAGCGGCGCAAGTTAGTATTGCTGGGCGAGCAATACGACCAGAGCATCACCGAGATGCTGCAGAAGCAGACCGTGCGCCTGGACGAGAGCCAGATGGTCAGTGCATGCACGTCATTATTCTTCTAGTCGTGACGACAACAAACCTATACAGTGTCACAAAACTCCGCTGCAAGAGTGGCGGTAGCATTCATTAAATCTTCCTGCGTTCAGTTGTTTGGGCAAGCAGGGCACGACATTATGTTGTGTGCTTCATCGACTGGGGAACACACTAAGTTTGAGCTAACCAGGAATGTCCAACCTGAACAGATTGTGCTTACTACGTGATTATTAAGGGGCACGCATTCTTATCTATCGGTATACATTAATTGCTCTAAATCAATATATGGATGAAATTTCTGCTGCAATTAAAATTTGAACAATTTCCCTTCCGCAGATGGAGTGCCAACAGCTGAAGATGCAACTAGAGCATGAGTTGGACATGCTGACCGCTTACCAGAGCAAGAGCAAGATGCAGGCCGAGGCGCAGCGCAACCGCGAGCGCCGCGAGCTCGAGGAGCGCGTGGCCGTGCGCCGGGCGCTGCTGGAGCAGAAGGTAAGGCCTCAGATCAAGGGAAGGCGACAGAGTAGATCTGCTGCGAAGCTGGCACGTTATTTCTACCTAAGTGGAGAGGAGAGATGTGAGAAGGCAAAGAGGAATGAAGCGGCCGCCCCGCCCGAGACATCCCCGTACTGATTCTGGCTTGCAACCTGGCTTCTGGCTGGAGACCTGGCTCGCGGCCCAGATTCTATAGAAATAGACCGCCCGACCACATGTCCACGAAGTTAAGCGAATAGATGTGGAAATAACGAAATCTGATTGGCTATTCAAAACGAATCACTCGTCTCCTCTCCGCCTATTTAAAAAACCGGCCCGAAGATACCACTGAATAAAAGGAAATGTATGAAAGCGGAAATGTAAACTGTGCCTCGCAAGTTGACAAAAGCTATGAAGTGATGAATGTTTGTGTCTAATGCTATCCACACAGCATCGGTGTATGCACCTTAGCTGAAAAAGATCTCTAATCGTCTCCGCTTTAAGTTATCTGACGCTGAAATCTGAGCGCTATAATCAGTTCATCAAGGTAGATCTATCACAAAACAACGTATTAATCAACCCGTGTTCGCAGATGGAGTCGGAGTGCGCGCAGTTCGTGGCGGACCGCGCCGAGCGCACGCGGCTGCTGCACGACCGCCACGAGCGCGAGCTCGACCACTTCGACAACGAGAGCGCGCGCCTCGGCTTCAGGTAACCACACGTCACAATAGACATGTTGACACCACCTCTCCCATAGATTTTGTATGGCGTTACAAGCAAGTGACGTCACTATTTTGTCAACTCAATCAAACTACTTTTTTCAATTACAATGCGAACAAAAATCGTAATTTACAGGTAATTTTATTTTGGTATTTTATTGTCGGCCGTTTGGTATAGTGGTTCAGAACGGACTACTATGCCGAGAGGTCCCGGGTTCAATTCCCGGCCGGGCAGAAATTGAAATGATGAATTTTAATTTCTGTGACGGGTCTGGGCGTGACTATGTATAATATTTATGTATTTAAAAAAAAAGTATATAAGTAGTATATCCGTTAAGCTAGCACCCATAACACAAGCATTGAGTTGCTTACTTTGGGGCTAGCTGGCGCTGTGTGAAATTGTCCAGTTTTTTTTTTTTTTTAATTTAAAATGAATTAAGTTTTTAAGACCAGAATAAAGGGTCTTTTTAAAACAGTTGTGGTTTAGAATTATTGGGTTATGGTGTCAAACTGTCTATTGTTTCTAGGTAAGCTTTGATGCTTCCCCAATGATGGGGACGAAGAAGGGAAGGGTTTATGTGGGACTCCGCTAGAAGGGCGGGGCCTACCAACTAAAACCCGACGGTGTCACCATTTTTGTCAATGTAACGGAGCCGCGAGTTATTGACACATTACTAAAGTCCGGTCGCCGAGCAGATAGAATTTCGTCCAATGACCCCAAGCTACTCATCCTTGTCGTTCGCGCGTAATTATATTGCTGTCGCGCTCGCAGACTCACTGCGGCCGCCCGTCGCACAGTCGCGACTGCAATATAATTACGCGCAAGCGATAAAGCTTGGGGTCATTGGACGAAATTCTATGTGCTCGGCGTCCGAACTTTACACTGCTCTGAACTGACTTGTGTTCCATACACATTCATTCAACAAAGAAGTAACGCTGTGGTTCGGTTAAAAATCCGTAGTTATTGCAGTTAACGTTCTGTGACTATTACCACCGCTGCAACTCCTGTGTAGCCAGGATCTACAGTTTTACCGCCAATAATAAATAACCCAACAAAGTCAAATTAATTCCGGGGGAAAATTAAACTGACATTGGATCCTACTATTTAACTAGATATTGAAAATAATTATTTTAATAAATGGATTACATTTCATAATGCCTGTGTTCATTCCAGCGCGATGGCGATAGCGGAAGGCAGCCGGGAGGGCTACGGCGAGGAGGAGCAGTCACTCTCGGGCTCCATGCTGTCCCTGGCGCACTCCAACTCGTCGGCGTCGTTCCCCGCCGGCTCGCTCTAGTCGCGCCGCGCCGCTGTTGCCAAACCGCCCGTGTCGCTGCCCAGGTTGACCCTCTCCCCTTTCCCGGTCTCGTATAGCCCCCCCGCTAGGTAGAAACTTGAACTAGGGCTAGGAAGCACGCCGCGATAAGCTTTGTCGCGCCATTTTATCGATTTTTTTCAAGGCGAGAGTAATAGGCACTTACAGGGCAGATGACACTTACCATCCTAGACTGCATCTTACGCAACACCAGTGGCCTAATTCACGTATTTTGACAGTCAAGATCTCGCTGACGTTCAAAAGTCTCCCAATTTAACACAGTTCTAAATCCGTATTCANCACACTACGGGCTAAGGGCTATTACGAATCTTACCAACCGGATGCTAATTGTACATTTACAATGCGACTAAAAACAAATATGAAAACTAACGACGCGGCGATGTCATTGGTTGGCAATGCGTTCGCGATGCTATTGACTCTACCAAAGGCCTTCCCCACTAATGCGTCGCGGCTGCGCAGGCGCTGGTGAGACGACGTTGAAAGGACGCTAATGTGGGGGGTCCCGAAGCGGAACCTTTTAACCACCAATAGAATTTATTCACACATTCTCGTCTCATCTAGATTTTACCACTGTACAGAGATGTGACTGCCTCGCAAGCTGATTAAAGCTAAGAAGTGACAAGTGTCAAATCGCGCTAAACGTATTCGCACGCGTTCAATGCAGCAAACCCCGTGCAGCATCGGTAGATACACCATAGCTAAAAAAGATTTCTCATGGTCCTCGCTTTGACCATCTCCGCCTTAAAACTTATCTGACACTGAAATCTGAGCGCTATAATTAGTTCATCATAACCCACCACCACCCATGGTTCTTCCTGCCTCACGGCGTACGAACCGAATCTCGGGAGAGCGCGCGGGTACTTGCTCTGGGCTCTTTGCTTGACTCCCTACAAATTTATTTGATCCATATCCCTTCTCATAGTCAATTCTCGCCTTTCTGGGGCTTGACACCACAAATACGGTACTTCGCGTCGGGCTGCTATCGTTGATAAATGTCATCACTTCTTCTCATAACTTCGCCTGATTGTGTGCCAGGAGTGCGCGAACTCGCGCAGCGCGATCCAGTTACTGCGACTACTCGTGAGGTCCTGGTGATAAACAGGTCCTTGCTCGGCTCTCCGTATCGCATCCAGCATCTTCTGTCGAGCTTCGTCATAGAGGTTACATTCCCAAAGTGCGTGATCGCGGATAATCAGTTCAAAATTCAAATTCAAAACGTTTATTTGCCAAAAACACAGTAATACAGGGTGACAATATTAAATAGGATCATGTGTTTAGTCTGCTCGCAGACGTGCAAAAATTACAGGATTCAATAGTATTAATGTCAAATAATTAAGAAAATGTCAATGTAAAATTAAATTAATAGTATCAATGTCGCCAATTAAAATATTCCTTATAACTATAAAAACATTTGTCCAAAAGCCAGCAAGTCAATCTGCTTTTGAATATAGGGCCTTGGAGTACTTTAAGTTCTTCCGGTAGTAGATTATACATAACCATACTCGTGTTATATGCATTTCTTTTATATATATCCTTGCGACAGGGAGGTTGATAATTAGGTTTAAGTATTGCTGTCTTATATGAGGTCTTACAGTGACTTCTCTGCGGGTCTTGTAATAGCTGGGGAAAGACTACAAAGAAGCAGCTTTCCCTGATATAGATGATATCCCTGATTCATGAAGGAAGATCTATCGCAGCACGGCGTAATAACAATGTATGTGTTCGCAGATGGAGTCGGAGTGCGCGCAGTTCGTGGCGGACCGCGCCGAGCGCACGCGGCTGCTGCACGACCGCCACGAGCGCGAGCTCGACCACTTCGACAACGAGAGCGCGCGCCTCGGCTTCAGGTAACTACGCACTTACTTACGTAAGGCTGTGGTATCCTATAGATGCCTGCATGACTTCAAAACTACTACAGATCGCGCAAAGAGAGTTGAGGCCAAAGATTGAAAAAATGACATGAAATGTGTGACAGATTGCACAGCGCCCCTAAAGGTTACTTTCAAAGTCAAAAGTCAAAATTTCTTTATTTGTTTAGACTAATAAATAGTTCTTACAAATCGTCATAATTATGCTCTTAAAGAGCCTCTCATTAATCTTTTTACCCTACCAGCGCTTCGAGACCAACATTTGGCAAGTGCTGAGAAGAAGCGCCGCAACAAACTCAGTCACCACTGTATGCCGGTTAATATAAATAAATAGAAATAGTAGTAGTAGGTAAATTCGATTCAGGAGCAGTTCACTGAATTTACCATGCATTCTTGTATGGTGTATCATAAGAATGGGTATACAAGATTGCGTGGTATATTAAACAAGGTAGTGACGTGCTAATATCTAGACTTACATATTAAGGTACTAGTAGAAATGACTCGCATACATAAATTTGAATAACTTGGGATTGACCAGTCCCCGAAAGCAGCGCCTGTTCACAGACATGACGAGTGAACCAGCCATCACTTCACTCGACTATATTAGAGGGAATGTAACGAAATTTCAAGAACTAAAATCGTCATACATTTTTTGACGCGCTCGTTAGCGGTGACGCACATGTAAACTCATGGTGTTCGCTTCAACTTTCGTTGCGCGATCTATAAATATTGTTAAAAAAATCTGCATGCAGTACGAACTACGGATTTTTTAATAGCAGTCACAGAACGGATTACGAAATCGTGACTACTATGTAACTAGTTATTGGAGAGATGGATTAGATTTCATAATGCTTGTGTTAATTCCAGCGCTATGGCGATAGCGGAAGGCAGCCGGGAGGGCTACGGCGAGGAGGAGCAGTCACTCTCGGGCTCCATGCTGTCCCTGGCGCACTCCAACTCGTCGGCGTCGTTCCCCGCCGGCTCGCTTTAGTCGCGCCGCGCCGCTGTTGCCAAACCGCCCGAGTCGCTGCCCAGGTTGACCCTCTCCCTTTTCCCGGTCTCGTGTAGCCCCCCCGCTAGGTAGAAACTTGAACTAGGGCTAGGAAGCACGCCGCGATATGCTTTGTCGCGCCATTTTATCGATTTGGCGAGAGTGAATAGTTAACAGGGCAGATATGTACCATCCTAGACTGCATCTTACGTAACACCAGGGGCCTAATTCACGTATTTTGACAGTCAAGATCTCGCTGACGTTCAAAAGTCGTCTCATTGAAAAACAGTTCTAAATCCTTATTCACAAGGGTCATTTTCGATAGAATGATTACTCGATAGGATCGCAACTCCAGTATTTTGTTGTCGTTGAAGTTTTGTTACGTGAATAAGGCTACTGGTACGATTGCGGTCAAATACCTGCCTTGTCCTGCATAAAAAAATGCGCGATAAATACGTTTGTCGTCTAAGATCGATAAGATTTTATCACGGCGCGCATCCTAGTCCGGCTGGGTTGCTCCGAAACGATGTTTATGAAGTTTCGGGTCTATCTGTCACTGTCTCTGACACTCCGAACTACAGACTGTTTGTCGACCGATAGTGATCGGGCTGTTAATGAGTATGAATTTGTATGAAAGTGCGCATGCGATACTGATTAATTGGTATCGGTCGATTCCTCTTGTACAAATTGGAAACTGATCAAACTATCGGCCAACTAAACGTATGTAGTTTGCAGGGTGTCATAAACTGACATCTCGCTTTGCGTGAGATTGATGGCTACTTCGAAATTTCGGACGGTTTTCGGAGTTATCCCGCAGCGCCCGCTTCGGACGATATCACTCGGGCGTGTGACGTGACTTCACAATAGCCATATTAGGCCTACGAACCACATTTTCAATTTTATAACCTCGTCGGCCTAAACGTGCGCCGGTTGCTTTTTATTTTACCCAGGGCGATGCAATTTATTTTTATTTTGGGCCATCATTTTTTTGGTCATTTATATGAGTACCTCTACGCAGACGTCACGAGTTGATAACCAAACGAAGCTTGTCGCTGTTTCATGTTAACATTAGTCGCAATAGATGAATAGATATTAGCGACACTTGGCTCGCCCGCAGTGTCATGCTCTCTACAGCCGCTTCCGACGTCGGGGCCTTTGGCAACAGCACCAACTATTCCACAAAACCATTGTAATTACTGAGACTGTATCTGCCCTCCCGCGGACGAGCGATCCCTGGGCTTTAACGTGGCATTATCCGTGTGCTTGAAGCCAAATTTAATTTGTAATTAACGTATTTTATGTTGTCTTCCAAACGAAAGTGCGTCAGTATTTAGTAGTCGACGATGGTTCGGGAGGGCGTTTCCTATTCTATTACACTATTAAGTTTATTGCACTCCGTAAATATTAACAATGACGCGCGGTAGACTACGGTATGGTCCTTCGCTTTGATCACTATCCGAAGATATTACACTTGACTAAATCGGTGATCAAAACGAAGCTATCGTCTCCACTGCGTGGTCCATCAGTGTGTTTCTGGTTTTTGTACATTTCATCCGACCATCTTATTCACTTTACATGAGGTTGCATATCGAAGAAAATATAAAATACTCCATTTATACAGTATTCCCTTGATTAATTTTATTTACTTGTAGAATATACATACACATTTGATATGTGTGCCTACGAATGGATCGCAAGGTCGCACCAGAAACATACTGCTGTCGAAATAAAGTATATTGTATGATGTTAACAAAGAGGTTATTCGCGAGTTTGTGTGCCGATAGCATGATGTTTTAATGATAATGCAATCACGTGAGAATGAAACGCTTCTTTTATTAGTAATTTTACTCACAACACGTCTCTCGTTCTGTTGATTCTGGCAACGCATGAAGACAAATCTAAAAGATATTTTGTCTAATTAATTAAAGTAATAATAAAAAAATTGCTGTTTCGCTCGTATTGAATGAATAAACTATCCTAGATTCAATGGAATCATGTCTGATTGAACGATCTCTTAGACATAAGGAATTTTATTTCGCTTATTTTAGTATAAAATATATAAAACAAACAAAAAAACTTAGCACATTAGGCCGTCCATCTATAACGCATTCAAACTCAGCAGAAGCAACAGAACAGAAGACCGTAGAAGGCATGTTTAATAAAAAAATATAAAGTCTAGTATTCTTAATCTACTCTTGTATAATATGTAGTTTTATGATAAGTTTCTATAGTGGTTTTAGCAAATTTTTCGTCTTGATACTCCACCAGAACAAGATTGAGAAATGAGGCGTATACTGAGTGTACGTCAGACGTAACACAAACGTTAGCTGCCGCGCGAGCCCCGCCGCCGCCCCGACGCAAATTATTATTATTTTAATATTAGATAGTCAAAATTTTTAACATTCATATCATTAGTTTTTACTTTAGGAACGATTTATCAAGAGTGATTATTGTAAGTTGAATTTTTTTAAGTCTCGGACTGATCGTACTCGTTTATTGGCCTATTACGTTTATCTGTTGATGTTAAATTTTATCGTACCGACGACGCAACAATGATCGATATATTTACGTTACGTTGTTAGATTGTAATTTGTAGCGCGCTTCACTAAACGAATTCTAACAAACGTGCAGGTGCTGTCGTAACTTACTGCCGAAACGTCTTTTGTAAATATGTATAACTATATTATTAGCTTACATACAAATTGCCTTACGACGGCGAGACGCGCGGGGCTCTGCATTTTGTATATAATGAACAATAATATTAACTATACATAATTTGTTACATTTTATAAGGTGCAAATTCGATTCGTGTACATTTGAAATGCGATGCAACGGGCCTCGGTGCTGAGGTCGATATGTGCTATTTTGTCATTATTTAGTTCACCAATACGCTATTGTATTCCGAACTAAGCAACCAGTCATGTCTGTAGATGATTATATTATTTAATTTAACGTTGATTGTAGTCATAAAATCCAAATTTAGTTAATTCTATAATTGAAAAGTAATTTTTTACTTTAATATTTTTTCCTATCTAATATCACATTGCTTGTAAGCATCACATGATGTGATCGTACTGTATTATTTTGAGTCTGTTAGCTTTGTATATTACGTATTTATATATTTCATGTCTTGACACCTAAGCGAAATAGGTATAAAAATGAATTTGGAAAAAAAATGGCCTGAATTTGCTGTTTTCACAAAAAGGGCAGACGAAACAGTGCCATCACTTTCACTATTGTTTTTTTTATAATCAATGGATGGCGCTGTAATTTGAAAATTGTTACTGATGTAGCATGTACTTTTCACTATTATTCCTCCTGAACTGACCAAATAAATGACAATAATCTCTAGACACAGCCTATCTCGACTCGTCATCCTGTCACTGTAAATACATTTTAGGCCGTGTGTAGGAGCGGAGCGATGATCATAGGGTTGAGTTTATGAGTGTTAAAAAATCGTATGAGTAGCCAAATTGTAGTATAAAATTTATCTTTAAAAGCTTTGGCTTCCATTAATTTTATTTCATAATAACGACAATTTTATTAATCTATATTTTAGCTTAATTTTTGCCTTTATTTTTATAAAAATAAGCAATTTGCCAACGTCACAAGAACAAACGTTATTTATTCTATGTCCATCGCTACGCTCTACGTTCATAAAAAATCTGGAACCGAAGCACTAAGGAATTGAATTGTGAGCTGTAACTTCGCTTGCGTGCAATAGATGGTCGGTACTTAAGGTAGGCGCCGTAGTGTCGCTGGTAGCCTCGGCCCGCGGGCGCGAGCTAGTGCTTAGGCGCACATTTCCTTGTTCTAATCTCCCACCACTTAGCTGTTCTAGAGTTAGTTATCAGGTTACACCCTTGGACGACCCGCCAGATTTTTTATTATTATTATTACATACAATATAGAAGTACCAAACTGTAGCTAGCTCACGTATTATGTAAATTGTAATTAAATAATTTTTATATTTTACCATTGTATAGACGTTTATTATCACTGATAGGTAGTTAGCGACATTGAGAGGTGACAAGGTGCGCGCGGCCGCCGCCCGTTTATATAGTTTGCGATTGTTTGCGGCTCGCTCAGTGCACCGTTGTTGTTTTCTTTTATTTTATTTTTTGTTATATATTTAAATAACACAATGGTAGTTTTAATAATTATTATCATTAATTATTATATTGTAATATAATCTTATTAATGAAAAAAATCAAACCGAAATAAATAGAAAAGAAATCAATCTGTATTTTAATTTTCTATCCTTTGATTGACATCTGCAATTAGATGAAAGTTAAAAACAACAAGACACATCTGCTTCACTACACAGTCATCCATCACTATTACTACACGTACGATTACATCTTATCGATAGACGATAAGCCCCTTTATTGCCCGTGTTATTACCATTCTTACTACCAGTAGTAATACCGGTAAAGTGTTTACCCGTCTTACTACTGTAGTTGAAAGTTGTTAGAACAGCAATAAAATATTGCTCGTGTTACTACCGTTTAATTTTAATTACAAAAACAACAAAATATAGCGAATTTGTATGTTTACAAAAGTACCTACAAAAAATACTCAGAAAATGGCAACAAATACCTATCTGTTGCAAAAAAAAAAACAATCTATTACCACGATAAGATTTTATCGTGGCGCGCTTTCAGCCTGCAGGTATCTTCCTTCCTATAAGTTCCTAGTGCTCTTCTATCATAGGCATTAAATAGGAGCATTTGACATCTGAATTATAATCGGCGCAGACTCATGGCAGGCGGTGTAATAAAACAGTGCATATCACATTTTCTCTATACTCACACTGGTCATGGGTGATGCCACACAAAGGCAGGCACAGCGTTGTTTATAATTACAATTATGTAATAATTAGTAAAATATTGGCGAATGTGCATCTCTGTTTCAAAAATTACACTTATGGCCCCGCCTGCCACGAGTCTGCGTCGAGTATAGGAATACATTTTGAATGAAACAACAATTCAACTGTTTAAAAAAGTCTACTTCAACTAATTTTTTACAATTAAAATAAGACAAAAAAATGTTGCACAAACAACTTCATAAAGTAACTTTAGGTGTAAATAAAGAAATCCTTATAATGTATAAGTTGATCTTATAGATATTTTTACATGAATAATAACGATTTCATTACTTTTATAAATGCTATAAAAATTATAGAGTTAAATACACTGGTCGCGACTATGTAGATATTCTACGACACGTCATCTTCAATACGAAAATAAGATAAGAATGATGACAACAAATAGATTGTGCACAATTTGTTTTTAGTTGCGCGTTCTAAACATTTTCCGTAGGCGAGTTTGCATCATCCAATATGTTATCTATCGCAAATATACCTATAGCGATGCTGTATACAATTTCGCACAACGACGATAATAAACTATTATTAAAGTATCAAGAATACACTTTAGTTTGCTAAATTTCAATAATGTAAACATAGAAAGTAGCCATAATTTATTCGCTACCTTAACACATTCAAGATTGTGCTGCTATCATATTATCAAATAAACAACGATCTTATCGTTTCGTAGGTATTATCGATATCGAGAGTTCTGTTTAATTCCCCGACTAGAAATGCCGACATAATTGCTCCAACATTATTTAGATTTGCTTGAAAAAGCATGAATACTAATATAACATTATGTATTCAAACAGCATTGTCAACAATAAAATACAAAAAAATACATCGACGTTAATATGCATGCCTTATGAATAATTTTGCATAAATTTCAATGTTTTGATTCAATTATTGATTTTTATTATCAAATGTGATTTATCAAGACTTCTAAATACATATTAATTTTTTACCTCTCACAAATTTTTCAANTCAATTAATTTCTTCAGAGGATCTACCCACGCGATTTCATATGCGAAAACTTACACATAACATTTATGTGATATTTTACGCTAGACATAAATGTGCAAAGGCAAGACATTTATTAAAGACAACCCTAGAATCAAAAAGTTAAGCCTTACTTAAATACATTGATCTTCAAATAGGTTTTAAATGCACATCACACAGCAACGGAAATTAGTGTCAAAGGCAGTCATTATTTATCCTTTGTTTGTATTAATTTGCCCTTCTTGTCGGGAAATCATGACGTGCAAAACTAACAAATGTGAAACTATTGGTGTGCATTATTGTATAGTAAAACCAAAATGTTAAATTAATCTCTCATCACTTCCATCCCATGTTTCTATCTTTTGATATCCCCATGGTAAAATGGAACAGTAAAACGTCTTTTCAAATAGCACTCAAACAATTAGTGTGCGTAGGGTGTCGACATCCGATAATAAGAACGGATTTTAGGGGGGGTAAAACGGGTCCACGCGTACGAAGTCGCGGGCAGCTGCTAATACAAATATTTGTATCTTATTTATCACCGAGGAGAATATCTGCCCCATAATTGGAACTAGAGTCAACTGTCGTTGTTGCAGTCACGCACTACACACTACACGCTACACACTGATAATATCTTCATAATATGCTCAAATGCCCACTCTTTTGGAGAACCATCCATCGCCCACAAAAGGTCTAATACGAAGCAAGGTGGGAAATGGCACAGTAAGTGAGTGAGTTAAACTGCCTAGATTAGGGGTCAGCAAAGTACCCCCCTAAGGGGATAAAACGGAGGATGACACTCCACGCGTACGAAGTCACGGGTGGCCGCTAGTAAAGATATAAAGACTGTCCCGAGTTCAAGCTGGTTCTAATGTTGAAATTCAACCGATCACAGGCTCGAATGCTTAAGTTTAAGTCAAGTTGAAGTAGGTATAGTCTACTATCCTTACGTATTACTGTTCCCTTCTACTATGACATCCGTGCTTGTTAAGTCTACTGTGTGGGCGAGAATTCAGTAGGCTCCAGGCCACAAACTGTCCCAGCCTTTGGTTACACTGATTTAAACATAAATCCTGAGTTCAAGATGTTGAAATTCAACCAATTAGAGGCTTGAATTTGTGCTTAATTTGCGTTTTACTGTTCCTTTTTTACTATGGCGTCCTTCCTCATGTTTGTGTTTACTGTGTGGGCGAGAATTAGGTAGTCTCCAGGATGCGGCAGTGCATCTCTCTCTGACGAGCGCCACGCACTCGACCCAGCCTTTGGTTACACCGAGTTCAAGATGTTGAAATTCAATTACAGGCTTGGATTTGTGCTTAAGATTGGATTGAGTTGGAAAATTAACGTTTTACTGTTCCTTTTTACTATGTTGTCCTTCCTTATGTTCGTGTTTACTTTGTGGGCGAGAACTCGGTAGGTTCCAGGATGCGGCAGTGCATCTCCCTGATGAGCGCCACGCACTCGTCTCAGCCTTCGGTTACACCGAGTTCAAGATTTCAATACAGGCTTGGATTTGTGCTTAAGATTGGATTGAGTTGGAAAATTTGAATCTAAACGTTTTACTGTTCCTTCCTACTATGACATGGCATCCGTACTAGTTTGGTTTACTGTGTGGGCGAGAATTCGGTGGGCTCCAGGATGCGGCAGTGCATCTCCCTGATGAGCGGCACGGTGTAGGCCACGCACTCGTCCCAGCCAGGGTTGCGCCACGTGCTTTCACGCGTCTCGCGGCGCGCTTGCAGGTCCTTGTAGCCTGGATAAAGAGTTCATGTTATATTTATTTATACATTTGCCATAAATTGGTACATGGTGAACTTAATGCCATGAGGCATAGTCTGCCAGACACTACCAGTTATCCTAATTAGTCATAGTCATAAACGTTTATTGCATCATGTTGGTACATTTGGATTTTAAATAATAATACAGAGTCCTGAAACATGGTCCTGTAAGGGCATTGCAACATTTGTCATTCAAAAGATTTCCTTAGATTTGATTAGGACATTGCAGTGGCAAGTAGGTAGGCAAGGCTTGAATTATGTTTTTTTTTCTTTTCAAAAAGCAAGATCTTTCTTGGATCTGAGAATGCTTGTGCTAGTTGCATTGTGAATTGTGATTGCAACTGAAATGATATTCAAGATAAGATTTTGGGAAGCAGTAGGTCCGTTTGAGGAAGGTTAAAGATTTTTTACTACAAAATGGGCAAATCAAATCTATAGCGATCAGAAACTTACACCAAATATGATGTACGTTATACAGGCGTCCGATCTGCGAGAAGTACCCGGCGAAGGCTTCGTTCTGCGAGCGGCGGTACGTCAACCCGCGCGCCCAGTTGTTGCCCCACTCGATCATGGTGCCCGGCTTGAGACTGCGGAGACAACAACAATGTTAGCGGTTAGCGCAATGAGAATTTGATAAATTTTGAGGGACAATCTATGACCTTTGTTATGAATGGCACCCAAAACTTAACCAACTGGACGACACTCAAATCTCTAGATGGAATTTTAACCAATCACAGGACTAGAACTAATCTATGCTCGAGTTTTGAGTTTTTCGTCGTTGGTTGATACGGGCCTCAATTCATCAACTGAAGCATAGATGTAAGCTTGTCATCAGGGCCTTCATTTAACTATTGGGGCCCTTGGGTACCCCTTCTTAAACTAAAAAAGCAGCATAAGAAACAATTACAAGTACAAATGTTAGGTTAATGTTCCAAGCACCCTTCCATTACCGTACCCTGGGCAAGTGCCTTTCCAGCGGGAAAAAGGATCTGCAGGTAATCCTATAATCAAACCAATTTTTAACTAAATGCAGCCAACTATAGACTTGAATCAATATTTGAGTGTTAACCAATTATTGAGTCAAGTGTTATGGTATATGGTCTATATCCTCAATAGCATACCTGTAGGATCGTATCTCGTAGATGTTGTTGGGCGCCCGCGGCTCGCCGTTGGGCCAGAAGCTGAAGGCGAGCAGGTACTGCAGATGCCGCGACCGCACGAAGTTGCCGCGTTCCTTCTCTAAAGCTCTGTATTCCTGGTATATCACATGTTTTCGTGTTACAATCAAGATAATATTTATTTATTTAAAAATTACATGCACATAAATCGCAGGTACATAAAGCGAATTTAATGCCACTTGAAATTCACTTCCAGTTAACCTTAGGGCCAAAGTGATAAAACAAAATATTGTTTTTTTTTTTAGATTGTCATCTGTTATGGTGTACTAAATTTAAAAAAATCACAATCACCTCATTATTACAGATTACATTAGGCATTACAAGTGGTGAAGATCACAAGATAACCACTATTTTATTAAAATTATTTCATTTCTTTTTTTCTGGGTTAGAGGAGTCATTTACCTAAGGTAAATACATATTTGGTATAATTTTGTACATATTTTGTATTATACCAAACATTTTTAATTTTTACCTATTTTGAAGAACATTATCACATTCAGGTCTGATAAAAATTTAAAACTTTATCACCTTAAATTTATACTTGCAGATTTCAAAGAGTCTAAAAATAGGTGTACAATATTTTTCTATACCACTTACAGGGCTCTCTTTGAACAGAATCTTTGCTTTATCAATCTTCTCAAATCCTCCAACATAGCGCCATAGGTGCAGGGCCTGGTCCATATCTCCAACCGACACCGTCCATGATCCCACGAGCTCACACCCCAGTTCAGCTTTCTGTGAGTGGACAAACTCCACTGAGGTTTTGCTGTTAAAAAAGGCCAAATACAGTAAGTTATGGCAGAATCTATTTCTTGCACGGCCTTAGTTTCTCTACTTGACCTGTGATTGACTGGCAGAGAATGCCACCTGGCATTAAGTCCGCCACTGCACTGTATTATGTGCAAAAAGTATATAAAATAAATAATTAATATTTAAATTACATAAGCTGCTGCTTCAAATGATTCTACTATGCTTAATGATCTGACTGTTTATCATTAGTTGTTAAATAATTTAGCAGATTTTTAACAATGTAACTTGAACTAATTTACTATTAATTAATTTAGTAATGTAAACATACATCTTAGTACATTCTGTAAGGAAACATATTCATTACTATGGGGTATTAGAAAGGTCATAGTTCTGAAGATAACAACAGCACAGAATAAACAATCGCTAGTTGCCGCTCAACTAATGATTGTGTCAACTGTGGTCTATTTACAGATTGTTGCATAACGGCCAATAAGTTCGCCGGTCCGCTGCCGGCATAAATTATATAAGGTTCAATATACAAACGAACTTACTAGTTTTTCAAGTATTTATCTACAGAGTCGGGCCTTATGTTATGCGTATGAAGCGCATAAATTATCTCCTTGTCGCTAAGCATACGGCTGTGGGATTCCTTGGTAGGCTCTATCCTTCGCACCAACAGCTTTGAAAACCATCCATCATCAGCGTTGAGTTGGGCACTTGTTGTGCTGATCAACCTACAAAAATAACTTTCACTGCAGATTCCAAATTTAAAACCAACACTTTACAAAACAACATTTACGAAAATGTAAGAAACCTTGCATTCTTCGGTATATGACTGCTTAAACTAAATGCTCTAGTTACGGAATTCATGTTCACTGTTTAACTAAACACTAATGACGATCTTGTAATGTATTTTTCTGATAAATTCAGAATTCTGTACTACTTGTTATCAATTTGACAAAATCACTTGAAGGTTATCTTGGAAATAGATTTATGACCGGTAGCGGCATCTATGAATATTGACCGGAACTATTTTTTATGCGTCTCAATTGACAATTTCTACAATTACGTAAAACGGAACAGACTTTAAATGAATTTTATACTTTTAAGTAAATACTCTCCATTTTATATGCGTTAAAATATGTAAATCATAGTTTTTAGGCACATTTTTATAATTGATCCATTAACAGTGAATAATGAATATAATAAAATATTAACCTAAAGCTTGGAATAATGAGAAACGGAACGTTAAGTGACAGACAATTTTGACATTTGTTTGTTCAGAAAGTGTCAAAGCAATTTACCGATAAATGTTCTTTTTTATTTCAATAAAAACAGTATAAATCGTTCAAGGTGCCTTTTTTCTGGATATAACAGTTAAAAAACATCGTCATGGGTGAGTAGCTATCATTAAGATCGAGAGTGTGTTGGTGGTCATTTGTTTATAATAGTGGGCGGTGTTGTCAGTACCGTAGTGTTGTGAAATGTCGTTTTGTGCAGCTTCGAGCGAGGTGACGAAGCTTCAGCAGCATCTGACGCTGCTGAAGGAGGAGTACAGCAAGTTGCAGAGCCACTGCGCCGAGGTGGAGCGCAAGTACACTCTTGTGGCAGCGTCGGCGGGGGACCTGAGCGAAACCAGTTTCGTGGCTCGGCTTCTCATGACTGTAGCCACCCTGTATGGCAGAGATACGTACTCGGACATCACCATCAAACTGCAAAGCAAGTCTATGCCTGGCCACAAATTTGTATTGAATGCGCGGTCTGATGATTGGAATGAAGAAGCACTTAAAAACCTTGAAGAATTGGGTAATTAATTTTCTTCTACTCATTAATTAATACTTAATGAAATAAGTACCTACTTATTGTATGTAAATTGTATGAGTAATGAATGTTATCTCTTAATTGACATCTAAATGATTATGTCATCCATAGCTTATTACTTCTAAGAACTCCTTAGGGACTTCCTGTTATCTACTGTAATAATATTTTTGTTCAAATTACAGACTGGTCCAACCTACCTGATGACATTGGGGCAGCTCTGCTCAAGTGGCTGTACACAGACGTGGTGGACCTCTCCCGAGGGGAGACGTTTGCGTTGCAGCTCATGAAGTCCGCCGCTGGCTTCAAACTACACGGACTGGTTGGGAAGTGTGAACAGGCACTCATTGCTACTGTTGGTGTTAGGTAAATATAAAAAAATATACCAATACATAGTCTGTTTCTTTGTTTAATATTAAAAAAAACTAAAGTTCAATAAAGATCAGAGAGAGAGAGAGTAACAACTAATTAGTTTGTTGTATTCTTTACTTTTGATCAGTTTCAACTTTCATTAGTCGGATAGGAAGAGGAAATTATTATTTTTTGTTAAAATTCTATTGTCAAATGATTTCCTATTCTCTATTACAAATTGGTTTACTTCCTGGATATTCAATTTTATGCTGAATAATGTAGTTAATAAATTAATGTCAATAAGGACTCTTACTAAAAGTTTTGTATCTTCATTTTTAGGTCTTGTGTTAAGTTCTACTCTGCCGCTGATGAGATTGGGGCTTCGGCACTCAAAGAGCACTGTTCTGGACTGATATCTGCTCACTGGGATGATCTCACAGGTATTGCCTTGGCTTTAACATTGAAACTATTTAGTAGATCAATGCTAATAAAACATAAATAAATACTATCTTATCTATATCTGTATCCCTTTTCTTTCTTATTAGGTGAATGAGACACAACAAACTGATACATTTATTTTTGATTTATAATTTTGTTTGTATAATTTCTTAATCTTATTAATAGACATACATCATTGCCAATAGTTCATATGAAAATAATGTACTGTTTATTACTGATATCATACATTTTAATATGAAGTTCTTACAATGACTGTTATTCAATCCTATATTTTACTTTCGTTTAAGTGAAAATTTTTATCCAACTGCCAATACCCCTGTCCGTCCACTATAGTTTTATTTTTGAGTCTCACATAAATAATTCACTAAAATAAAACACAGTCTAATAGTAAATTATGCATATTTAAATGAATCTTTAAAATATGGAATCATGTTGTGTATTTAAAACTCCACTTTTAAAACGAGATCATAATCGTGTCTTAAATTTGTTAAAGGTGACGACTTCGCGCACATGTCTTCGGCGCTCCTGTACCGAATGCTGAAGAGCAAGACTGCCCAGCCTTTGCACGGCGCCGTGCGGCTCATGCGGGAAGACGTCGTCTTCCTCTGCCTCGTCGAGAACCACGCGAATGTGAGTATTATTACCTATATTAATAAGGTTTATAATAAAACTGCTTTGGTTACATCGCGTCGTGCAATCCATGAGCGAAGACGTTGTATTTCTCTGTCTTGTTGAGTACCACGCGAATATGAGTATAGATCGTTTCATCCACGAAGACGCGCCCCACCAATTTTTGGTCGAGGGAAGCGCGGGGTGCGGGGAGTTTGATCCGAGCAATCCGAGCATCATTATTGTAATGTGCGTGCAAACTCATGGATAATTTCAGCTCAGCTATTGATCGCACACAAAAGTTTATAACGGCTTTATTTTACAAACTGGATATGCGGCCAAGTTTGTTTTCGCCACTAAGTCGGCGCCACTTTCGCTGAACGGGATGTTTTATTTTAACATATTATTATACAAAGAGGCTGCATATTCTGTAACCGAATTCTGGTAACTTACATACTTATTGGATTATTGGGAAAAAAAACTAGAAAAGCGCCACTTGGTGAGCTGTTTTTGCTCCATCCTTTGGTCACTGTTTATGTATTCTGTAACTGTTTACTTGGATGACCACACCTATTGGACAGCAAGAACCTAATGGACAACAAGACATATTGTTCCTATTTATATCTTTCTGACAACTAGAGCCAAGAAGATAAGCTGTAAGGCATTCCTAAAATGCTATTGTGATAACTTGTAACAAGGAAATGCTAGTTAGCATAAGATTTAAGTCTACTTTATGCTGTCCACTCGGTTTTAAGACAACCAGGTGTAGGATTGCAGTACGACAGACACTAGAAGGAATTCCACTCTCTTGAAGAATGTTTGTAAATAATGTGCGGTTGACCACATAATCTACTTTTAATTATGACTACTTTAGTAAACTTTTTATCTAAATCGCTTTACGCTTGCAATCTAGAAACAAATATAACTTCATCACACGGATTAGTCAAACAGGGTTCATATTATCAGATAAATAGAGTTCATTATTAAGCAGGAATGATTTATTAAAAATACAATTTACAATACAACTTAAATTAATAGGATAGGTGATATTTAGCACATACACATACATTTTTAAAAGTAACTGGGAACTCTTAAATCTAAAATAAAGAAAATAAAAATATATGATTGATTACATTACATACTGCCTTAAAGGCTGACGTTATGACTAGCAAAATTGCTTAATATTAAAGCACCACCACACCTCACGAAGCTCTCTTTCTTTGGAATATTAAATAGAATAAGTAAAATACAAATCTAATATTATTAGAGTACATAGCAAATAAGCGAACCTATTTTGTTATTTATACAATATATTCGAGTTTTACATAATTAACCTATTGGCAGATAAGAAACCCGTAAAATTGTTGTAAAAATGTATGTTGTATTTTTTAAGAAGTATGAAATGAAGTAAGATATTTACAATATTACTTTTAAGCAATACTTTTTATACTAAAAACTGTTTCTACAATAGGCAGTGTCAGAAGAAACCAAAACATAATAATCTGTATGTTTTTGGTGACCTAGTTTTGTAAAGAATGCGTTAAAAAATCTTTTTCTCGGTATGAAGCAGTGTTTCCATCTACCTTATCGGCTTAAACTGTCTACAAGTGATAACGCTGCATTTCATGCACTCTTTAACTTGTCTTTAAACTATTCTGTTATACAATCTTCACACTTTTGTTTATTTGTAAATGTGACTGTGAAGGTCACAGCCGGCTGTTAAACATTGCTACTTGTCATTTGCATACATTATAATGTTGAAACTATAATAATAGATTATGGTTAACAGTTCCAAAACAATTAACACGAGTACAGCTTTATAATTAAATTATAGATTATGTTTTGCCGCAGTATTATGTACAGATTCATAAAAATAGGTAATTAATATTATATTGAGTATTCAACAATCGCTAATGAACATTATCCTTCCTTATCCTCGACCAACTGCAACAATATTCATTGTTGTTGTCATCCCAACTAATATTATAAATGCGAAAGTAACTCTGTCTGTCTGTCTGTCTGTTACGCTTTCCCGCTTAAACCTCGCAACCGATTTTGATGAAATTAGGCATAGATATAGTTTGAGTCCCGGGAAAGAACATAGGATAGTTTTTATCCCGGTTTTTGAAACAGGGACGCGCGCGATAAAGTTTTTCTGTGACAGACAAAATTCCACGCGGGCGAAGCCGCGGGCGGAAAGCTAGTCAATAACAAAAGAATCCGCTACATGGAATTTGTATTTATTATCCTTATTAGCATTATTTTAATATGCAAGTAAATGATACTAACCTTTTAACGGGCATAACAAGTCCAAAATATTCATCGTTTTAGGACCAAGGAATAAAGTTCGAAATAATACTATATTCCCACTGCTGTATAAGGGGTTAAAATCCTCCAAAAATACATGCTGAAGTAATTTGCGCGCTTTGTCCCTAGACATTTAAAAGGTAAAAAGGGTTTATAATTTTCCCTAAAGTGTATTCAAAACTTCGTCAGTATTTATTTTTATCATTAGCTCAATAAAAAAAGAAATAATATTGGTATAAATAAAGCTAAACATATTCTCAGACTCGAAGCACTGTTGCACAAGTCTCCCCTGCAGTAGCATTCAGTAGATTTAGTAGGGCGCTCATCCCCCGAGTGGTCCTTGCACGACTCCTCGTAAGGTTCGTATATCTCGTTCACTTTCCGCCATTTTCCATTTACCTTCCTCTGGTCACCGTCCCAGGTTTGCGCGGCGCAACCGCGTTCCACGCTTCTGGTGACATCTGTAACTGAAATTGAGACGAAATAAGTCTTTTGGAAATAATGGCAGAAAAGGGTTGAGGTCTGGGTGGGACATTAGCAATGAACGTAACTATGCAGATCTCAAGATGGTCAAAATTTGATTAAAACGTAGTTATGCAAGGTGAGGCCCGGTTTACACCAAAGTGGAGCGGAGCGGACAAGTGTTTTGAATAACCAATCAGATTTCATTATTTCCACTTCTCGTCTCCGCTCCGCGCAGCTTCGCTTTGCGCCGCTGTCAAATTCTATAGAAAATTTTGTCGGCCCGACACTTCCCGCCTTGGTGGAAACTGGGCTTAAAGGTTCAAATTACCTAAACCATCTAAAACCGTAAAACGAAACGTTTTTAAAAAATAAACTAAGATGTGGACTCCGGAGTTAAACAGTAGCTTCTCAGTTGAAATGTTTACCCTATTCGGTCAATAAAATGCAAGAAAAATAAAAGCAATCAAGTCGGTAGTCGGCGCCACAATGGCCGCTTTGTCACAGCTGGGCCACATGCCCCTCTTAGGCGCATTCCACACTGAGGTGACTTAACACACATGTACATAATGTAGTCCATGTTTGGCCATATCCATGTGATTCTTGTCTTTTTGGCAAGAACCCTATGGCTGTTATCATCAAAATAATCATGTTACCTAAATCTGTGAAAATAAAGACCGTTTTTCTTGGCCTGTATGGTCACTTCCTTAGAATTCTCTTATGGTGGCATGCAGCCCTCATTAGCACTGTCCAGTCAGTTTCCTAACCACTTTAACGAATGCGTCATACCTACTAGAAACGTAATTCCACTCTCGCTGTTTCGATTTTCTTACAAAAACACATCCTACAAATAAATGACGTTACCGGAAAATGGCGCAAATGGAATTTATGCAATTATAAAAGGAAATATTTTACATTATTTTAGTTATCAGAAATCCCTATTGCTTACTATTCAGCGTAGAATTTACCTCAAGGCAGTTTTTATTTATCTGTATTTGGAGCAATGGCAATGGTGACGGCATTCTACCGCCGACCTTTCAACCATTAAGTGCTCGTTTAGTATTTTACTATAATGGTGGCGCGCCTCAAATCAATTATCCTAATTCTCCTTTTACGCCGAATACAAGTGCCCTTTTACAGCAACTCGTAAAGTCGGCCGTCTTAGTATGCGACACATGCCTAATACGGACCTAGGTACATAAAAGTTGCGTAAAGGAATTCTCGCAAGTAGCGGGCTCAAGACGTGAAAGTTCGATGAATGAGTGATGGAAGAGGATATTTTTATTACCCTGCGTTCTTTGTATCGCATTTTAATGTTAATGAACTTGCCGATGTGTACGTGTGTCAGAATAATTCAATAATATTGACTTCCGCGCATGGAAGGGCTCAGAAAGGCATCAAGTTCACAATATACGATTGCAANGATTGAAACACCGGAGTAGGTAAACCAATCGGTGGCTATGAACTGTATTAGAGTATTAAAATCTCTCTTCAAGGTTATTTAAGCTAGAAGCAGCTTTCGAAATAAGTGTAAAACAAAAATGTGCAAGTTTAGGACGTTAAGGTCAACCGGTCGTTGCTACCTCTTTGTATGTGCCATATGGCCATCCATTATGCTTATTTTGATAGCTGCTATAATCCGTTTTTAGTGTTCGTTAGCGGAACCCTTTTAAGAAAATCACGACCATATTGGCAAATCCTTGCGTCTTTCTGTGTTATATCAGGGTTTGTTTATTTATAACGTTTTTTACTTTTACTTCTTATTTTTAACACAATATTATTGGCACAATGTAGCGGCAAGACGCCTTCGGTATTCATTTTCGGCTGTTGTTGCGTTAATGAGCCAAAGTTATCTCTTATAAACTTTGTTTTAGAGGCTTGGAGCTAGATTGTATCTTCAATCTTCGGTTTTCTTGCACGTCATAACACGAATACTAATGCTACTCTCATTTACTTTAATTGGGACCAAATGCAGCAGTGCAAGGTTAAAAGAAATCGTCGACATTCAAATCAAGTTAAAAATTAGCCTGATAAATAGCACCAATTAGGTGCAGACGAACAGACCTCATGACCCGACTCTGCTAATTGAAGCCATCAATATAATCAATGGCCAAAACGGGGTTAACGTACCATTGGTGTGTAAAGACACTCTTGCAATATTTTATAATGGGATTAGATGACGCCATGCTCGAAACAAATTATCAGAATTGCGGTTTTCAATTAAGCTTTTAGTGAAACAAAGCCAATGACACATTTAACTGGTATGTTGCCGTTTGTAATTTTGGATTTATCCTATTATTTGTTGGGCTATATGATCTGAGCAATTTACCATTCTGTAATTTATACCAGCTGGCGACGTTTTTAAAGACGTTTTAGGATGAAAAAGATCGGAAGGAATGGTCGGTATAGTTTTAATTTTGATAAATAATACTGATGACAGATGATGTTCACACATAATTATGCCCTTATTTTGATGTCGTCTTTCTCACCTTCAGATATTGCAAGTCATATTTATTCAGGGCCAATATCTATGCGAAGAGAGACAATCAATAACGTTGTTTGGTCATGATATGTATGTAATACCAGTCCGTATTATTTAGGGCGTAAGGGTGGCTGTTATTTACCCACTTCAACTACTTTTGTCTGACGCCAGGGTGACGCGCAGACAGTTCTTTCATTACTTGCTACTATTTGCCATCTATGGCGCCAAGTTTACCCATTAAATGTAAATTCCTACTGGTTTTTTGGGGTTAATTTTGAGTACGATAATTTTGTCTGAATGTTACAACATTTCTCACAGTATATAAAATAGGGTTGATTGGTGGCATTGATTTCTCGACTTAAAGGTTCTGAAATCTGGGGTAGATTACACAGATGAGACACACGAAGTGTAAAAATCATTACGTGTATTTGTTCACAGATTGGTTAAGTTAAGACTCGACTTGAACTGATTGCGTCCTAAAAGAAATAAGATTCCATGTTTACTGTGGTACGGTAAGCTGATTGAGCTGTCAGGCGCCCAGGCAGTTCATTAAGCAACTGAAAAGGAGACAAAGTTTTTTACATCACAATTTTCAATCTACTTACGTCCGTTCCCCAGTTGGAGGGTAGTGATTTTCTTGAAGCACATGGTGGATGAGTTGCACTCTACAATGTAGGCGTCGCTGGCGTCGAAGTGGGTGCACAGCCGGGTTGTGCTCGTGTGGAATTCCTTCTCCGGGGAACATTTGTAGCACCGCACGCATTGAGACGCTGGAAAAAAAAATTGTGTGCGTGGTTGAAATACTGTTGCTGAAATGCACTTCTACTAAGGCCCGCCATACGCGGACATCTTGAAGCAGCTAGATCGTCAGGTTCAAGCTGCAACTGTAGAGAAAACTACAGCATTCTACGTACAAACATACCGGAACCCCTCGAGCAGTTGTGACTGCTACCGGTGGTTCGGATCTGACCGTATATGGCGGGCCTTACTCGAATCAATAAGGTGCAAAAACAAAAGCAAACCACTTTTACTTTGCGTTAGGGGTGTCCACCTAGAAAATACATCAATGATTTTTCCATCGAGCTTTTACATCGATTGTTTTCTCAAACTCAAGTACATTTTCTAACATTAAATCGCAAAGCTTATGACACTCCTAAACAAACTATTTTTTATTATCTTAGTCTCCTACTGCCCTTAGACCATTAGCCATTAGACAGGCAAATTCGGATAGAATGAATGTAAATTGTGAATAAATGAATTACTATGTGCTAACTAGTAGAGGCTTAACTTGTAGTTAAGCCGCAAGTTAATATTGTAGAGTATAGACAGACCTAGAGATAATAATTATTCTATCGTCTTTTATTTATCTTTGGCCTGTAATAAACCTAGCAACTATGGAAGTTCTACAGAGATTGATCAGTATAAATATCGATATAAGACAGTCATCAAACAATAACTTAGCTTATTATTTGTAATAACAATGGCTTGTTTAACAGGAAATATACGAGGAAATTGGAACACCATATCGATAAAAATGATTAATGTGTGTTATCTTCAATAAATAATAAAAACTGATTAAAATAATAAAGGCCCAAGGTTCATTTTAGTGATTTAAATTATAATTATCATTTTGAAATTAATTTAATTAGTGTAATGTGCTTTAATAACAGAATATAGCTTAATATACACTAATACATGTAGTATAAACGGTCTTTTGTTCGTGCCTATGTTTTTGCAATATCCAAAAACATTATTGTTTTGGCACAGGCATTGTTTGAATATTTACTAAGCGCATCACATTATTTTTGTAGTAAAGTAGCACATATTTCAACTATGTAGGTAAGATGCCACATAGTAAGCTTTGAGTACGCATCATTCGTACATAGGAATGTCAATAAAAGCTTTTACAAACAGGATCCTAGTGTAAATAAATAGTGAAAGTACATAGACTTCTAATAACTGGAGGTATTTATTATAGGTTCAAGTACCTATGTAGAAACAATTTTATTGATTCATTTAAAGAAAAACTAATATTAATTACTAATAAATAATATTTCATTTAGGAAAAATCTCTCCAGCCCGATAAAATATTGAACTTACAATTCTATAAGTCAAGGATCGTATTATCATACATTAAATTCAAATTATGCATAATGCCCAATAGTTTTTCTGTGGCTAGACAGCTATAGAATAATTATGGGCGAATTAGCCTTCATCACGCCTACTGTGGGCGTGACAGAGTAACCCACGTGTAATAAAAACAATATTAATATTAACTTTATTGAATACTTTTAGATGTTCATATTTAAAATCCTAACAGTTCGAAGTTAAAACTGGGGCCTTATTAAAAAAAGTTAAACCCGGGATGAACACTGGTGTAAAATTACATTTCCGTGCTAAATGTCAATTTAAACTAGAGTTCAACTAAGTAGAGTTTAAATTTTGTATTAAAGGGGATAATGTCCTAGAAGTATTTGAAGAATGGATATTTTTCCTTATGTATTGCTTTGGTATTTAAGTATTTATTTACTGGTCATCATGAAATAACATAATAAGCATTATCGAGTCCTTGACATTATCAACTGACAAGAGACAATACAAGATAACGAAACGCAGAACTCCCATGTAAATTAAAAACAATACACTACTTACATTTCCACAACATTGTAAACGCCAACATAAACAGTGTCAAATCCATTTTCATGAATAAAACTCCACTTAAAATTCCGCTGAAATCTATTATTAAAGTAAACTTTACACAAATTAAAAACGAGCGGCAAATTCTATAGAATCATAATGAGATTTAATATTGTTTATTTACAAGCCGCGTTTTCCGTTCCATGTGCTACGGCAGACTGAAATGTTGCACCTCCATATTCAAGTCATGATTCACAGGAAGGAAGCCCCTGTGGCAAAACGGGACATGTCCAAATATCGAAGAAATGTAATTCTACGCGGACTATACGCTGATTCACGCGGTCGATGCTGGCGCCGGCGCGCGACTAAACTTTGGCGGTCTCAACAGACGACTGCTGATTCGGAATCTTCCTTCACTTCACCCCACTTGTCGTTTGTTTTGGTTTTTATCAGCCTGTCTGAAGAATGCTACCTCGCGAACGAGGCGGCGAAAGTTACTAAACAGTAAACACTAGCTGCCAAAGTACTCACTCTTCAAGCAATTATCGCTTTTTTGCCGAGAGCAGTAATCTTGGCGTATATTTATTTTTGTAACGCTTGTTGGAGTAGCCGCACTTGATATTATTAGGTGGTCGACCGCTGCGTGCCTATCCAGCATTTTGATAGTTTGCAGGCTACCTAAATTTAGTTCATTGTTAAATGAAATCTCAAATAATCAAATAGGTCATTAAACCTGATTTTTATTGTAATTAAAAAATAATAAATCAGATTACAAATACCTAAATCTTTTTTTACAATTCGCGACTTATACAGTTTTGCTATTAGCGTATGTTATTGTGAAACATTAACCCATTCTCGATATCATACCAAATGACTCCCACATCCTTTGATAAAAACTTGCTGTTTTATTTTCTGTCAGCACATTCACTATAGCGATTGACTGGTCAATGTAGGCAAATATTATGATTCACTGAACCATTGATAAAGTAATCGAAAGTATTTTCTTATTTATTTTTTTATTATTAAACGCAGTTACCTACTTTTGTTTAGAATGTTTGTCTAGACTAGTGCAGATTTTTCAGAATATTTTCATCTATGTATTAAATAAACTATACTTCCTGCTATTTCTAACTGCCAGAATGTATTTCGGCGATTGGTTCTCCTCTATTCTTTCCGCCGACCTTGATGGAAGAATCCCCGATTATTTCAATAGTCTGGCAATACTAAAACTTTCCTACCGAAGAGAGAAATCTGTGAACATTGAAATAAAAAAAATATACAGTTTAACACAAGTACATACATACTTACTTCTTCTTTTTTATTACTTTCGTATTTATAATTTGTATTTTTATAGATAAAACAAATAAAATTAGAATTACATTCGTCACAATATTACTTTATTCATTTATTTTCTCGTAAACCAGTGGGAGCGTCATGTTTCGTGCGTGACACCAATTTGCCCTGACTTTAATTACAGAATATAATGCTAATAATTTAATGTATTTTGCCTAGTAACACAATTACAGTAGTAGTGGTTTAGAAATAGTTAAAAAACTATGTTATGAAACCTATCAATATTGAGTACCTACGTATTTAAATTATTTTCATTATTTATTTTATTGTTAAGAGCCATTTTACATTTTCGTGCGAATTTCTAAGATTTTGGAAGCATGAATTACTATCTTAAGCAACACCCAGAGATTATTTAATAACTGCGAAAGATAGGTCGATCCTTGTTGTTGACCATTAATGAAACGGATTTACTAAAACTCTTTTGCTTAATTCACAGTGCCCCATCTCCCACAACCATTTTACGAAAAAATTGCCGCAGACTCATTTTCAAANTTAACCAACAATATTTTTTGTTAGATCAAATATATTTTAAAGTTAAGTTATACATAGATCGAAATGTATTTATTAGGTGATCAATAATAAAAGGCAAACTTGATTTAAAAATCATCAAATTAACAAAATTAAAGATCAATAACTAAAAAAGAGGATCAAATATTATTTTTGTTTACCAAATATTAAAAGAGTATGTTAAACATAAATATTATGTTACCTTTAATGAAGATCATTCATAATTTATCCGTAGATCAACTAATATAGACACAATAATTAATATAAAGATAAAATATAATAAAAAACATCATTTATTTTTAAAAGTGCACATACAAAAAAGATCAATTAGTTTTTAGAGGATCAAATAATATTGTCCCTTAAATAAACTATACTTTCTGCTTCCTGCTATTCCTAACTGCTAGAATTAATTTCGGCGATTAGTTATCGTCTATTCTTTCTGCCGACCTTGCCTAGATGGAAGTATCTCAGATCAAATGATATTGAAATCAATATTCTGGCAGTACTAGCTAGACCTTCCTACCGAAGAAAGAAATCTGTGAACATTTACAACAAGAACATTTAATTTTTAAATAAAAATTAGTGGAACACAAGTAAGCGTACTCCTTTTTTATTACTTTCGTATTTATAATTTGTATTTTTATGGATAAAAGAAATAAAATTTAAATTACATTCATCACAATATTACTTTATTTATTTATTTTCTCGTAAACCAGTGGGAGCGTCATGTTTCGTGCGTGACACCAATTTGCCCTGACTTTAATTACAGAATATAATGCTCATATTTTAATGTATTTTGCCTAGTAACACAATTACAGTAGTAGTGGTTTAGAAATAGTTAAAAAACTATGTTATGAAACCTGTCAATATTGAGTACCTACATATTTAAATTATTTTCATTATTTATTTTATTGTTGATAAATGTTACGTTTTTCAGAACCTGCATGCGCTACTTTATTTCAATTTGAGGAAGCTTAATTGTATTTGTTGCTATTGTAAAATTATTATTATAGGTGCATGGTTTTGTCATATTCACATAACTCCTTTGTTTGAAATGTGAGCAATGTTGCGCTGTGGGCAAATATTGTGCGCAGATTTTAAGAGTTTGTTTTACTGAACGAAGGTGGTTTTAAAGAAAACTTTCCACTCTGATAAAAGATTTGCGTCCAAAATATTTTAATTTTTTTGTTATTCAAATCAAATTATTTTTATTTGCGATCATGGGTTTACATACAGTAGGTGTTACAAGGTTTTTGTATCTCTATCTTCCACCTTTTGGCATGAAAAATTATATTAAACTTATCATTTAGTTGAAAACAAAAAAGAATTCACATAAATAATGTCATATTATCCTTGTAGGTCTACTTAAATAACATTAACATATTAAAAACCGCAAGACTTGCTCTAAGTAATTATGCAAATAATATGAGGACATGTCAATGGATATGCACCTCAATTGTCACTGATAAATAAAAATATTGCTTACTGTTTTCCTAAAGACAGATTGCAATAAAATGAAAAAAAAACATATTTAAACCATAAAAAGTTAGGTCAAAGTTCCCTTTTAACTAGAAAACTAAATGACTTACTAACTTCTTTAGGTGACGACTTTAGTTTGTTCGTTTGACAATTAATTTCAGGAAAATGTTAAGGGCTGTCCAATTCCATCCAACATGATACTATTATTTATTTTTTACACACTTACTTCTTGTTTTCCATAACTACCTTCACGGAATTTCTTTGTTCGCTCGCTAGCGTTGGTTTGGCCATTTTTTTACACAAATATTTTCCTTGCAAATCGCATTTTCCGCATGAACACTGTCAAACTAGTGCTAGTAATTGATGAGTTGGATAATTGTTTTGACTTTTCAATCGTAACTTTCACACGGATTATGTTGATGTACGCATTTTATGATAATTGGACCTCACTTTCGTATGTATGTATGCTGTCAGTTTTGATTCCGGATTTTTTTATGTAATATCAAACTACAGTCAGCTTCGGTTGGGATTCAAAATTGTATAAACCTTCTTTTTAACTTATTCATACCCTAACCATTATATTTTCACAGCATCGCAATATTATAAGCAAAGGCAATCGCCGTGGAACGTTAGGTTTCATGCATATCATAGTTACATTATGATATCTGGCAATCGTATAATGTTTTATTAACTGAACCACATTCCGTAACAAAAATTAAACTACATTAAATACCTTTACTTTTCACCTGCTACAATTATTATGTATTCTAGCGTGTATAAGTAGGTATAGTAAACAGATATTATGTCGATGATCTAATAGCAATCCCAACTAATATTATAAATGCGAAAGTAACTCTGTCTGTCTGTCTGTCTGTCTGTCTGTCTGTCTGTCTGTCTGTCTGTTACGCTTTCCCGCTTAAACCTCGCAACCGATTTTGATGAAATTTGGCATAGAGATAGTTTGAGTCCTGGGAAAGAACATAGGATAGTTTTTATCCCGGTTTTTGAAACAGGGACGCGCGCGATAAAGTTTTTCTGTGACAGACAAAATTCCACGTGGGCGAAGCCGCGGGCGGAAAGCTAGTACCAATTATAATTTTCACTAAAACACCCAATTCATGCCTTAAATAATCTTTATTATACAATACATACATAAATACAAAAGGCTATGACTAACACATACCTAACAACATTTTACCTAAGCTTAAAATTAGGTATCATTTCTGTTTCCTTTAATATCACATTGTTGGTGCATGACCGCACTATGCTATCACATACATAGTTAATTCACTAAGTGTTTGGCGCACTGTTCTGGATTCACTACCTGAGGCTATTGATGTACTTCATGAGGTTGAAGACAACTATGACCCCCATGATGTCGGTATACCCCTCGTGGTTGGTGCTCGGTGATGAGTTGCATAAGTTCTGGCGGCAGTAGCAGAACCTGGAATAACATACAAATAGAATATTAATATTAGAATTTGTTTGCATTTTTCCATTGTTTTGTTTTTTTATTGAGAGTTAATTGAAAGTGTTACATCGACGCATTTTCAATTTTCTATACATTTTGATTTAAAAAAATTTGGTGTTTTCTTCTTATCAAAAATAACTAAAATTAAGTCACTGTCATTAATGAATGCCATATCATTTTAATAACAACAGCTGATACTTTACAAAAAAAGTGATATAAGTGCCTAGATGGTGGCTCTTCCTTTAAAGCTTTTTTGGATTTGCTATATTATTTAAATTTTAGAATTGTATTTATTTATTTGAGCTTTATACATACATAAGCTTGGTACTTAAGGCGAACTTAATTTAGACATCTTTTAGATGCTAAAATGTTTGCATTGAAGATTCAATTTCCTTTTAGTTGTATAAATATAAACGACTAATTACATAAATGTACAAGTAATCTTAATAAGTAATGATATAATCAAGTACCTAATTGATTAATGATTACACGTCTTTCATTAATAATGATATTACGAGTATATTGGTGAAATCGGATTTATTATTTACATTTATTTGATCGGTACTTTATTAAATTTCAATTAATAGCGCTGATTTTTACCGCAACTAGCTCACGTAATATTTTGTTTTGAAATAAAGTGTAGGGAAAAATTCTAATGAAAATATAAGTGCTTAAAACAGTTGCAGACTCCACCAGACACTCACCTACAGATACAGATTTTCTTAGGAAAAATGTCATAAAAGTGTTGAACGAATTTTCGAAATCGTCATTTGACAATGACGGAAAAAGAGTAAAAATGAGCTTACTCAATATTCAATACTCCCGAACTCTTTCTCGGAATCTCTTTCTATTTTATGCACATGACGACCGCTCCGCTAGACATCACTAGTTCATTTCTCTTTAGCGGTGGAAAACGGACTTAAAAGATATTTTAAATGAATTCTAATAACGTCATCGTCGTCGTCGTTTCAGCCGAATGATGTCCATTGCTTGACAAAAGCATCCCCAAAGAATTTCCACAAATACCGGTCCTACGCCGCTCGCATCCAGGCACCTCCCGCGACCTTATGTCAATAACGTCATATTCGGTTGAATTACCTATTATGTGACGTGGTCCTCTCGCCCTTGTCGTCGATATCTTGGCAGCCCTCCACGTAGGGCTCAAGGATCTCCATCTTGGGAATCCATTTCCCATTTACAAAGTCGTAGTGCTCATTCTTCTGGGACGCGCAGTCGCGGAGGACCCCCGTAACTTTTACTGGAAAGAGAGAAAACACTTATTAATATAGATTTCTTTTATTGTTTTCTGAACAACCCAATGTTATTTCTGACGGTTTTTGCAATTTACTACTACGAGTATAAGTAATTCTATTTTCCTTTAAAATCCTCTTTTTTCCGTCAAAATAAAAAATATCATAAACAAAAATTTATCTGTATAATATCTTCAGCTTGTTACTGTGGCTTACGTACCTACTTGTACAATTTAGGCAGCCGATTTTCGTGTAATACTTACCAAGTTTGGAAATGAAAATGTTATAATGTATCCAAATAAAATTCCATAAGAGATCCAGGTGGAGTCTTGCTTGGCGAGAAGGGGCAGTCCACTATGAACCTCTCGGAGTAGTCGAAGTGCACGCACAGGTTCATAATCGTGTTGGAGATACCTATACTATCACAGTAGGTAGCTCACCTCCTCCAATGAGGTCCAGGTGGAAGGCTTGCTTCATGCACATGGTGGAGAAGGGGCAGTCCACTATGAACCTCTCGGAGTAGTCGAAGTGCACGCACAGGTTCTTGGTCGTGTTGTAGTACTGGCCCGGCAGCGGGTTGATCAGGCATTGGTAGCATTGCAGGCATGATACTCCTGAAAAACACATTCATATTGTTATTGTTATATGATGTTATGTGTCTTAACATCGATGAAAGAGTGAAGGAATCGAAAACATGTTTTATCGTGCAACAGCATTGCTAATGGAGTCAAGGAATCGAAATATTATGAGGCCTTCTTTTCTTCAGGCAAGGTTTAACTATAAAATGGGTTTAAATTTTCTATGTTAATGTGAATATTATGTTTAGAGGAACTTATCTTTGTATTCTTGGATATTGATTTATTAACGGTATTTTTTACTGTTCATAGTCACGCTTTTGACTTTTCTCACAATAGTAAGGATCCATCACACAAAATGATTATGTCCGCTGTTATTTGTTGCCTTAGTCTAGACGTCTAGACCAGACGTCCTTCGTGCCGATCATGAACTTTAAAACATTCGCCTAATGAAATGCATGCCGCTTTTACTTAAAAGCCTCTCTTTTACTTAAATTAATAAGAGAGACCGAGCCAGAGGCTTGACCATATCTTTCGTATTTTTCCAGCACCTGGCTAGATTATTGTATTTTTAATCTTAACCACTTTAGTAATAGGTACCTAATAGGAAGATAAATATTGTATGCCAGGAAATACCTGTAAATTACATTTACAACATTATGACACAGTAATTATTCAGGTTTACTCACAATTACTGCTAATAGGTACGTTATATTGCAAAATGTTACTGTCGTTCTAACTGTTTATACTCGCATTAAGTCACTTAATAGTTATTGGCAATGCTGCGTAAATGCTTGTCATTAATTTTCCTCTTATGAGATTTCAAATCAAAGTTATTTTATTGGAATAATACCGTCCATAATGTATACAGCATAGACCAGGTGTCAAGGCGGTGGCTATTTGCTGACGAATTAGCGTCCTGCAAAGTGCTAACCGTATGCAGTATGCTCAGAGCAAACAAAGTAACTCGCAGTTACGACATTGCACTGTGAGTCTGTGAGTCATGGGGTCCGAACCGTTGCCCTCAGTGGACCCGCCTTTAAATGGCAACCTTGAGACGACCGTCTACCCTGTAATGTCAGCCCCGCCTGGCACGCAGCGCAAATAAAACAAAATTGCAAGAATGACCAACTATTACGCGGTGAAAGATGAACCGCACACAGATGAATTAAAAATACTTGGGTGCATCATGCACTCTCATGAACACAGCGAACATTATTGTAGAGCTTCAAGACCCAGTTACTGTATTGCTTTTGTTTGACTATGTAATAACAATGTATGAATATTAACACAAATAAATAATAACACATATAACAAAAAGAAATACATTTTAAACGCTTGATTGATTAGATCAAATATTACTTAAAACTTAGATTGAACAATGGTCGTTGGTGGTTAAATTGTCCAACCAGCATAATACACCTTAGTATGATTGTAAATCAAATACTTTCCCCTTTACGCACAATGACACGAGATATTGACATTGTTTATAGGCAATAAGTTATCAAATTCTTGTTAACAGTTCTATTAATTACATCGCCATAGGTCACGGAACCGATGCCCTGGTCAAGTCATTGACCCTGTAGAACACATGTTGAACATAGATACTGTCAGCACTTTAAATGTATAATTAGTTAATTTGCACATGCGTAGAGCGAGCATGTGTAACAAATGAACTAATAGTAGCGATAGTTTTATTAATCGGATCCTCTGTTTGATGAGTGTATCACTCAACAGTTTCTTGAAAAAACAAAGGAACTCGGATATGTCACTATTTATTTTTTAATACAGATCAATGTCCTTTGCAATGCCTACTATAATACACGTTGTCCGTATGAATCACAGCAAGTTCTGCTAACTCCCACGCCGGTTCATATTACGCATGCGCCGACGAATGATCGCTCTTGGATTCAAACCTTGTCCCCTTTGACTGAGTGGCTAATAATAGTGTTAGCATTGTGAAGTCCATTCAATTCCGGTCGATTATTGTTTGTCACAGAGCTGTAGTATGCTAGTTACACGTAACTACTAACTGACATAATTAAGTAATTGCCATTGTAATAACTATATTTTATTTTACTTTGCGGCGCCGATTTAAACAAGTGCCATTTAAAAAGTAGGTTAACACTTAAATAATTTGAATTTTTTAAGATTTGTAAACTCCGTTGCGATAAATAGGTTGTAGGTTTCATTACATGATATATGAGCATGTCTATTGTAAATCTAGTTGGCAATGTTTTCTTCAAATGGAAAGTCAATAAATACACCGAAAAGAATTAGAATGTTGTTCGTGTGCTATGCATTTTCTGTTCTCATAGTTCATTGCTCCGGCATTGCAGACGAATATTACGATGACCACAACCTCGAAGACGTCCCGATATCTTTAAACAACGTGTCCGATTCGCGCAGACTTGGAGATGATAACTTACAGAACACTACATTAGAACAAAATTATACTTTAAGAGCTAAGAAACAAGAAGACAACTATGAAAGTGACGATGAATTCAAAATATTTGTCGGTAACCAAAATTATGACGCATACAAAAAAGAAAAAAATAAACTTAAATCGCAACTCACTACCGTCAAAGTCTCTACAATTCCACGCCGTTTATCGTACAAAATAGATCCTAAAGATAAGACTCCGTCAGAACTTCATTTCTTAAGCGATTATGAGTATGTTTATGAGGATGATAATGAACACCAATCGCTAAAAGATACCCAAAAGCCGTCAACCACCACAGAGACCATAAATAATACTGAAGAAAACAAGACCAAAGTGTTTCTCACAGATTTCTACAATTTAGAACCAGCTGCTGTTATCCCGGAATTAAATCAAACTTTTTTACCAAACAAGAATATGTGGTATGTACCTGAAAAATACCCTTGTTGGCAATTACCTATTCTATACGGAGAATTAGGCAGGAGAAAGAAAACTTCAAATATATTTCTAGTCAAAGGTGGAGACTTAAAAAATGTTAACATACCGGATAAAGACAAGCTGCGTAAATATATGCTTAAACCCGATGTGCCTACTGTATCGTCTCTCAATAAATGGTGCAGCGTAGAACCATGCTATGGTGATCATACACTTTGCCTTTTCACTGAAAATCATGTTTCAAAAGTATGTGACGAAAATTATCGTGTACATAAACCTACCATACTAGAGCATATCGCTATAGTCAATACAGTCAACGCTATGAGAAATCGTATAGCTAATGGAGCTGCAGATGAATATCCACAATTGCCGGCCGCAAAGAATATGAAACAAATAATATATGACTATGACCTAGAGAAGATGGCTGCAGCCTGGCTTCGCCAGTGCCTGCCCGGTCCGCCTCCATGTTCTGCTTTGGACGAGCGCTACGTATCGCAACTCGAATGTACGAAATACGCAGACGAATGCTGCGTTAACTCATATAAAATCGACCCAACATCTAAATGGTAAAAAAATATGTTTATCTTTCATAATTTAATCATTCTAAAATCTATAATAGAGTTGTTTCCTGGGTCAAATAGCAAGAGTTTTAATTAGTCCGTCAGTTAACTTATCAAAAAATACTCTACACGTATTTTTCACTTTTTCAAACTAATGAAAATTTAAAGAGATAAAGCCCGTGCCGATATGAAGAGGCCCGTGACGTCAATGAGTGCATAAAAGTGCCGCACTTTGTGACGTCGCGCGGAACTTCAACGCACCATAACTATGTAATTATTTGTTAGATTGACAAATAAAAATATATGTGTCCAATATTTTTTGATATTAACATGACGGAATAAAAAAATTTTTTTAGGAAACTAGCCTATTGTTATTACAACTTGTTTTTTTATTATTTCAGCATACCTAAAGATGAGTGCTTCGTTTCGGCTGTAACTGGGTGTATTTATGCTTGGTTTCTGAGCGCTGGAAATAAATTAAGTGAAAAAGACATAGAATGTGGACATATAGAACCCTCGACATATAACACAGTTCAATTAATCTGGGCCGATAGCAATAAAATTGGTTGCGCGTATGGGGAAAGACCTAATGGTGATATCAGAGTAGTGTGTGACTTCGCACCGGGTGCTCCATATTTCTTGACTACAAAATATTATTGTGGATTTATCTTGCACCGTGATATAACAGATATTGTGGGTGCTGATGACGACTCCGATCTTACAGATTTGACATTTTTATCTTCTTTGGGACTTGATATACATAGCGTAACTCATGAACACCCAAAACAAAATTCACGCGTATTCGACGTTGCACCTAAACACCCAAGAAAATCCTGGAGCTTGGATAGTTTACAGAATCTATACTCAGATTTGAATTTGAGAGAAGTTTTGAATGATTATTCTAGTGGCACAAGAGGATCGATAGCAAAACTTGTGACAAGGTACAGATTTTTTGAAGAAAGCCAATCAAGGTGTGACACTGATGAGCCCGTGTACGTCGCGGGGAATCCAGGGTCGTTGTGTATTGAAAAAGGCAGAAGATTTCGCGCTCTATGCTATGACTTCCGAGATCCCACGCCTGGGTATAGACTAGTCGCTGTCGTTGCACCAGCCGCATTGTTTTCTTTAATTCTGTACGACCTGTTTAGCGGTGTGGTAAGACAGACCAACTACTGACCGTGAAAATGTAATTAAGGTCATGCACGAGTTTATTATTCTTTTGCCCAGTAATAAATGTCAAGATCTTGAGTTGTAGAGTTTATTTACGCTAATATAATTTTATTGTTCTTCTTGTCAATATTACGAGTATTATTAGGTTCTTTGAATCCTCACATTTTCTCTAATTTGTTGCTTCATAAATTGTTGTGCAGCCGCGCCTATTTCCAAGGTGAAGTGACGCCCTTGATAGTTTTTGAAAGCCTAAATTGTATCGGCCGTATTTTTGCGTAAGTGAAACTAATAATTTGTCATAGCTCGTCTATCTACAAATAATAAGGAAAATGTTTGTTTTTAGAAAAATTACGGAAGTGTAGTTCGGTACAATGTAGACTCAGAAAACCGCCTAACCTGGTGCATACATAGTTGTGGGATAAAGTCACGATGGGGACAATGTTTTATGTACACGCGCATTTATATCGGAGTCATGGACGTTTAGATGTGTATTCAGTATTAAAACGCTTTTATGTTTTTAACTATTTCATTTTTGCCTATTTCAGACGTTTATTCGTCACTTAATCGCCATTGCAAGGCAAGCTTCGCTTAGTTTGGAGCTAGACAATTATTTAATTGATAGATCATCAAAATAATATACCTACCTAAGTTTGGCTAAGAGATTTGGCTAAAAAATGACCATCACAATGAAATTTCCCTTTGATTATTGTTATCGCAAGCAAAGTAGATAACGATTACGCTAGCAGATACCAACCAGACAAAATAATGTAAATGTTTTTTTCTGTCATTCTAGTTTGTTCACATTTCGTAACCGGTTTGGTGTGTCATTTTGTATAAGTTATGCGAAAACATACGTTTATGTAGATACTTCAGTTGACTAAGTTAAACATGGCGAACGTGTGTTTTGATACGGTGGCCATGTGCACGCCTAGGATATTGAGAAATCGGTTTAAGGATAAATTAAACAGTGGTATTCCAAATCCGCCTGGTAAATTCCATCCATTGGATCTGAAACGAGTGGACGACGACCGATACCTCATGAGAACGATTGCTCACGCCGGCAACAGCACGCAGCATGCAGTGGATCTCCTTTGGGATATCCTCGTGTGGAGGGCCACCGTCGGAGCAAGTGACATCAATGAAAGCAACATCAGGATGGACTACGTAAACGAGGGCTCAATATTTCCACATGGAAGGGACATCGATGGATGCCTCATACTGGTATTTAAATCCAAACTATATAGCAAAACTAAGAAGGACTTGAACGAAGTAAAAAAAATCCTAATTTACTGGTTGGATCGGATCGAAAGGGAAGAAAATGGCAACAAAATAAGTCTATTTTGTGATATGTCAGACTGTAGCAATAGTGATTTTGATATGCAGTTAAGCAACTTTACAAAGATGTTGTTTCAAAAGTACTATCCATTCCTTTTAAATTATTTAATTATATACGAAATGCCGTGGGCTCTGTCAGCAACATTTAAAATGATCAAGTCAGTTCTACCACCTAGAATAGCTTCACGTATGAAGTTTGTTACGAAGAATAATATTGCTAAAATTGTACAATTAGACCATGCATTACAATCATGGGGTGGAAGAGATGATTACAAGTTTGAATTTAAACCTGAGAACAAAAATGAACTGACAAAACCTTCAAATGTAAGAGTAAATAGTAATATGTATCCGACAAAAGAAATGATTCATCTAAAACCCACAAATTCAGTCATTTTCAGAGGAGAGAATAACAAATTAGTATTGTCAATTCATTTGACGCTGGCTAATAAACACGAATCACCAATTGTCTTTGAAATTAGGAGTACTTCAGAGGTTATAAGTGTGAGTCCTATATTTGGAGGTTTAGATATAGGACAATCAAAATCTGTTGTAATGGTTGTGCAAGATTTCAATTCACCGACCTTAAACGCCTTGACAATGGAGAAAATCATCGTCATTGGACTAGAAACACCGAGCAGTTCGGTAACCAAAGAAGAGATACACGATATTTGGCTCAAAAACCCTAAATATAAAGTGCACGAATATACATTCACAAGTATTATAGGTGAAATTCAAGATGAGAGTGGTGTTATTTCAAATTCCTTAAATGATATTCGTGCAAACAATCGGGACCTCCAGAATCAACTAAAAACTTTGAAATTTTATCAACTTTTCACAATGATTGTTGTTGTCATTGTGGCATTTGGCATATGGCTTGAACATGTTCGATACTAAGTGCAGTATACTGTCTACTCTAGGCCTAGTGATTATGCAGTGTCCATAATGTATGAAATTGAAATGAATGTGAGAGTTTAATTGAAGACCGATTTCTTACGTGAACTAATTCGAGCGAGCACTTCCCGTCCGCATTCCTGCATGGACTTCGGAATATCCGAGTTTTACATGCAATTAGTCTTTTACTGGCTGTAATGCTTACAATAATTAAAAAGCAAAATTGAGCTTTATTACAAACCTGAAGTGTATAAGGTTGATACGGCTAAAATCAACGCCAGGACGCATTCTTGGACGGAGATCATTGTCGTTGCAGTCAACGCTTTCGTCTTTTAAAGCTTCTGGATGAAGTTGATGGCACTGGATTCGTTAATCTGTGAACAATGTAATTCAGATATGAATGATAAGATATGGCCTCTGATATTATTGTCCAAGCTAAAAACTTGACGGCTGTACTCTTCAGTATCTTAGTTATAGGTCGAAGTTAGTTGTTAAGTTTGGGGTTAGTAATAAATAAATATTGTTAAAACCATTAATTTATATACAGCATGTACATTTATCGAGACTGATTTACTTAAGATGTAAAATATCCATAAAAATAGGCATTTTAAGTTCCTTATTAAATGTTCGCAATAATACAGCTGTTTTTGATTTACCTAAAATAACATTATCATCAAAATATCAATGATATACCATATTTGCAGATAAGTTCATACGTGATTTACTGATATATGTTTACTAAGGCGATTACGTCAAACAAACAAATACTTGTCAAATAGGAAACAAATTAACAATTATGTAATCAACAAACAATAATGTATTGAAATTTAACTTTCACATAAATACAATGTATTGTGTTTTAAAGTAGCTTGACGTCATGCTCTTACTTAATTCAAGTTAACTTTGATAGAGTTTATTAATTTGATGATGTTTACATTTCTCAACACAACTTAGAGGAGCTAGTCGTGTTGTGGAAATAGCAAATATGGAGTAAATCGTACAGAAATAGCCATATTGTAATTGGTGCAGCAACACGTGTAGTGGCGCGGCGCGGGCGCAGCGTCACAGATTATAACAGCGTGCAGAACTGGCGCAGAACGTTTCAAGGTCCCGACCTCCTTGACGGCGGCCTTTCCCCTGGCATTTGGTTAGCCAAATAATCTATATACAATGCATCGCATCGGTAACTAATTGCTAATTTTAAGCCTTTGCACTTGGACCCGGTTGCGTGGATCTTGTTTCTTAATAATAAACAGTCTTCCGGAAATACTGTATATTCCCGATTTCAAAAGTAGCCTGTAGTGATTAGTGAATATAAGTAACTTTAAAGCATTATAAAAGTTACCTAAATCCACTAGTTACTCTGATTAATCTGGGAACTATGACACACCCGAATCAGGAATCCTGGTACTGATATCTCTATCAAGTTACACGCTCTCAATCCCATAAATGATAATATGAGTGAGTATGAGTCATTGTCACTCATTTTTGACTTGCCCAAAAACTCGAAGAAGTACCTACACGAAGTTTCACATTTTACAGATAATGCAACGAGTCTGAAATTCGAAAACAGTTTCGAGAGAGCTCAAGCATCGATTTTAACAGCGATATTATTTTTCGAAAACTCGTTGGGCAAAAATCCAAGTGGATATTGCGACTCTACTCTACATAATGGACCGGCAGCATTGAACATTAACCAGCCCGTTGGTTTTCGGTTGCCGACTGGTTTTCGTTATGGCCCAACTGATTTGCAAAATGCCCATACAAAAAGGTTGCACACGTTCGACAAAAGCGCATACAAAATGTCACAAAATGCATACTTACCTACTTGTGTAAGAATTTATTTATTTTAGTCTTTACTTTTCTTGCTTATTCATTGTGTAAATTGCCAAAAATGTATGTTTTTCATATGAACGCGCGAATTCTGAAACTAAACGACACTAAACGTTACAAAACGCTAGTAACAAATTATGCAATTGTGTTCTCTAAAACGCAGTCTGCATTATTAATCTAAGTCTTAATAGCTGATAATAATATCTTTTTCAACTTCAATAAAAACTCATGAAACTCATTTATTTATGCAATTAGGCTTTTAAAAAGCACTTTTACACACCCCAGTATTAACCATACCACTGCTTCAGGACAATAAATGGGTCAGTGATAAAAAGAAGCAGCGCAAGAAACTCAGTCACTATTGTCAGTCTCTTTTTCAATTAATAATCTTTAAATGTTTCTATCTGCTGCCGCTTTTTAGTTAAAGAACCGGATATCTAGTTACTGGCCTTGTACTAACGTGTTATGTTACACAAAGTCCAAGCTACTCATACATTACATAACCGTAACCCAAAAAAAAAACACTTGCATTTTCATTAACGAATTGACGTTTCTTCTTCAAACCGTTTATATTTTATCAGAAAGCCATGTTCCTACATGAATAAAAGCGTGGTGTTCTAGTGACTGATATAACATGATATTTAAAGAGTATCTAAATAAACAAGTATGTAGTTATATTTAACCTGCAATCTTGGGTCAAGTTAAGCCATAAATAATATCTCAATATCTATTCAAACAGAGCAGGGATTTCCAAACCGTTTTGTTTTGGTTCATACAACACTAGTGTTCCGTGAAATATGGCCATTGCTAAACTGCATCTTAGTGGATAGAGTGCGTAATAACCAAATTGAATTTCGTACAATACCATGATTCCAGCAGAGTAAGAAAATTCGAAATAATTTGAATTAAATCAAACGAAACCACAGACACAGACAAAACGCAGATTTAGTGTAAAGTGCATTGAATTACGAAATAGTTTAGAAAATAAATAGAGCAAATATCTGCCGCACAATTTATAAACGCAGTAAGTAACACGTGAACAGTTTCGAGAAAAACGCGATCAAAGTTGAAATTTTATTTTGGGGTGTCTACAATTAGTTACGCAAATATTTGTAAAAAAAAATATATGGGCTTATAGAGCTAAACTCAAAGTTTAATTTGATATGAGGTTTTTGTATTTTAATTAATATTTTGTATTTAAAATTATTAAAAAACTGTTTATGTTATGGATTAACTTTTTCGTTCGATACTTACTACCCATGAATGCAGTATGATTGTTCCTTACTGCGTTTATCAGTAGTTTTCGTTACTTACGGTACATATGTTAAATGATTGATTTAAATTTTAGTTCTTACAACGTAATATATGCGCCGTATCTTTACAACTTACTGCATTTATGAGTGGGAGTGTGAATCAAAATAATTTATCAAAACTTTAAATGCGCAGTAATAATACAATTATACTGCGCTTATCATAAGCCAATAACGCTTTCATGTTGAGCTTTCCCAAATGACCAAGGGGTAAATGAAACAAGTATTACAAAATAATTGCTGAGATAGCTTGTTATTCAATCAAAAATTAAGATAAGGCACCCACTTTTAGATCTTAATATACCAATCTAATAAAATAAAGACTCGGTCGTTCGTTTCGNTTCATAGAGAGGTTGACATGAAAAAACGGTCATCGCTCTGCGATGTGCACCGGCGCTGTTCAGAACTTGGTCTCGGGATAAAGCCACTAGTCTCCAAAAAACGTCTTAAAACTTTCGAAACCCAGGACTGGCTTATGTGGAGCTGATGTGCGACAGCTCGCTGGCTGAGCCCTTCTTGCAACAGTGCAACGATTTGTGCTGCTTCTGTAGGTGTAGAATCCCAGGTAAAGTGTCAAAAGAAGCCGAGATGTGTATGGATCAACGTGTGAACTCAAAAATCCTAAAACACGTGCTTTTATAGGGGGTAAATAGGCCGCAACTCGCGACGTATCAAACAGTTGGTACATGTCTTTTTTCTTACTTCTTCACATCAGCCAGGATATCTTTTTAAATACTGGTGTGATTTAAATGAATTTGGTATCAATTTAAAGTTAAAAGTTTAATCTTTAAAATGGTGCTACTTTTTTTGTTACTAACAAATTGGTTAGTACACAAGATCGCGTGGAAACAACTTCATGTAAGTGATTCCATAGTTTTGCTCGCGAGTGTAGTTTTATCCACAACGAAGTTACAGGCAGTCGAAAATGGCCTGAATTGCTTCGAGAAAAGGATGGTACGGCCGTGCCGTTTTTTTGCTCGACTTGGTGGGGGCACTGCCGTGCCCCCAGATTAATTTGATGATGTTTACATTTCTCAATACAACTTAGAGGAGCTAGTCGTGTTGTGGAAATAGCAAATATGGAGTAAATCGTACAGAAATAGCCATATTGTAATTGGTGCAGCAACACGTGTAGTGGCGCGGCGCGGGCGCAGCGTCACAGATTATAACAGCGTGCAGAACTGGCGCAGAACGTTTCAAGGTCCCGACCTCCTTGGCGGCGGCCTTTCCCCTGGCATTTGGTTAGCCGAATAATCTATACAATGCATCGCATCGGTAACTAATTGCTAATTTTAAGCTTTTGCACTTGGACCCGGTTGCGTGGATCTTGTTTCTTAATAATAAACAGTCTTCCGGAAATACTGTATATTCCCGACTTCAAAAGTAGCCTGTAGTAATTAGTGAATATAAGTAACTTTAAAGCATTATAAAAGTTACCTACTCTGATTAATCTGGGAACTATGACACACCCGAATCAGGAATCCTGGTACTGATATCTCTATCAAGTTACACGCTCTCAATCCCATAAATGATAATATGAGTATGAGTCATTGTCACTCATTTTTGACTTGCCCAAAAACTCGAAGAAGTACCTACACGAAGTTTCACATTTTACAGATAATGCAACGAGTCTGAAATTCGGAAACAGTTTCGAGAGAGCTCAAGCATCGATTTTAACAGCGATATTATTTTTCGAAAACTCGTTGGGCAAAAATCCAAGTGGATATTGCGACTCTACTCTACATAATGGACCGGCAGCATTGAACATTAACCAGCCCGTTGGTTTTCGGTTGCCGACTGGTTTTCGTTATGGCCCAACTGATTTGCAAAATGCCCATACAAAAAGGTTGCACACGTTCGACAAAACCGCATACAAAATGTCACAAAATGCATACTTACCTACTTGTGTAAGAATTTATTTATTTTAGTCTTTACTTTTCTTGCTTATTCATTGTGTAAATTGCCAAAAATGTATGTTTTTCATATGAACGCGCGAATTCTGAAACTAAACGACACTAAACGTTACAAAACGCTAGTAACAAATTATGCAATTGTGCTCTCTAAAACGCAATCTGCATTATTAATCTAAGTCTTAATAGCTGATAATCGTCTAATGATTTAACTAATTGTGGAAGTGCATCAGAGCTGCACGTCATCTTTGTTTGATGTGTGCATCATATCTTTTTCAACTTCAATAAAAACTCATGAAACTCATTTATTTATGCAATTAGGCTTTTAAAAAGCACTTTTACACACCCCAGTATTAACCATACCACTGCTTCAGGACAATAAATGGGTCAGTGATAAAAAGAAGCAGCGCAAGAAACTCAGTCACTATTGTCAGCCTCTTTTTCAAGGGTTTCAATCACTTACCTACGCAATGTGCAACAAAATATCTTAATAATATTTAAATGTTTCTATCTGCTGCCGCTTTTTAGTTAAAGAACCGGATATCTAGTTACTGGCCTTGTACTAACGTGTTATGTTACACAAAGTCCAAGCTACTCATACATTACATAATCGTAACCCAAAAAAAAACACTTGCATTTTCATTAACGAATTGACGTTTCTTCTTCAAACCATTTATATTTTATCAGAAAGCCATGTTCCTACATGAATAAAAGCGTGGTGTTCTAGTGACTGATATAACATGATATTTAAAGAGTATCTAAATAAATAAAATAAATAAATCTTTGGACAATTTCACATAGCGCCAGCTAGCCCCAAAGTAAGCAACTTAATGCTTGTGTTATGGGTGCTAGCTTAACGGAAATACTACTTATATACTTTTTTTTTTAAATACATACATATTATACATAGTAACACCCAGACCCGTCACAGAAATTAAAATTCATCATTTCAATTTCTGCCCGGCCGGGAATCGAACCCGGGACCTCTCGGCATAGTAGTCCGCTCTGAACCACTACACCAAACGGCCGACAATATAAATAAACAAGTATGTAGTTATATTTAACCCGCAATCTTGGGTCAAGTTAAGCCATAAATAATATCTCAATATCTATTCAAACAGAGCAGGGATTTCCAAACCGTTTTGTTTTGGTTCATACAACACTAGTGTTCCGTGAAATATGGCCATTGCTAAACTGCATCTTAGTGGGTAGAGTGCGTAATAACCAAATTGAATTTCATACAATTTCATGATTCCAGCAGAGTATGAAAATCCGAAATAATTTGAATCAAATCAAACGAAACCACAGACACAGACAAAACGCAGATTTAGTGTAAAGTGCATTGAATTACGAAATAGTTTAGAAAATAAATAGAGCAAATATAAAACGTAATATTTATCCAAGAAATGAACGGTGATACATTTTTATTAATTAAATTTTGATTTATTTAGATTACATTTTTTAAACTAGAACTCGTAATTGACTTGTCTTTGCGATTCTTTAGGTTGACTGGTAAGAATACTGTATTACGTACCTACTGATATTGAGTCACCCAATAGTACTTTTTTAGCAAATTTAAATAAATAAATGAAACAAATATTATGATAAGTAGACCAAAGTCATCTCTATTTGGCGAAACTGTTTCTTTCTTCCTTCCAATTCCGTGCAATTGCAATATGTAAGAACATAACACTGAGTATTAAGTACCATCTCTTCGGAAATACTTTAAACTTGAGGTCACTAACAAAAAAGCCATCCAAAACGTTCGGCCTCCGCCGACGCAGTGCGTCTCTATAAAATCACACAATCATTCCAGTTTGGAGGTCTAACTTGATATGTTACGTCACGATCGCAGGTAACGTCCGCGCAAGGTCGTCGCGTGATCATTACCACCGAACTTCATTAGATGCAGGTTTATTTGGAACAGTTTGTTGGTACATAGTTTAAGATCCATGCGAGATGGATATAGCATAGTCAATAGGAATAGACTCTACCTAATCATATCTCCGATGGCTTATCCGTCTGCCCAGCCCGGGAAGTGCAGATCTAATCATTCTTTTGCCTCCTCTGATAAATTAGGAAGGGTCATGCTGCAGTGGAGAGTAATTGGCACGATGACGATGAATTTAACAACCTACATTAAGTAGGTCATCACATAAAGTGTTCACAATCACAACAAAGTCATGAAATAACATTTTAATAATGACAGAAGTTAGTTTAATATCAAATGTTTCAATAAAAGACACTAAATCATGAATTATGCAGATTGCAGTTCTATATTTTATTAAAACAAAATAAAAACTTGTCGGTTCTTATTGCGTCTTCGAGCAATGTGACTCAACATTCGATGAAAATCTTTGATTACGAACGAGTTTTGTGACGCATCGCATAATTTTTATTACCAAGATGCATTTAAAGTTGCGTGTTTTATGTCCACGCGCGATATTAAGAACATTGGCATGAAGTAACTAAAATGTAGAGTTTATTATATTCAGACATCAGTCAAATCTGCGTTAGCGTGTCTAGCACAAAACAATGCACACTAAAACTGCTTGCCACGCTTGACCTGTTCTGGTTACCTACAATATTGTTGTTTTGTGAAATTGTTGTGCAGATGTTGCTTTTCGTAGATTAATCGGCTTCCTGCAATATATTTTAGAGAAAATATTTGTTTTGCACTCTTTTAAACACATTATTTAGATGTCTGAGAAGTACAGTAATTTTCAGTTTATTTAGGGAAATTGTTACAAAATCAAAACTATGGTAAAACCTCTGAAAAAAAATTGTGAAACATCTTAAGTGGATGAAGTAGATGTGTGGATTTTCTACAACTATTGTTATAATGTAGAGAAACTTGGCCCACGGCTCACTTGTAATTTTAAGCCAGTAGACTGGTTTGACTCTGACTGACCTCCACATGAATTTTGAAAAACCTTTCTAAACATTGAGCAAGTTTAAATTTAAGTTGCTAACTCTTTTGTTTTCGTCGTATTCATTAAGTTGGTTTAATATTACAAACTGCTTAACTCATGTAGTTGGAAAAGTTGTAGAAAGATATCTATGGTGCATATCTTTTCTTAAAAGGTAACTTAAACCTTTGTTCTGTCTTCTATCATCCACCTTGCTTGCACTGGAGGGAACCTTAACTTCGAACTCCTCCTGTATTCTTCTGATTGGTTTCGTTGGGGGTCCAATGACAGTTTAATTTCCCCCGGGACAAACTTGACTGGTTGGGTTTTTATTGGCGGTCAAGCTATAGATCCTGGCTACACAAGAGTTGCAGCAGTGAGAACGCGTCGATTTTATATAAATAAGGCCGTTTGTGCAACTGCCTTTAAGGCATTTTACTTTATTATCGTTACGTTAAGTTTTAGTTGTGTCATCCATCATACTTTGCTGTAATTAAAACTATCGGATTAATTAAATCTGCTGTGTCGGTAATCAAATAAATAAGTACTTAGTTGATAATAATATAGATCTTTTTATTAGATAAATGTATATGTTCCTTTCTTAATCGCAAAGTAAAGTATACAACAATTTGTACTTGTGTAATGTTGGAAACTGCTACTGGAGAGTAGAGTTAGATAAGACATTTCTTAAAGAGTAATTGTATTATTAAATAGCCCAAATCTATAAGAACACAAAAATATTACTAAACGAATAAGTTTTTAAATGTACTTAATGCACGCAGAGCCATTAACAAGCTATTTAAACATTCGTCATATTTGAATTTGCTATGAAATGAAACAATATTTGAGCAGACATGTATGATTCAACATGTGTAACGAAACTTCATTAGCACCGAAGGTGTTAATTCATTTTAAACATGGAATCTCAAATTACACATGACTTCATAACCTTCGACCAAAGAGGATCTAAGTAAAATATACTATTGGAGGTTCATCTTCAAGGTTACGTCTAGCCGTAACGTTTGTTTTTTTTATATCGTCAACCGTCATCGACGTTTTATATTTTTGGGTACCTTGCGATCACTTAGGTTGAGTTGCACCACCTAACTTTGACCGATAACCGGTGATTTTTGTATGGAATTTGACAGATTTTTGACGTTTGTCAAAGTTAAAGTAAGATGGTGCAACCCAGCCTTAGAGCCGCTCCTTCGCTCTACCCTAGGATCGGCGCTATATTGTGGCATTATTATAATTTAATTTTCTCTAAATGGTGATTCAGCTACTGTTGTTTCCATAGTCACATTATTAACTCATACGTGTTGATTATTCTCTAATGCTGTATGAAAATTGAGAAATGTGTTTATTGAGATGAGCATCCCATTACTATCAAAAAGAATGGCATCATAAATACATACCCATAGAGATTATTAATTTCAATGTAGAGTTGTCTAGTATAGTTAATTTAGTTAATATCGATGAATGTGAGATCAATAAAATTCTTTATGAAGCATTAACGTGTACTAATATACACATATCTAATAAATTATACCTACTATTTTAAGATATCGTCATGTGCGATGTGCCCGGCTATTGACCTGATTAATCGTATAAGAAATGACGTCATGCATACTTCAGTGAGTGTAACGATGTTTGTAAACAATATCAAAAATACTTTATTAGTGATCATTTAATAAGTTGATTTGATTTGGTTTGTTATACATTACACGATCGCTCAAAATGTGTATTATGCGTTCATATTGAAAATCTTTACGGTAAAGGCGTTTGAAGAAACTTTTTCTTTCATCTGGTTAAATATTAAATATCTTCATGCATCGACAATTATGCAAAACTGTTGTAAGCCTGTTGAATATGTAAGGAAGGCTACTAATGAGCGTCTTATTATTTTTATCTACCATCTACATTTAATTCATTCTAATTACCACCCGGCAGGTGGCAAAAAGTATGATCTCAAAGTTACCTCACCCTCGCTGGTATTTNTGGTATATAAAAATAACAAAATCCTGTTTATCAGTGAAACATCCTGTGGAATCCTCAATTGTTATTACCTTAACATCTAACGATTGTTCACTTCGTTATAATCGGTTATCACAATATCACAGAAAATTGCACCTTATCACAATGATATATGTTTACAATATGCACTGGCAGCGAGTAAAACGCACGTGTTTGAAGGAATGGCACTGGTCGAGAGATATGCGCGTGCGGCTTGTTGCGGAGTCAACAAACAACTGTTCGCCAAAGGCCGGTTTGTTTTCTCGCAAGGACTTTTCTCATAGAACGTAACTTAGGGCGTAACACTTGTGCAACGCGAAATGAAGAAATGATCGCATTTAACTAAGCTGCTATGAATAATAATATGATTTATGTCAACTTGAGATAATAACAGGCACTTCAGCCATTCAGAAACGATCTTAAAGGGGAAATAACATTTAAAGGTTGCCGATCGTTATATTATTATGTCTCTACTTTAACTATGTTTTTCCGGTGGCAGCAACGACATAAACATAATCATGACAAAACTGCATCGTCATTATTTCTTGGTGATGTCAATCCTACTGAAATATGCTGCACCATCTAGAGATTCCACTAACGGGACTACACCCACTCGGACCCACCGCTGCAACTCCTATGTAGCCAGGATCAGATACAGCTTGAACGCCAATAACAACCCAACCAGCGAAGGTCAAGTTATGATCATTTGACCCACAACGAAATTATTTGGAATCGAAGAATATCGGAGTTCGAAGTTAAGATTCGACTTTTTTCGACATTCTACTCGATAGTGTCCATAATCCTATCGAGATTCTGATTCTAGCACCAACCAATGATTGAATCGAGCTGCAGTTTTGTGATCCATGAGCTTTTCAGTCGTAGATCTTCTAAGAACTTTTTCATGAGTTTCACCATTTTGAGATTTAATGTTGGTCTACCCTAGGTTCTGAATTTAGTGTCACTTTTTCAATTTAAATATTTGCAAATATCAATATTTATGGACGTTAATTAAACATAACATGTACTCGTATGTAGATTTTTGTATTTGATTGTGATTAAACATGTTGACTTCATGAATATTTTATTGACAGTTTAAAGGTTACGAGCATTAGTAGGGTCTCGGATATTACCTATGTAAATATGTAATTATCCAATAATAGCGAATTATGTAGAAAATCTTATCTATCACTTTTGCTGTTGTGACTTTAAATAGTCATAAATCCTGAATGGGTCGACGCGATGACGGTGTCGAATACATGACGTCTCTTAAGCTGCAAAAAAGCATACTTACACGACTGCACAATGCTTTAGAAAAAACTTTGAAAGAATACTGAAAGGGATTTTATAGCCCCGACTCTATAACTTAAAGTCAAAAAATACAATATTGATTTGTTCTAAAGTTACGTGTTGGGAGTTGGGACCTTCCTGAAAACTGGTCTTACGACACACATTTAAACAGCCAGGGCTTTTAAACTGTTGATGACTGCGATCATTTCGTCGTGTGATCAATCACACTCATCCGGCGACCGTGGGTGTCATTCACTCTTTACATTGTTGAATCAATCAATTTGCTGCTGCAGGCGTGACTATTACTAAAATATAGTGTTTAGCAGTGTTAGTTGTCTAAAGACTCTTTTGCGACACTCAAGTTAAATATTATCTCAATTCAGAAATCGGGGGTTTATCTACAAAATACTGTAGCACTAGGATCTTACTCAAAACTTTAGTAACTTGCATTGTTATACATTCTGCTGAATTACTTGTGTCAATCAGTTGGACTTCATGCATAATTTCAATTATTTACACTATTCAATGAACTTGTAACGATATTCGCAGAAGTTGGGTAAAATCCTTGACATGGTTAATTTCGTTAATTTGCTTATTGTAACGCTAATTTGGTAGACAAGTAAGTCAGAAGATCAAGTACAGTGCAGCGCAAAATTGAGTAGGAAATGTGACTTATCAGAGCTGTCACGGCATGCATGTTTGTAGCACACAAAATCATACTCGCTGACGTTTCGACGTAACAAAAACATCCTCTCTACTACCGCAGGGACATCAGTTATGCTATATGCCCGTTCAAATTAAACATGTACATGGAATACCAAATGTATTAAAATATTGTTAGTATGTATGTGCTATCAGCGCTCTATATTTTTCTACCGATTAATTCTAAGCTAACTTAACCATAATATTTATACAACTGGCCATAGCAAAAAAAATATTCCTCTTATGATTTTTATTGTATTTTATTACATGACGTGATTTCATTGGAACTCAATTGGCATTAATCAAATTACGTTACATGTGTGTTGGGAATCATGCGTATGGCTGCGATCATGACCTCTATACAACCTTCATAGATCTCAAACTTGATCTGTCTTGATACTCGAACAAATAGAATGGCTGCAATTGTGTTTGCAAATGCAATATTGCAGCACCAAAAGATCTATTATTAAACTTTAGTCGGTGCCTTAGACAATAGACAATTAGACATCACTGAACTTTTAGCCTTTACTTAGGCCTAAAAAGTGAGAGGTACCTAGTATCTACCTTAGTAGCTAGTTCTAATCTTCTTAAAAATCTTATGTTCCAATCACAAAAACAATGGATTACAATAGTTGTTGTCTTAATGTTGCTTTACTGCGACAATAACGCATTGTAGAGTTCATTTAGATCATTTCATGATATTTTAAACTCTGATGAGAGCTTTTGATAACAATCAGAAAAGCTTTGAAAATTTATTGTTTTCTTCAATTCAGTTTATGATATAGGAAGAATGAAGAAAAATACATATTCCATACCGTGATGATATGTGACGTCAATTCTGATTCATTTTCATTGAAACGTATCCTTAAACCTGTATAAGCTTTTAACTAAATAAATAAATTATGATACACTATTTATAACATTATGCGTAAACTATTGGTCTGAGTCAGTATATTCGAGTCATGATTCATTTCATACAAATGGTCCTCCTTGATCATAGCAATCACAAGCACTGTTGGTTCAGACTTCAAATGAGCTAATCTGACAACTGTAGCTATGTTATACACACTCATGGTTTCCATGAAATGTATATTTGCCGCAAGTTATCCTATTTAACCTTATTGGTGACAATTCGAAATAAACCGCAAACTCTCTTTTTCCCCCCATTGTAAAATACTTATTAATAATTATGATCAGAGTTCCTATTGAGAATACATAAATGTCATCCCAAAAGCAGATATTTTAGGAAAGCTTTTTTAAATAAGAATGTTTTTTTTTAATTTTATGGATATTTTAAAAATATATCAAATATTTAAAAATATACATACAACCCATATAAAAATTCAGTCTGGTTAAGTAATTAACATGCATAAAAATAACAAAGAAACAACTTTTTAGTGACTTGGAAAAACCAATATCCATAAATTACCTTGTATGTACATGTAGTGATGTAAATGGTTGTTTTTGAAAGGAACAAGTATTATTATATTGTTCTTCCTACAATAATTAAAATCACAGAAATTGACAGAATTGTAAAATTGCTTACACTTCGATGAAATTGTATGACATCTTATAAATTACTATTTTAAACGGGTCAAATAGCGATAAGCTTTTTAAGACTGCTTCCAGCAAATCATTTGATGCCAAATAAATCGAAGCCCCGCAACAAATTGGCACAGAGTATTATGCAACTGTGAAAGTGGAGTATTGTAATTCATCAGTTACATTGACTCGCGAGCATGTGTCGCGCATGCTTAGAGCTGTATTTAACGTTCATTGTATTTTAATTTGCCCGCTTCGGGTCTGATTGACGACTCATGACTAATTGGTCTAAACATTAGGAATGATAATTCGACTATTCCGTCAGTGTTTTGCCTTATTAACGCCATTGCACCTTTTTTAAATCAATGTAATGAATACCACTTGTTTGTTTTGTGGCGAACCAGTCATCCATCAGAAAATACACATGAGGAAGAATCGATGCAAAAGCACATTATGTGTTAAATAATTATAATATGATTTGTAAATAGGTTGGTTATTTACACTGGTAAAGCTAATTGACTTTTGAATATTTTTAATTAAAAATAACCAGTCAGAAGCAAGTGGTAAATAGTTTTTAAGTCACGGCCTCACCTTGAGAATTTTTACATGACTTCGACTTAATGACCCACCACCATTAACATAGGGCTCGTATGCCGATTACTGCCAATACACTGTATTTTTATGTTTATTTTCTCGTGCGGGATTCGAAGCCTCAACAGCTGGCGTTGTAGACTTGCAAATATTGCAATCCGGTACCACCAGGATCGCGGTTATCGAACTAAAATGCGTTTATCATTTGTTGCAGTTGACGGACATAGTGAATGCTATGTCTTCGCGAGGCGAGCTGCCTTTGGAGCTGGCTCTCCGAGGGCGCAGCGCCTCGATCGCCACTACGTTGCTTCAGCACTGCGCAGACGCCGACGCGCGCGGGCCGCGTGGCAGAACTCTACTACATAGAGCGGTGGATTCAAGAGACGCGTTCTCGGCAAAGTTCTTGGTTGAAAATGGAGCTGATCCTAATCTTACGACCAAGTAAGTTGTATGTGTTAGCTAGGTAAGTCTGTGCTGGTGTGAACGCAGATCTTCTCTTCAATGCAGCACCCTGCTGCTAAGTTTCTTGGACAAAAGCTAGGCGAGCTGCCTTTAGAGCTGGCCCTCCGAGGCCGCAGCACCTCGATCGCGACTACATCTTCAGAACTGTACTCCATAGGGCGGTGGATTCAAGAGACGCGTTCTCGGCGAAGTTCTTGGTCGAGAATGGATCTGACCCTAATCTTACGACCAAGTAAGTTATATGGGTTAGTTAGGAAAGTCTGTGCTGGTGTGGACAGAGCTCTACACTTCAATAATACTGCATCCTGCTGCTAAGTTTCTTGGACAAATGCTTTGAAGAGTCATAAAATGACTTACATGTCTAGCTAGACGGATAGTAGAGCCGATATTTTTAAATCGTGGCTTTTTAGGGAAATATTGGTGAAGGCGACCTTTTAGAACCTAACGGGTACAAATTAACTCTCCTACGAATATAAAGGTTATGAAGTTGACAAGAAGAGTCATTCTACAAGACCCGTCACTTAAATCATTTGTTCTGTTGAGTACGCAGGAAGAAGGTGATTGTACGCAGTTTCATCTACATAAATGCAGTCGACGCAAGAGACGTCCTTTATTTAACAAGTCCTTAAACACCAACTGACCATTACTATATTGCGGATTCAACAATTCGTTATGTCCGTTATTATCACCATAAAAATGCTGCACCTGTTACATCCGATGACACAATCAAATAACTTATGAGATTATCTAGATGGATTCCGATAAGAACTTTACCGTCTGCTGTGACGTAGTAAATAAATTGTGGTGCTTAAATAAACAAATGTTACGTAGGTATGCGAAGTAATACGACGGAAGAATAAAATGGAATGCAATGTATTTGTGGTAATTCCGTTTTCATGTCTGCTGCGTTTAATTAAAATTACTTTCTCCATGCCAGCCATGTTATGTAATTATTCATTAATATGTAGGCTGTATAATACAATAGTTGATATACGCATGTCGCTGTATTTTGGTCTTAGGGCCCTCACCCACGGCGACTTTTTTCCATGACAGCATTGCTACTAATGCGCGTTAGTCGCATTTGCAACGCACTACAGCTACTAACGCGCGACTGCATCACTACAAAAAGTCGCCGTGGGCGAGGGTCCTTAGAAAACTCTAAATAATAGTAATTATACGAGGTTTTTGTTCCTTACAGAGAGGAAGGCGACACGACTCTACATCTCATAGCCGCACTCACATCGAGCTCGTGCGATGAAGACACGATGGATCAAATGGCTGAAATAGTTGAAACCATGATCGCTAAGGGAGCTGACATTAATCGACAGAACAGAAAAGGATTGTACGTATTGCTTAACAAAACTTAGTCTTAATTAGGAATTCTATCATTTTACCCAGATGCTTTTGTCTGATTAAATAAATCACACTCTATCATTTCATGCCACTTTTAGTGAAACATAAGTTCATCTTAATAGAAGAAAAATAATCCCCTAGTGCAGATTCAGAAACTTTCTTTCGTTTCTGGGTGATTCTCATTGGCGCGGCACTGAGGCGTTAGCCGTGCAGTTAGGATTTTATACAATTGTACGGAGAACTGCCCAGCAGCAGCGCAATTATCGCTGGTTATGTTCCTGGACTTAATGTACTACTTCTCTTTAGCAGAACTTATCTCTTGCAGCACACCTCTCCACCAGGCAGTAATAGCGCGAAACCAAAGGATATTTGACATACTACTGAAACAGCCAAACTTAGATACCAACTTACGAACGGTATCCGACGAACACCCGCCCCTGTACTACGCTCTCGTGGACGATCGACGCGCGTCTATATCGTCCAGCGAGACGCTGGTCATGAACGGGTCGAACCCTTTCGATACTCCGGTCACGAACAAGAATGCCTTTGCTGAGGATCCAGTGGAGGGAAAAACGGAAAATATTGTCGAAAGAGGATTTGCAGCGAAGCTGATAGAGAAAGGGTGCCTCGCCAACCCGCTGTATTCGGGATCGGGAGACAGCTTGCTGCATATTCTTGCTCAAGGGTGGTTTGAGGTAAGAGATATTTAAGTCTATAGTACAAACAATAGGACATCAAGCTCCTATATGGTTGTAGTAAGTGCTATTATGGAAAAAAATGATTGTCTGATATGCTGTCAACTACACTAAATTTAACGTTCATAAATAATCAAATTATTGCATGCTTCCGAACCAACCAACCAAATTCCGGGTATTATTTTTCAACCAATGCCAACCTACGACTTTGCCAACTAGACTTGGCAAATTCATGCATCCGTAGCAACTATATCAATAAAAATTAATTAATTGTGTTATTGATCCATTGTATTCAGTAGTTTATAAATTAACAGCTAGAATTTGCTCCCACCGGATCTTTTTTATCACGACAAGTTGACTGGCATATTTTTATGATCTATCAAAACAATGTTACTCGATATCTCGGAGACACCGGGATATGTACTCTTAATTGACTCTACATATGACTGAAGTTATTTGTGCTCTTCTATTGCATTATTCATCTAAATACTCCAAATGTATACAGGACTCAGCAGTATTCCTAGCCACAAATCTGAACGGAGAGTTGAACCACACGAATGAAGCTGGACTGACGGTGCTACACGCGGCGTGCGCCAACGGCCTAGCGCGGCTCACGACGGCTTTACTAGAGCACGGCGCGCGGCCTAACATACAAACGTCTTACGGGGAGCAAGAGGACACTGTGTACAGGTAGGTTTACTTGAGAAACGTAATATAGTTAGGGTGTTTATCAAGCCACAAAATCTGAATGGGGAGTTGAACCACACTAACGAGGCTGGACTGACGGTGCTACACGCGGCGTGCGCCAACGGCCTAGCGCGGCTCACGACGGCCTTACTAGAGCACGGCGCGCGGCCTAACATACAGACGTCCTACGGGGAGCAAGAGGACACTGTGTACAGGTAGGTTCATTGGTGAAACACATAGGATAAAAGTTATAGTTAGGGTACCACACGAATGAGGCAGGTCTGATGGAGATACACGCGGCGTGCGCCAACGGCCTAGCGCGGCTCACGACGGCCTTACTAGAGCACGGTGCGCGGCCTNTTCGATAAAAATAATGAAATATGAAAATAAATTTAGAACAAATTTTATATTAACTACCCACTAAACAAAATAATAACCACAAGCTAATTTGTATTCCATTCTATGCACCAATCAAATTATTTTGTATATAGTTTATCGTGAAATATTTTTGCCAAATGAAACATTTGGCAAAACATACTTTGCCAAACAATAATTTGCTAAACAATAATATGCCAAAAAAGACATTTGCGAATTAAAAGTTTGCAATAAGTTGTTTTGCCAAATGAGAATTTGCCAAATGAAAATTTGCGAAACGTTGTTTGCCATGTGATAATTTGGGAAACGTTTTTTGGCCAAACATTAGTAATCCCTCGAGCATTTGTAAGAGGGTACCTGGAAAAACATCCTTTCTGCCAAAATGTTTTTCGGAATAGTGCTGTATAGTATTCCAAGGCCTGAGATTTCGCTGTCCTCTGCCTATCTGACCGGTGGCGTGTCATCTAGCGGAAAATTAGCATCCGCAGTTTGTGGTTTAGATGCTTACACGTGTACTTTATCTCAGTGAACCCTAGAGGCTGATGGAAAGCTAAGTACGACTAAGTGCCGTAACTAGGGNGGACACTGTGTACAGGTAGGTTCATTGGTGAAACACATAAGATAAAAGTTATAGTTAGGGTACCACACGAATGAGGCAGGTCTGATGGAGATACACGCGGCATGCGTCAACGGCCTAGCGCGGCTCACGACGGCCTTACTAGAGCACGGCGCGCGGCCTAATATACAAACGTCTTACGGGGAGCAAGAGGACACTGTGTACAGGTAGGTTCACTTGAGAAACATGTGATGTAGTTAGGGTATCAAGCCACAAATCTGAATGGGGAGTTGAACCACACTAACGAGGCTGCATTGACGGTGCAACACGCGGCATACGCCAACGGCCTACCGAGGCTCACGACGGCCTTAATAGAGCACGGCGCGTGGCCTAACATACAGACGTCCTACGGGGCTACGGGGAGCAAGAGGACACTGTGTACAGGTAGGTTCATTGGTGAAACACATAGGATAAAAGTTATAGTTAGGGTACCACACGAATGAGGCAGGTCTGATGGAGATACACGCGGCGTGCGCCAACGGCCTAGCGCGGCTCACAACGGCCTTACAAGAGCACGGCGCGCGGCCTAACATACAGACGTCCTACGGGGAGCAAGAGGACACTGTGTACAGGTAGGTTCATTGGTGAAACACATAGGATAAAAGTTATAGTTAGGGTACCACACGAATGAGGCAGGTCTGACGATGTTGTATGTGGCGTGCGCCAACAGCCTAGTGCGGCTCACGACGGCCTTACTAGAGCACGGCGCGCGGCCTAACATCAGACGTCCTACGGGGAGCAAGAGGACACTGTGTACAGGTAGGTTCATTGGTGAAACACATAAGATAAAAGTTATAGTTAGGGTACCACACGAATGAGGCAGGTCTGATGGTGCTACACGCGGCGTGCGCCAACGGCCTAGCGCGGCTCACGACGGCCTTACAAGAGCACGGCGCGCGGCCTAACATACAGACGACCTACGGGGAGCAAGAGGACACTGTGTACAGGTAGGTTCACTTGAGAAACATGTAATATAGTTAGGGTGTTAGGGCACAAATCTGAATGGGGAGTTGAACCACACTAACGAGGCTGGTCTGACGATGTTGCACGCGGCGTGCGCCAACGGCCTAGCGTGGCTCACGACGGTTTTACTAGAGCACGGTTTGACTCTTTGTTTATTTATTTACTCATTATGATGGGGAGTTACATACAATCAACCAAAACTACCATCATCGATAGATGTGTTCTTGCCACATTAGATCTAAATATGTAAATTAACAAATATTTTTGTTCCCATGACATGTTTACGTTTTACTTTCCTCGCATACAATAGAGGGCATATTTACCGTTTAAGGTTAATATGCCGTGCTGAGCTCTCTAATATACATACATCATGATGTAACATTGCCTTGTATTCTGCACGATGCCGCGCGTTTTATGACGCCTTTATACGAGCTCCCTAAGCTGTCTCAGACAGTCTCAGCAGAGTAAATACAAATGAGTAGGTCATCTTCATAGAAACGCACCGAGCACGGTTTGTATGTGAGCGCGCCAATACGTATGCAGCGCGCACGCACACACTGACAAAATTTAGCGTGTGCGTGCGCGCCGCATACGTATGGGCACGCTCACATACAAACCGCGCTCGGTGCGTTTCTATGAAGATGACCTACTCATTTGTATCTACTCTGGTCTCAGTCCTCAAGGGTTTCCAAGGCTTTCCAAAGTTTAAAAAGTAAGAATGTCTATAATTTTTTTGTATTTTCATGAACAGGCAAACTCCACTCCACCTGGCTGTACTAAACAACCACGAGGGGGCGGTACTGGCGATCCTAGAATACAAGAAACAGGTGGAGAAGGGCGACTTTCCGTCCACGGACCGCAGCAACGCCAGTTTAGTGCCTAACCTTAATCTCAAGAACTCCGAAGGCGACACGCCTGTTAGCTTAGCGCTCACTGAAGGTTAGTTGTATAGCCTGACCAGGAANCAGGCTATAATGACATAACTATTACTTAATGCTAAATTTATTACTAATTAATGTTAGATGGCATTGGCCTTGAATTCAATCTGGCTCAAGGTTGTCAGCGAGATGTAGGATTTGTGATTTCTCCAAAAAATATAGATTTGAATTTAGTCAAGACTTAAAAATTACAACCTAGCTTAAAAACCAGCTGAAATTGCCTAAATATTATTTAGAATGTTTGCTTATTCAGGTCACAAAAACATTGTGGCGCCTTTGATCGAGGGAGGCGCAGACCCAAACATTCGCAACGGCAAGGGATTCACGCTGCTGCACCAAGCTATCGTCGAAGAGGACTCGAGGACTGCTATCTACTTGCTCGACCATGGAGCTGATATGGATGCCTTGTAAGTTGCCCTATCATTTTTACTATTGATAGTAATGGGGACGTATTTCCTAAAAACCCCGCATCGGTAATAATGCGACAATAGGACTGCAATAGGCGGTTAAGCAATCTTATCACCATAGAGAGGAGGAGTACTCATCTCAATTTTTGACTGTTAACCTACGGTGACCATTTTCGAGTAATGCGTCTTCGATTACAATGCTGTCAGTTTTTACTGATAAAATCCACTCTTTTTTTTTCTTCTCTACCACGAATGAGCTAAATAATCTGGTCCTTCGAGCCGGATGTTTGACACTAATATATTTGAAACAGGACGGAAGCTGGTGAAACTCCTCTTCAGTTAGCCATCCACTGCCGCCTCGGCTTGGTGGTGGAAGCGCTGTGCGTCCGTGGAGTAGACATGAGCAGACTCGATGCAAATGGAGTGCCGCCTCTGTGGGCCGCTCTGGACTCTGGACAGGAGGAAGTTGCTAGCGTAAGTTTGACTTTATTTCGTGTGAATTTAGGTCGAAAACGGCTCTAAAGAGTAAATAAATAGTGCATCTGAAATTATTATCGAGTTATTAGTCTTATTTGTCTCCTTTTTGTGACTAGTAGATGGAAGTAATTTGTGTCGTGTAATTTTGGTAATGTTTAGATATTTATTACTTGACCTTCATTGGTTGGGTTTTTATGGCGGTCAAGCTGTAGATTCTGGCACACCACCACATACATATTTTGAAATATAATTTTAGGTTTTATTTGTAGATCTTGGTGAGGAACGGAGCTGATGCCGATTGCTGGGGCCCTGGTCCCGATGGATGTCTTCAAACTCTACTTCACAAGTTAGTGTTTTATGTCATTATTTTATAATCATCATGGTGAAATGGCCACAGTTTGCAAAAAGTTTTCTAATATAATAGAATAAGTGGATTTAAAAAAAATCTATTAAATAATGAAATCTTCTTACTCAATAAGAGATTGCTTTATTAAGGCCTTTCACCAACTTTGATTTGGTAGTCCACATTGTTGGTCAACTGTAGATACAATATTCAAAAACTGCTGCATATTGAACTGGTTTTTCCCTTGTAAAAATCTTAAATGCATACAAAGAAAACGTGCGTTTTGAATTACCTGTATTCCAAGACAATAATAAGGTTATTGCCATAGAATACGTATACGAATAATAATTTTGAGTTATGTGCCTTATTACGAAAAGTTGCCTAATAAGGAAACTTAATTTCACTCATTGCCGATAGCATCTCCACGTCTCGGCTATTATTTACGACTGCAGCATTCGTATGCGGTCGGCGCCTTAGTTTTAAGGGCTACGTGCACCGAATTGAGCCGCTTGTATTGTTTATGTCATTCTACGAAAATGAACCAGTGACGTGAATACTAAGTGGCGTCGGTGCATAAGAGTTGCATTGCGTTATACTTGAGTTTAAATTCAGACTTTAGCTCAGTAACAACTACGAGTACCTGCATGCTGCAGAAATTACTGTATTGACTACAGGTAGGTACTACCTTTAAAGGAACATACGATGAAATAGTTTCGTTCAACACATATTTACTTCAGAAAAGGCTTACGCCCGTATTCTCAAACGATGCTCGCTTAAGTGAAGCAGCAAATCGAAAGCACAGCGTTGAATAGAGCTCTGTGATTGGTTCATGTGTCACCCTGTGCGTCCACGCGTACTGTGAGACCTCATAGTACTGTTTGTAAATACGGGCGGTAATTTACAAGACTAAGTATTGATCTCGTTGATAGTGTTAAAAATGCTAAAAATTTCAACGCTAAAATACTTATCGGTATCGCCTTTAACAGTAGTAAGTTTTCACTAGTGGACACACACTTCAATTTGTGCTAATTTAACATCCTTGTAATTGACAACTTCTTGCGCCGACTCAAATGCCTATTTATTTAACTAAAACTGATGGAGGGAGACTAGTTGAAAACTATGTACATAATTTTCTAGCTAAACATTTTTAGAGAAGTGTAGCCTTGGAATAATTAATTAATAGTGTTAACTACATAACAATAACAATCGAAGACGTCATCAACAACCAAAGCTATCTTCCAGAACGATCGATGAGAACAAAGAGGCGCTCGCGACGTTCCTTATCCGCTTAGTGTTTTGTAGAGAAGTTTTGCCATGAATTAATGGTCACAACCCAATTCACACACTCGATGACATCTTCAACAACCAAAGCCACCGTTCCGAAAGTTGTAAGGGTGGACAGCTACTCTTTCTCAAATTGCAGGCCTTTACATACCTGCCTTGTGTTTCGTTCTTTAGTGTTAATTAGGGAACTGGGCATAAAATAATCTGATATACCTTCCCCTTGGCCAGACTGCCCGACCCCTGACCTAAAAGCTGGGTACGCCCATGACAAAAACTATCTTCCAGAGCGATCGACGAGAACAAAGAAGCGCTCGCGACGTTCCTTATCCGCTCGGGCTGCGATGTCGAGTCCCCGCGGCGGCCGGGCGCAAACGGTGCGGGCGCAGACGTCGTTGCGGATCAACACACACCGTTGCACTTGTGCTGTACTTGGGGGCTTACGGAGGTCATCCAGGTAACGAATCTAGGATAAAAAGGCATATACATATGCCCTAGTAAACATGGTATGAAATTCTTATACCCGTTCGATCAATTTGTCAAAATAGCTAAGTATACGACCCAATGCAGCACACTGCAGACTTCACTTCAGTCTCCAACCTAACTATAGAAAGCTTCAGTCTGGCATTCGGCAAGTGACCAATCTTAAGGTCAAATGCTATCAAATCGCGACGTTCCTTATCCGCTCGGGCTGCGACGTCGAGTCTCCATGAAGGCCAGGCGCAAACGGTGCGGGCGCAGACGTCGTTGCGGATCAACACACGCCTTTGCACTTATGCTGTACTTGGGGGCTTACGGAGGTTATCCAGGTTCGTTCTAGGATAAAAAAAGCATCTAGGATATTAACCCCTAGTTATGACATCAAATCGCTAGGAGTTCTTTTGTTATCACATTCAAAATTATCCGTTCGACCAATTTATCAAAGTAACAAAGTAAGTANTCCAAAATTACGTCCCAATGCAGCACACTGGCTTCACCCACACAACTATGGAAAACTTCAGTCCCGCATTCGGCAAGCTAATCTTACGGTCAGATGCTATCTAACCGCCTCAAGATCTCTAACTAGACTTCACGACTCAATTCGAAATCGGTATCAAAGCAGATCATGAAATCACGTTTTGCGTGGTTGCATCAAACGTGTAGTAACGAAGTAAAATCATTCCAGACTCTTCTGGAACACGGCGCAAACATAAACTCCAAAGACTTCGAAGGGAAGACGCCTCTTCACATCGCCATAGAGAACCAGCACTCGGCGATCATCTCGCTGCTCCTCTCTCAGCCGGGCATAGACTTGTCGGCCAGAGACAACAGAGGAGTGTCGCCATTCGCCGCTGCGCTGACAGCGAGAAACAATAAAGCTGCTCAAGCTATACTAGAAAAGAATCCGTCCGCGGCCGAACAGGTATGTCCTCTTTTAAACTGTTAATATTTTATTCAAGATTCATTTCAGATAATATTGAAAGTTTTGTAATATTCTAATCACGAAGACACATACTATACCATGAAATGAACTAACATACTTTTTTTGATCTGGGTTAGAAAATGGAATCTACCCATTTTCAAAAAGTAATTTATGACATGACATGTGACTGGTTTTTCACACAATGAATGGTGCCTCATTACTAAAGCCCGGTCTCTGAGCACGTAGAATTTGCTCGCACACTCACTGCGGGCGCCCGTCGCATAGTCGCGACACCAATATAATTACGCGCGAGCGATAAGGATGGGCAGCTTGGGGTCAATGGACAAAATTCTACGTGTTTCTTCTAATTTATCCGGCTCGAAGGGCCACGAATCTTAGAGACACAAATTAATGATGATTTTTTTAATCTTATATTTTTAGGTCGACAAAAAAGGTCGCAACTTCCTTCACGTGGCCATCCAGAAGTGCGACATGGAGAGCGTGATGTTCCTGCTATCGGTCGAGGTGGACGTGAACTCGCGCGTGCAGGACGCGTCGCTAGCGCCGCCGCTTCACCTGGCGGCCGCCGCCGGCAACGAGGTGCTGCTGCGGAGCCTGCTGCTGGCCGGCGCTAGGCCCAACGACCGCGACGCGCACAAGTGAGTGTGATAATAATATACTGCTTTTTGCCCTTTTGTTCTTTGTTTGCTTCTAGCATAATATCACCACCGGCAGGCCTATCTCTACATACAGTCCACTCCATCGTTTTTAACATTTTGGCCAGCAATCCTTTTTTGATATTGTTTATGGGTTTTATACTTTTTTTTTAATATTGTTTTTTAGATTTTTGAAGTTGCTTTTGTACGCTCTTGGGTTCTAGTGAAAATGTCTTGAGCAATATGAAGTCACTAAAGGTAGCATTCGGATCAAGAAGACCGCGACGCGAGACCGCGACTCGAGACCGCGACCGGCAACCGCGACCCACTGCTTTATATGAATTAATAGGAAGTGCTGACGGATGCAAGCAACCGGGTCGCGCGACGTGTGGGCGTGGCCTGCCGGCTACTTGCGTCGCGCGACTCGGTCGCTCACAAGGCAGTGCCGTGACGCGACAGATGCAAAATGGCCGTGTTTTCTTCGTACGAAGACGAAATTTTAATAGAATTAGTAAGTTTCGTATAGGTCGCACGACTCGTGTCGCGAAGATTCGTAAGTAGCTGTCTCCCTGCGACCTGCGACCGTTTGCCTGTCGCGGTCTCGGGTCGTGGTCTCTCGTCGCGGTCGTCTTGATCCGAATGCTATCTTTAAGGTATAAGGCGACCGCGACGCGCACAAGTGAGTGTGGGAGCTAGTAAAGGTATAAGCCGACCGCGACGCGCACAAGTGAGTGTGGGAGCTAGTAAAGGTTTAAGGCGACCGCGACGCGCACAAGTGAGTGTGGGAGCTAGTAAAGGAGTAAAGGTATAGGGCGACCGCGACGCGCACAAGTGAGTGTGGGAGCTAGTAAAGGTATAAGGAATCAGGATCGGGCTTAACCAAGAAAAAGTATGTAAATAATGGAAACTCCTGAGTGACACTGATCGCTCGGTGCCAACGCTTCATACACGTCGACGGTCAGCGTGCGTCAGCGCGATTCTAAAACCAGCCATAATCCCACTAGGTCGGTTCAGAATAGTCTCTTCTCTGTGTCACTAGTGCAGTACTCCAGACTATGTAAGTCTAAGTACCTGAATACTAGTGTGAGCTATGGACTATGTAAATGTATTCTTCTTTTCATTGTGTGCTTATATTCTGATGCTGGGCTTGAAAAGTCGTCATATTATGCAAGGTGTCTCAACAAGATTACCAGGCTTGCTGTCCGGATTTATGTCTTTTCGTATCACCAAGATGTTATAATTTTTAGAAAAAGATCTGTTTAATAAATCATTCTATCTCTGATTAGACGCACAGCCTTACACGTGGCAGCGGGCGCAGGCCAAGCCGTCATCGTGAGCGCGTTAGCCAGCGGCGGCGCCGAGTGCGGCGCGGTGGATGCGGCTGGAGACACCGCGCTGCATGTAGCGGCGCGAGAGGGACACGCCGCCGCCGCGCGGGCGCTGCTTGCTGACACTGATATAGACGCTGCTGCTACTAACCTCAAGGGTGAGTGTGTTGACGTTGACCAACATCTGCCATTGTCATAAGGGTGAGTGTGGCGCGGTGGATGCGTCTGGAGACACGGCGCTGCATGTAGCGGCGAGAGAGGGACACGCCGCCGCCGCGCGGGCGCTGCTTGCTGATACCGATATTGATGCTGCTGCGACTAATCTTAAAGGTAAGTGTGTTGACGTTGACCAACATCTGCCATTGTCATAAGGGTGAGTGTGGCGCGGTGGATGCGGCTGGAGACACCGCGCTACATGTAGCGGCGCGCGAGGGACACGCCGCCGCCGCGCGGGCGCTGCTTGCTGACACTGATATTGATGCCGCTGCTACTAATCTTAAAGGTTAGTGTGTTGAATACCGACTCCAAAGGTGGGGACACCGATGTCAAGAGTGAATGAGACACAATGGTCGCGGCTAGGGACGCGGTGCTGAACTGCATGTGGCAGCGGGCGCGGGCCAAGCCGTTATCGTGAGCGCGCTAGCGAGTGGCGGCGCCGAGTGCGGTGCGGTGGATGCGGCTGGAGACACGGCGCTGCATGTAGCGGCGCGCGAGGGACACGCCGCCGCCGCGCGGGCGCTGCTTGCTGACACTGATATTGATGCTGCTGCTACTAATCTTAAGGGTGAGTGGTGACACTGACGTCAAGAGTGAATGAGACACAATGGTCGCGGCTGGAGACACGGCGCTGCATGTAGCAGCGCGAGAGGGACACGCCGCCGCCGCGCGGGCGCTGCTTGCTGACACTGATGTAGACGCTGCTGCGACTAATCTTAAGGGTGAGTGCTGACGCCGACACAACGCCGATATCAAGGGAGAGGGCGGCGCGAGGGACACGCCGCCGCCGCGCGAGCTCTACTCGTCGATACTGATATAGACGCCGCTGCTACTAATCTTAAAGGTTAGTGTGTTGAATGCCGACTCCAAAGGTAGAGACACGGCGCTGCATGTAGCGGCGAGAGAGGGACACGCCGCCGCCGCGCGGGCGCTGCTTGCTGACACTGATATTGATGCCGCTGCTACTAACCTCAAAGGTAAGTGTTAATGCTGGCTGACACAACACCGCCGACTTCAAAGGTGAGTGTCGTGCGGTGGATGCGGCTGGAGACACCGCGCTGCATGTAGCGGCGCGCGAGGGACACGCCGCCGCCGCGCGGGCGCTGCTTGCTGACACTGATATAGATGCTGCTGCGACTAATCTTAAGGGTGAGTGTTTTGACCGTCAGCAGCAATCATCACCGACAGACGCCGTTACGTCGCCACTAGCATAAAAGTGATTGCGTCCAGGACACCGCGCTGCATGTAGCGACGTGCGACGATCGTTACTTGCTGATACTGATATTGACGCCGCTGTGACTAACTTCAAGGGTGAGTTCTGATGCTGGCACAATGAAGACTGACTTCAAGAAGGAGTATGGCGCGGTGGACGCGGCTGGTGTCACCGCGCTGCATGTAGCGGCGCGCGAGGGACACGCCGCCGCCGCGCGGGCTCTACTTGCTGACACTGATATTGATGCTGCTGCGACTAATCTTAAAGGTGAGTGTGTTGACGCCAACAACAAGGGTGGTGTGGTGCATCTAATCTTAAGGGTGAGTGTGTTACTGAGTATACACCGACGATATAAAGAGTGAATGAGACACGATGGTCGCGGCCGGGGACACCGCGCTGCATGTAGCGGCGAGAGAGGGACACGCCGCCGCCGCGCGAGCGTTGCTCGCTGACACTGATATCGCTGCGACTAACCTTAANGGGAGCCACTACAGGTATAAGGAATCAGGATCGGGTTCGACAAAGAAAAAAATGAGCTGAAGGTTTTTTACTTGTATATCTGTATCCGCCTCTGCAACCGACACGAACACCTCAACGTGACCACGACCGCTCTGCCAAGAAACGAATAAGAGGAAGAGAATATAGAAAGACCCTTTCTTTCTATGTCGCTATTGCAGTAGTGCAGACTATGTAAGTACCTAAATCCTAATTTAGTGCGGACTGTGGACTATTTATATGTATTCCTCTTTTTTGTGTTCATATTCTGATGCCACTTCAGAAATCACCGTATTATCTAACGTGTCTCGACTCGACCGGATCGCCGGTGTTTGATAGTCGATTGGAAGGTGTCTTTCCAGGATACCAAGATTTTATAATTTTTAGAATAATATTTGTTTCATTTTTTTTTCTCTGATTAGACGCACAGCCCTACACGTGGCAGCGGGCGCGGGTCAAGCCGTCATCGTGAGCGCGCTAGCGAGCGGCGGCGCCGAGTGTGGCGCGGTGGATGCGGCTGGAGACACCGCGCTGCATGTAGCGGCGCGCGAGGGACACGCCGCCGCCGCGCGGGCGCTGCTTGCTGACACTGATATTGATGCTGCTGCGACTAATCTTAAAGGTTAGTGTGTTGAATGCCGACTCCAAAGGTGGGGACACCGATGTCAAGAGTGAATGAGACACAATGGTCGCGGCTAGGGACGCGGTGCTGAACTGCACGTGGCAGCGGGCGCGGGTCAAGCCGTCATCGTGAGTGCGTTAGCCAGCGGCGGCGCCGAGTGCGGCGCGGTAGACGCGGCTGGAGACACCGCGCTGCATGTAGCGGCGCGCGAGGGACACGCCGCCGCCGCGCGGGCTCTACTTGCTGATACCGATATTGATGCTGCTGCGACTAATCTTAAAGGTAACTGTATTGATGCCGGCTGACACAACGCCGCCAACTACAAAGGTGAATGTGGCACGGTGGACGCTGCCGATTACACCGCGCTACATGTAGCGGCGCGCGAGGGACACGCCGCCGCCGCGCGGGCGCTGCTTGCTGATACCGATATTGATGCTGCTGCGACTAATCTTAAAGGCGAGTATATTATTGCCGGTACAACGCCGACTCCAATGGTATGAGGCATAGTGGACGCCTACGCATAGAGGGCGCTGCACGTGGCTGCGCGAGAGGGTCATGCCGCCGCCGCCGCGCGGGCGCTGCTTGCTGACACTGATATTGATGCCGCTGCTACTAACCTCAAGGGTGAGTGCTGACACTGACGTCAAGAGTGAATGAGACACAATGGTCGCGACTGGCGACACCGCGCTGCATGTAGCGGCGCGCGAGGGACACGCCGCCGCCGCGCGAGCCTACTTGCTGATACTGATATTGATGCCGCTGCGACTAATCTTAAAGGTTAGTGTGTTGAATGCCGCCTCCAAAGGTGGGGACACCGATGTCAAGAATGAATGAGACACAATGGTCGCGGCTAGGGACGCGGTGCTGAACTGCACGTGGCAGCGGGCGCGGGCCAAGCCGTCATCGTGAGCGCGCTAGCGAGTGGCGGCGCCGAGTGTGGCGCGGTGGATGCGGCTGGAGACACCGCGCTGCATGTAGCGGCGCGAGAGGGACACGCCGCCGCCGCGCGGGCGCTGCTTGCTGACACTGATATAGATGCTGCTGCGACTAATCTTAAGGGTGAGTGTTTTGACCGTCAGCAGCAATCATCACCGACAGACGCCGTTACGTCGCCACTAGCATAAAAGTGATTGCGTCCAGGACACCGCGCTGCATGTAGCGACGTGCGACGATCGTTACTTGCTGATACTGATATTGACGCCGCTGTGACTAACTTCAAGGGTGAGTTCTGATGCTGGCACAATGAAGACTGACTTCAAGAAGGAGTATGGCGCGGTGGACGCGGCTGGTGTCACCGCGCTGCATGTAGCGGCGCGCGAGGGACACGCCGCCGCCGCGCGGGCTCTACTTGCTGACACTGATATAGACNTTAAAGATTAAAGAATTCTTAATCTGTTCGTGCAAAAATCTTTAAAATTAACGTAGCCGTTTGGGAGGAGTAGGGAATTGAATTAAAAAATCGATGTCCCGTATTTATTTTTTTAATCCACAACAAAGAGACGTAGGAAAAATTCAAACGTGTCAAATGTAGTCCTTGAACTGTTGTATAACATATATTTTTTTCAACTATTTCTGTCCAGCAGTAAAAGAGGAGTAGGCTTTACAAAATGACCATTTCACGCGGATTGAGGACACTAATCGCCTTAAAGGTAAGTGTGTTGACTGGCTTCACCGATACGCCCCGCCACTAGCATCAAGAGGGAGTGCGGGGCGGTGGACGCGACCGGGGACATGACGTCCAATGACGTCACCGTCCGTCAATCGACCTCAAGAGTGGCGCTCGCAGTACAGTGCCGGAGATGCAGCTGACTTCAGCCATTACTTTTAGATGATCGAACTTTTATTGTCAACCACTTAAGTCATCGATCTGCACGATAAATTTTGAATTTAACGAAATACTTAACTAGAAAATTATTTTAAATCCTTTTCAACAGGACGTAACCCTCTACACGAGCTGTGCTGGTGTAAGAAAGACAACGCAGCCACGATATGCGAAATATTCCTCGAGTTCATGCCGGACTACCCCATCAATAGGACTGATTTACAGGTAAGGTGTTTCTACCCCTACTTATAATATACATAACATCAATAAGACTTAAAATGGCATTATCAATGATTTCAGTTTGTTTCATGAATACTGCAAGGCACATAACCAAGTGCATTTCTGCGGTAGTGTGTTTGGTTACGTCAAACGCCGCGAAACATCAGACGTGCGTATCATGATAGCAGGGTTACTGCGAAACATTATAACGTCCCGAAAGGTAGTTTGGTAACATTCGAAACTTCGGATAACGATTTCGGAGTAACCCGCAGTTGTTTCGTCGCTTGTCACCTCTCCGACTTGTCCATACCGCATGAACCTGCTTAGTAAAGCGAACTGTAAACACTTCAATATTGTTAATAACTTGCAGGGTAATTCCCCGCTGCTGCTAGCCTACATGAACGGGCAGGGCGCGATGTGCCGCGCGCTCGTGCGCGCCGGCGCCTGCCTCGCGCAGGAAAACAAAGATGGCGTCTCCATCTTCAACTACCAGGTAACTGCCACGCCGGTTTCAATGAGGGCTATCGTTTTTATACTTAACAGTTGGCACCCCTGGCGATTGACAGGACCTTACTTTACAGTGGCGCCATCTTGATGAGTGCAAATACGATAGTCCTCCTACCACTTTCGCGCTCACCAGTTGGTGCCACTGTCTTCGCTACTAGCAAGTGACAGGACCTTACTCTACAGTGGCGCTAACTGGTGAGCGCTAAAACGATAGCCCTCATTAAGATTCACTTTGCCATGTGACGTGCACTGGGCTTACATTCTACATAGTTCTACGTGGACGTACCTAAATGTGACACACAAGCCCTACTAAAGTACCGAAATAAATAAATAATTACCTCATGTGGAACTCGAAGCAGGATGAGTAAGGTGCGTCTAAATCCTGCTTTCAAATTTTAAAATCTGCATCTTTAGGTGTCGGCCGACATAGAATCGTCATTTTTCTAAATGTCAGAATATATTAAATCAAGTGGTCCGGTAAGTAAACGCTATAAATTGTTGTATTTGCTATGCAGGTGGCGACGAAGCAGCTGCTGCATAGACTCCTAGACGCGCTGCCGGCCGAGGCGCCGTGGGCCGAGAGCGACCTGTGCCAGGAGTGCGGCACTAAATTCACGCTTACTATGAGGAAGCATCACTGGTATGCTATATTACATTACATCTATAGCGAATACAATGTACGGNGCGGTTAGTTCGACATCCTTTAGGAGCAAAAAGTCTGTGAGTGTAAGCATCTCGTATACGCTAGGAGCGACTGGCATAAAACCAAGTGTATCTCTGTGGTAGTGTGTTTTGATACGTCAAATGCCGCGAAACATCAGACGTCCCGAAAGGTATTTTGGTAACATTCGAAACTTCGGATAACGATTTCGGAGTAGCCCGCAGTTGTTTCGTCGCTTGTCACCTCTCCAACTTGTCCGTACCGCATGAACCTGCTCAGTAAAGCGAACTGTAAACACTTCAATATTGTTACTAACTTGCAGGGTAATTCCCCGCTGCTGCTAGCCTACATGAACGGGCAGGGCGCGATGTGCCGCGCGCTCGTGCGCGCCGGCGCCTGCCTCGCGCAGGAGAACAAAGATGGCGTCTCCATCTTCAACTACCAGGTAACTGCCACGCCGGTTTCAATTAAGATTCACTTTGCCATGTGAGGTGCACTAGGCGGGCGTACTTAGGCGTGTGGGCGTACATTCTACATAGTTGTACGTGGAGGTACCTAAACGTGACTCACACAAGCCCTACTAAAGTACCGAAATAAATAAATAATGACCATTCTGACCTCATGTGGAACTCGATGTATAAGGTGCGTCTCAATCCTGCTTTCAAAATCTGCATCTTTAGGTGTCGGCCGACATAGAATCGTCATTTTTCTAAATGTCAGAATATATTAAATCAAGTGATCCGGTAAGTAACCGCTATAAATTGTTGTATTTGCTATGCAGGTGGCGACGAAGCAGCTGCTGCATAGACTCCTCGACGCGCTGCCGGCCGAGGCGCCGTGGGCCGAGAGCGACCTGTGCCAGGAGTGCGGCACCAAGTTCACGCTTACTATGAGGAAGCATCACTGGTATGCTATATTACATTACATCTATGGCGAATACAATGTACGATGTAAACTTCAAAGCACCGTCTGACTTTCCGAAACTGCTCCGAATCCGAAAGCGACGCAGAGTTAAGAAGCACAGAACTCCCGTTGTAGAGTAGACGTGCAAGATACGAAATTCTTCTCCAATCGTTGCTAGCTACATTCTAGCACTAATAACTAATGACGTCCAAGTCCATTTGCCATACAAAATCTATTGGAGAGTGACGTTTTGACAGCTCATAAAAATATTTAACCAGGGTGTTCTAACATCTATTGTGAATGCTACATGGATCAGCTGTTTTTTAACAATATTATTATTGATCTTTAGTTAGATTGACCATCGTCGCTTTTGTGCTAGCCTATAGAATGGTTCTTTAGTGTATTTTTATTACAGTCGTCACTGCGGTCGTATGCTGTGCAACAAGTGTTCCAGCCAGGACGTGCCCATACTGAAGTTCGGCATGAACAAGCCGCAACGCGTCTGCGAGATTTGTTTCAACGTGCTGCAAGTCGGCGCCAGTTAGTAACGACGAGGCTCCGTAGACTGCGGTGTGATATTCGCGGGTAGATGCATAGATCGCTGCGTCCGGGTATTGCCGACGATGATAAGGCAGACAGCAAGCTCAAGAATTAGATACTTTCTGATTTAATATAAATAATATACTTAGCAGATTAGGCAATAGTACGGATAACGGCTCAACAAGTACTATGGCACCGTATGTAGTTGTTAATAAGGTCNATAAGGTCGGTTTTTGTAACTAGTGTATTTGCAGTCTTGCACTTTGCCCCTCGTCGCCAATTCGGGTGCAGCGATGAATGAATGCAGCTGAATGGCGTGTGCGATGGATGCGAGCTATGCGTATTTTATATTTTATACTGATTGTTAGTAGATATTTTATTACTTAAACTGTAAAACGGACTACAAACGTATCCGATATGCTTGTCAGTATAGTTATGGAAGGATGTCAGTGCATCCTGAATTTTATTACTTGATTATTTTAATTTTGTTAAGTATTTTTTAGGGTCACAAAATGTGTTATTAAGACGGTTTTATGTTGGGATGTAGATCTCACATTATGCTTCAATAAACCAATTATATGGCTAAAATAATTATAATAGGCTAGTTGCCTAAAAAAATTTTTTTAGTCCGTAATGTTTAATATCAAAAAATATTGGACACATATATTTTTATTTGTCAATCTAACAAATAATTACATAGTTATGGTGCGTTGAAGTTGCGCACGACGTCACAACGTGCGGCATTTTTAAGCAAGCGTTGACGTCACGGGCCTCTTCTTATGAACTTTGGGGCGCTTTATCTCTTTAAATTTTCATTAGTTTGAAAAAGTGAAAAATACGTGTAGAGTATTTTTTTATAAGTTAACTGACGGACTAATTAAAACTCTTGCTTTTTGACCCAGGCAACATCCCCATTATGTAGTTCACAGGCAGTTAATTTAAAAAAAAAGCCGCACGATATCTATTTTCCATTCAACGATTATTCGTGATAAATTGTTTAACGCTTAGTAGACGCTAATTACTAGTCTAAGTTAAAAATTGTGCCTCAACTTAAATTCAATTTGTTTGTGACTTATTATGCCAAAGCCAGGCAAATTCCTTGTCTGGAGAACCTTAATAATTTGCGAAAGAATGTGGTTTCACCGCTTTTGAGATGTCAATTGGATACTCAGGTAGTAGTTTATGAACATGATTACACAATGAATTATTCTTAGTCTAAGAACTTGTTTTATCAAAACTTTATAACAATAAAGTGATGATTAATATTAATATGTATTCTTTTTGCAATTAAGTATCAAATGTGTTGACTTTCAGTGATTTCCGCATTTATTGTTTTTTTTTTCACATTCCTAAGCTTGACTTTATTTTTCTGTAATTTTAGGAAGTTTTATGTACCTCTAGTGTATTGTGATAATAATTGGAGTATACATAATTCAGATTTTTCAATATCCAAGAATTTAACATGTATTTTTTGTCCTAGCTTCTATTAAATTGTGCCATTTGTATTTATTCTGAATTCTTTGAGCGTATATTTTCAGATATATTTTTAGTTTAACTATTATGTACTGTATTGTTTTCTTTCCAAATGTTTATATTTGCTATAATAAAAAAATATTATACAAATCAGTTTTTGCTTTATAAACAGAATTATCATCCCTTTAGGATTGTTTTCCAATTCCAATATCTGGGTAATTGTAATTATAAACCACAAGGCTGATTTACACGTATTAATCAGGAGTGCTGAAGTATGGGCATGTATGAAAGTGAGTGACACATTTCACCAATTTATTGGTATCGGCCGATTCCATACAAAATAGAATTGGGTCCAACTATCAGCCAACTAAAAGTCGGTGGTCTGCGTCTAGGCTTATAATTAAAATTATGACGTTTCTTTCTGGTAGGTAAAATGGGTTTTTTACTTTGAAGTTTACTCAGCACATTAAAAATAGACAGGTGCAAATAAGAGATGATATGAACTGTAGATATTTATTTACAAATAAACAATAACATTAACACCGGCCGTTTCTCACACAAAGAGTGGGTAAATAATTTACTAAAAGCACTAAGATTCCACCCAATATATAAACTAATCCATACAGATGCAATTCTGATCATTAGCCTCCGCTCTCTTTCAACCATGGGTAGAATACAACTATTGTAGTTTTATTAGTTTACTTTAGCCTGTTGAAGAGGTCTTTGGTAACACATTTGTCGAGAACATGGAGGTAGTCAATGAGTTCCTCTTCACAAGTCTCGGTGGTCTTGGACCGAGAGTTTACACGGTCATTGCATTCCTGATATTTGCCCCACATGTTTTGAGCATCGGCCTTTTGCGAACATTCTTCCTGAAAAGCAAATAAAACAGTTACTATTATCCGAAACATTTGCCAAACTCAATAACAATACCGTTTACAATACACAACAGAAAATTATCTACAACAAAATCTTTACACAATTCTTATTTTCAATGCTAGTAGTAGTAAAGTAGACTAGTTTACAAAAGATATTTACATGCAACTTCTAAGACTAAAGTACTTTCAATAGACTTTATACTCAATAAATTAAGACTAAAATAAAATAAAAGCTAAAAGTATACAAAAAGAAAACCTTTAGGGATTTTTCAGAATCTTGATAGGGACACTAGAAAAGGAAACAAAATAAATTCTAACACCTGACTGTGAGCGAAATTACAAAAAAAGGGTGTATGTTTTATCATTCTCTCTCAGCAAAACATGACCATTTTGTGTTAGTATTTGATCTGACCATGGTAATTTTATGTGGATTATTTTTGATTAAAGTTGGAAATGGAATAAAATTTCTAACCTATACATAGGGTTATAATAGTAACAAAGTTTGAGGTTATTTAACATTCATTGTGTTGGATAAAATATATTTTATCTGATAACGTTTAAGAACGTACCCTCAGTTGAGTCTGAGGGTCCACCATCTCTTCTTCTTCAGCCTCCTCGGCCTTGACAACAGGGATCAGCTTGTCAGACATTGTGCCTGTAAATACAGCACCACTTTTTAACAAGGGATACAAATAGGTTACTTTAACACAGATATGTTAATTAAACATGAATAATGCTTCTAAATCATCGTAATTTATCAAAAATTACCTAAAATCGATGATGCAACAACACAATCGAAGACCACAAAAAATGTTACTAGTGGTAAAAAAAACAAAATACTTTTCATGAGATACAGGAATATCATATCATGTGATAATACTTCGTGATTTTTTTACCATTCATCCACACGACAACAATAGTGGTGACGACATATGACAAATACCCTTTTATGAATAAAACTACCATCGCTTAATTTAAAGATTGAAAGTTGGAATATGATATTTGAATCATTTTACTTCTTATACAACTTCATAATATATAGCCTGACCAGGAACATAAAAACCCTGGCATAGAGGCGCGTCAATTGCATTTGATAGTGCAACACTGAGTACAGTCGTACGTACCTGTGTTAAATTAATAGGCTAACTTTATGTATCAGGATTCAGGATTACGGGCTAATTTGATATTTTCATAAATTAACGAAAAAATATTATTATAGGTAACCTGGTTTAAATAAATTAAATGAAACCATCAATCGAGTTAGTAGGATTTATTTGATTATTTATCAATAATCAAATTCAGAACTTGAATATTCAACTGCAATGTCTGCTCATGAACGCTTCAAACTCGGTACTTCTTTCCCAATTCCATAAAATTCAACACTTAGGAAGTGACAAAAAACTTTAAAATAGGTATTTGAAACAAACCACAGCTAATTTTCATAGTGGACTGTACTATACGATAAACATGTCAGTCAATTTGACAACCTTTGTCGGAAACATTATTCAATGAAAATATTGTCCGAACCCTTAGTATTTCTCTTCGACAANCGACAACAATAGTGGCGACGACATATGACAAATACCCTTTTATGAATTAAACTACCATCGCTTAATTTAAAGATTACGGTAATTTTTAACGTCAACAATCCAGACACGCTGCTCGATTCTGCGATACGATTGGTCGTTCAACAGCGCACGTCAGCTGTTTTGACCAATCGTATTGCAGAATCAGAAATGCATCAGAAACGCGTCTGGATTGTAGACGTTAAAAGTTACCGTAATCGGGGCTCTGGTCAGGCTATACTTCTTTTACAACTTCATAATATAAATAAATTATTATTGAATACCACACTCACTTTTTTTTATCATTTAGTAGAAACGAGTAAAACAGCTACTACTATTACAATTAATTTATTGTATTTTGAAAATATTCACACAGTCATGTTGTGTGATGATGGAGGTAATTTTATTCCATCTCCCTTCCCCCACTCTAAGGAAAATTTAATATCATTCGATATTTCTTCCAAATATTTATTTTCATATATGGCAACTATCTTGACAGCACTGACAAGTTGAGCAACTTAGTAAAATAAAACATGTCCATGAAGTTTTACAATTAATGCAGTGACACTTACAGGGAAAGATTTCAATACTTCATGATAAACATTGTGCATTTAGTCAATCGCAAGTCTTATTTATCGTATTACTACGGTAAAAAATTTAATATTGCTGAAAAAATATTATAAACTACTACATAATGTGAATTGACTATTTTGAATACGATTTAGAGTATAAACATATTTATGTGAGTATATTTTTACACAATAATTCACAGTTCTTGAGTGTCCGTCACCATGGAGAGAGCTTGTAATAAGATTTTTCATTATATCTCATTATTGGCGTAATAAATAAGTGAAACTCATAATTTCATCATGTCAATGATGAAACGCAAGATCATCTATGTGCTAGATCATAATGGTATCGCATTGTCCTGCTAACATCTACCAAAACGAAATATATTTGTATTTTATTACTTGTTGTTTTTTTAGCATTTCAGGTTTGTTTTTTCAATAATTATTTGATTCTAATAATGTATTATATTATTTTTCAGATTCTGGTACCTTAAAATATGGTCCAAGGGTTTTCTATAAGATTACAAGAAGATTTATTGTAAAATGTTGAGGTTATGTCTTCTAATACATAAATTTGTTTTTTTTCTTTTAGAATGAATGGAGGAATGGAGCATAAAACTCCAGGACACAATGCAGTGCTCCACAAAGCACCCAAAAACTATAAACTGCTTATGGACCCATTTCTTATGAAGGGAGCAACTAAACTGTATAGATATGATGGTTGTGTACCTGGAGATTCCACCTATCCTCCTGTACAATGCAGAGATCCTCGGTCACAGCTCTCAAGAATATGGAATAGATTAGAACCAGCAGATTTACCAGTTCCTAGGTAATATTAAAATCACAATAATATTTGTAACGAGTTTGTTTAGCTACATGTTATCCCGTTCACTCTCATAACAATGAAACATTTTGTTTTTTGTAATAGTAATAGATAGAATTTGTACATTTGAGTGAAATTCATAAGATTGTTTCCAATTTTGCTTATTTTCTTGATCAAATTTTTTATATTAGTTTGCTTGCACACTACAGTGTTCTTGTTGATCAATATTCTACTTATTACCTTTACATATTGTAGTGATCAAATGATGATGGCTACATTAATGAGAATTATCTAATTGTTTTGAAACATAAATACCTCTATTTGATGATAAATGTGGAAAAGTAATTTGCATTTTGGTTATTTCTACTTCTTTGTTTTTATTAGCTCTCATGCAATGTTGCCAACATAACAGCGAAATTTGACATAAAAATACTGTGGCGGGATTTTCAAATTATATTGAAAGCAATCAACATGTTGAGCATGTATATTGAATTAACTACTTAACAATCGTTATTTTCAGGTTTAAAATAGATAAAAATTATGTGGGTACTCCACCTCTGCTAGAAATAACTATAGGAAATCTTAATGACAACATAGATAGAGGATTTTTAGCAGACATGATGAACAAAGTGGGCCCTTATGAGGAATTGACAATATTTTATCATCCACTAACAAACAGGCATTTAGGATTTGCAAGAGTAGTATTTCAGGATGTTAAATATTCAAAGTTGTGTATAGACAAGTATAATGGCAAGTCGGTTATGGGCCAGGTAAGTCAAAGCTTAAATTTTATTATACTTTACAAATAATTTGTCTTAGATACAAAATATGTATACTTACTAGACCAGCTGTCTAAAATTAAAGTTATTAGAAATCAGTCCAGCACCAGTCAACAACAAAATAAATAATTTATTTTTTAATATTTACAACTACATAATATAAATAAATGATTAAATTGAAATACCATTTACCAACTTCATAAAAACTTAGTTTTAAGTACTCACATCATTGGTGGTCAGGCAAGCCCACAAGATTTTTGAACCATGTTTAAATTATAGGTGCTTGATGTCTTCCATGATCCGTTTGGCAAGCGCTGCCAAGAGATGTTCGAGGATAAGACTATGGAGAAGAAGGTGCACATGTCGATGACTCTAGCCAAACCCCCGTTGCTCGTTGAAGATGTGAGGGCACAGAAGTTGGACCCAACACTCAGCAAGCGGTTAGAGGAGACGAAAATTGTTGAAAAGGTTTGTTTTTTAAATTATGTCATTTTAAAATTACAGTTTATTATTGTGTATTAAATTATGACTAATTTTATTGAAGATACAAGTTGTTCTGATTATTATGTGGACTATTGTTGGTGTGTTTTTGTAATTTATAGTACCTACACTTACTTTTCATTCTCTGGCTGTATGTTTGATAAGAATTAAAGATCCACAGTAAGATCATTAGAAAAGCTTTTATTTACAGTTGTATGTCTGATTAACTTATTTTCTTTTTCTGTTAATTAATTCAGTATTTTTGCTACTATAGGTACACTTTTTCACAAACAAATAATTATGTCATTTGACACAGTGTTTTGAAAAAGATCTGAATACCTTTTCTAGGAGCCTTATAGCCGTTTTCACCATGAATCCCTAATTTTTAAGTGACCCCTATGAAGACAAAATTCTTATTATGTGGTACCTTACTAGTCACTTAAAAATTAGGGTTTGATGGTGAAAACGGGCATTAGTGTGTAGTGAAAAAGGTTGAATCAACTGTTTTAGGAGCCGTACCCTCCTCGCTTCAAAGACGTGGAGCACAGTGACAGCAACACGCGGTGGTCGGACGAAGAGCGCGAGTACCGCCACCGCTACCGCAGCCGCGGCGACCGCGATCGAGACCGGGACCGGGACCGGGATAGGGACCGAGAGCGGGATAGAGACCGTGACCGCGACCGGGAGCGGGAGAAAGAGCGTGATAGAGGGGATAGAGAGAGGTGAGTTTCGCTTGTATATGGATGTGTCAACGTGAAATTGTGAACTCTGTCAGTTTATAATATAACGCGTTAGATTCTAAACTAACAGTGGGTTAGGTTAGATTGTAATTTAACTACGTCAGATTATAATCTGACGGAATTCGCAATTTTACGGTGACAGATGCTTTTGATTGCAGAACTAACATAGCATATTATACTAACAATAAAATGTCCTAATTATTGCCTAGCATATCGTTTCATCCACGAAGCCGCGCCCCACCATTCTTCCGCTAATGTCCGAGTGTTATAGGTACATGCTTAATTATCCATGAGTCCACAGGCACACTACAATAATGTCGCACGGATTGCTAGTATCAAACTCTGCGTACCCCGCGCTTCCCTCGACTAAAATTTGGTGGGGCGCGTCTTCGTGGATGAAACGATCTATACCTCAGATCATAGAAAGAGAATAGATATGAAGTCGCGCGTAACTACAACGAGAACCAGTGTCCCCACATTTCCCCCACCACAGCTCCCACACACACATTCAACTGTGNGGCACCTCACGTCACATCATTTTACCGAAGTCAGCCCTATAGCTTCGGCGCAGTACCGATCACTGACGTTTGTCAACAAAACTTCTGACAAACTTGCTTGACTCTTGAGACAAGCTAAATTACACCATATTGTTAATGACATTGAGCATACATTTTTATAAATATCTTCGCGAAGTAAAACTTCTGTACGTAGTACTTATTATTATTCTGTGGCATAACTAACATTGCATTACTAACAATAAATTTTATTGTCCTAATTATTTCCTTATTAAAATAAGTTATTCTTGAATGGCACAATTTAAGATTCAACCACACCACGCGTGCAGAAAAGCATGGTGTGGTTGAAACTTTCGAAGTGAAGTTTTCGAGACAACATGGATTTTGATTTCGTTTTGTATTAAAAATTGCACAATTTATTTGTCTATTTTACAAGCCGACGATGCAGGAGGAAATGTAGACGGAGGTATATTCTTATATTCTAAATAAGTAATTAGATTGCATGAACAGAATTTGGTTTTTTAATTTGAACAAGTTATTTGACGTTTAAAAATATGTAAACTTTCCATATTCCAGTTGATCAAAATTGTACCCAGCACGGTTAAAAAATGTGAATTGAAATGGAATAATGTGTAGATCATTTTTATTTTTTATCGCTGAGCGGGCATTTTTAGCATAGGGTTGTGCTGGTTTAGCATTTATTTATTTATTAGCTTTCCGCCCGCGGCTTCGCCCGGGATTTTCCCGGAAATTATTCGGATTTTTTTCGCCGTAAAAACTATCCTTGGACTTCAGCGTTGTTGAACTTATGCGCTTAGCAACACATTTTGCGATTCATTTTTATATTAACAACTAGCTTTCCGCCCACGGCTTCGCTCGCGTGGAATTTTGTCTGTCACAGAAAAACTTTATCGCGCGCGTCCCTGTTTCAAAAACCGGGATAAAAACTATCCTATGAAACTATCTCTATGCCAAATTTCATCAAAATCGGTTGCGAGGTTTAAGCGGGAAAGCGTAACAGTCAGACAGACAGACAGACAGACAGACAGAGTTACTTTCGCATTTATAATATTAGTTGGGATTGGGATTTACCTTTTTTTTTATTATGCCATTTTTGTATTTATTTTATTTTTTTGTTATTGCTGTACCCGCCTGATTCTTATCGAGTTTCTATTCTAAAAGGCTTTTATATGTACAAATAAGTAACAAAATGTATTTTCGCATACAAAAGGCACCGAGAGCGGCACAGTCGCGTCGTGAGCGAGACCGAGTCTACGTATACGTCATCGAGCCACCCGCCTGAAGTTCCGTATACGCCGGCTGGTCCGGTACCCTACGACTCCTACTACCAGTCCAGGTTAGTACTGCATGGGATAATAAACAATATCTTTAGCTACTTTCCTGTGCGTGCAAATGCTAAACTGAGTGTTTAGTATCCCTGATAAGTGATAACTTAGTAGTAAACTACCAATCTATCATTTATCTCATTATTACTTGGATAGCATTTAGTATCAAGGGTCCAGCTAAAAGACTCCATTTAGTTAAGGGTATGTACGTTTAGAGACTGCACAAGACCATTCCAAAAAGCCCCTTTATTTAACGATCCTCGTGATCTGTCGTGATCGATAATTCTGTTGTTTCTGTTCAAATACTAAGGAGTAGTATTAAAAAAATAATAAGGCAAGAGCTGTATTTTATTATGATAGATAAGACATATTGCATACCACATAAAACAAGAAAGAAAGAAATGCACAAAAGTGAAGGCACAATTTAGGCAGTTTTATCGTTACGAAGCTAAGATCAAAATAGACGTGTTGACACCACCAATCAATGAGGGTTTTCGCGAATGAAAGATCCGTTAGATGGACGTGGATGTGGGGTCTGACTGCTGCGTGATTGGTGGATTTTGACATATCTGTCAATGTCATGTCAAAAATAACCAATCATGCAGCATTTGAACCTCGCGTCTACGTATTGCCATGTGGCGGATTTTTCATTCGCGAAAACCCTCATTGACGTACTTTTTAAAACTGTCAAAACGAAACTCTCCCATAGATTTTGTATGGCACTACAATCAAGTGACGTCACTATTTTGTCAACTCAATTAAACTACTTTTTTCAATTACAATGCGACCAAAAATCATAATTTACAGGTAATTTAAAATTAATTAAGTTTTTAAGGCCAGAATGAAGTGTCTTTTTTAAAAAGTTGTGGTTTCGGATTATTGGGGAATGGTGTCAAATTGTCTATTACGTAATGAGGGTTTTCGCGAATCAAAAAAATCCGCCAGATGGCAATACGTAGACGCGAGGTCCAAATACTGCATGATTGGTTATTTTTGACATGACATTGACAGATATGTCAAAATCCACCAATCACGCAGCAATCAGACCCCACATCCACGTCCCGCCATCTAGCGGATCTTTCATACGCGAAAACCATCATTAACGTAAACGTGTATTCCAGCTACAGCTACACGTACGGCGCGGGCGCGCCCGGCGGCAGCGGCATGGCGTGGTGGGGCGACTGGCGGCACCCGCACCACACTGCCCACCACCACTCGCACGTAAGTCTAATACAATAAGGTTGGGTTGCACCATCTTTGACTTTGACTTTAACNGAGATCTATACTAACAATAATTGTCCTAATTATGATTAATAAACTATGCTGTTCTTGAATGGCACAATTTAGCCTTATCACTATGAAGTGATCTCTTCAATTCAACCTGGATTTTGATTTCGTTTTGTATTAAAAGTTCAAAGAGATTTACTTTGTAAATAAGCCGCTAATTTATCGATACTCCTATAGCTGTATGATACTAGACTGTTACTTTGACTCTATAAACTGTGGTGTAAATAATATGTGGTTGTAATAATTTGATTATTGTTATTCTCTATTTACAAATGTATTATTCTACAATTATTTGTCTATTTTACAAGCCGACGATGCAGAAGGAAATGTAGACGGAGGTATATTCCAATAATATTATAATGTAATTAGAATGCATGACTGCGTGTGACTTTTTGATTTGAAAAAGTAATTTGACGTTTTAAGACTTAATAATCCAGGTGCTTAAAAACAGACCAAGCTCAATAAAAATTAATGGAATATTTTGTATATTATTATTGTTATTGTATTTTGTGTTCCGTCCGAGTATCGCTGAGAAGGGCGCGTTTTTGGCATAGAGTACTGTTTTATATATTTTTTTATTGTGCCATTTTTGCTACTATGTTTTTTTTTTGCCTTATTATTCTGATTTCTTGTCAATAAAAGTTATTTTATTTTAATTGAGTTATTTATATGCCTATTGTGCCGTGTACGGTAAAAAAATAAATGCTGAGCGGGGGCCCCTTGACACAGTATTGGCTAGTATTGTTTTTGTCCAAGTTTAAATGTTATTAATGTGTCAATAAAGTTTTTACTATTTCTATTTTATCATACAATAGGCACCGAGAGCGGCACAGTCGCGTCGTGAGCGAGACAGAGTCTACGTACACAACATCGAGCCACCCGCCTGAAGTTCCGTATACGCCGGCTGGTCCGGTGCCCTACGACTCCTACTATCAGTCCAGGTTAGTACTGTGTAAGAAAACAAACAATGTCTCTAGCTACTATGTGACCATGCTGTGCGCGCAACTGTTAAACGGGAGTGCTTAGTATCCCTGATAACTTTTAGTAGTAAACTACCAATCTACCAAAGCATCTCATTAATTTTTGGATAGCATTCAGTTTAGGGTCAAATTACATCTCAATATGAGGGGTGCGGGGTGTAAGACTGGACTTCTTTTTTTGGTACTTTTACCTGATTACCTTGATACTTTTGTTTACGCTGAATGAGTTCAGCGAGTAGACCCACTAAATAGGACCGATCCCCGCACCCATCTTATCGTTCGAAACTGAGATCAAAATTACGTAATGAACGTAAAGGTGTATTCCAGCTACAGCTACACGTACGGCGCGGGCGCGGCCGGCGGCAGCGGCATGGCGTGGTGGGGCGACTGGCGGCACCCGCACCACACTGCCCACCACCACTCGCACGTAAGTCTAATACAATAAGGTTGGGTTGCACCATCTTACTTTGACTTTAAANGGTTGCACCATCTTTGACTTTGACTTTAACAAACGTCAAAAATCTGTCAAACTTCATACAAAATACACCGGTTATCGTTAAAGTTACGGTCAAAGTTAGGTGGTGCAACTTATTTTACTGTGACAAACGGGATACGACGTTAAGGCTGAGTTTCCACCAGAGATGTGCGATGAGTAGCTCACCGAGGCGAGGTAAATGAAGCGATTCTATTGGTTCGTTACAAACACATCCCTCGCTACGCATCCTCGCAGATCTCTGGTGGAAACACAGCTTAATGCCGGTTGCAGACCAAAAGCTGAGCTAAGTCAGTTGAGAATAGCTTGCAAACTGCGCCAGTTAGCGAGCTAATCTAAACTAACTTAGCTCTTGGCATGCAATTGGCAAACTCATAAAAATATTATTCAATGAATAGACTATTTTCTTGATTGAAATGCTCCCGTCCATTATGGATTCATCATCATCTTATTCTCTAGTTTAACAAGCATATAAAAGTACATTAAAACTATTCTTTACCATTTATTTGTACATAATTTCATCACCACTATCATTCTTGAAAGCTTTACAATATTTGCCACTATTCATTTCTGGTTTAATTAAGTGAAAACGTAAGACTAAGCTTTTTCATCATCATCACACGTGTTTTATTGTGTTCTTGATTTGTGATGTTTGACACTAACACAATAATCTGTGTTGAAATTACTCCATATTTGCATATTATCCCATTTAACATGTAAAGTAAACTTACGATCGATTGTGTAATGGTAACGATTTTACTTCGCGACCTAATCGCTGACAGGCTTTACAATCGAACATTTCATAAATCCAATCACATTCATTTCATGGCATCAATTCATACTGCAACAAAGCCTATCTATTTTCTGACTGCTGTTGATTTTTCCCATAGTCTTTGTTTATAGTTTTCACAAAAATTCTTTGAAAAATATAAGCAAAGACATTACGTCTATTCCAATCCGATTTTCAAGGATCAAAACTCAACATACTTGAAGATACTCAGCTTGAAAGTTTTATGCATGTACATATTTGACTACATTTTTTTATCATTCTCACATCGAGTGATAGAATCGACAAATACAATGTTTATGCTGATTGAATCCATGAATAAATCGATTCACAGTCAAACGCACCTGTTTTGATTACATTATCATAAAATCTGCCTGCAAAATTTCTTATTTTCCCAGTGCCTTTGACTATAATTTTGTCTCATTCTTACACTAAATGAGTGAAAAGGATAGATATAATCGACATACTGAACCATAAACCGAGTAGACTGTCATGTGTTGTGAATCGATTGTCACATTGAAAATGAGCCTTAACATCATCACCATAAAGTCGAACTGGAATAGACTATAGCAATACTATGACCGAAGCTGGAGCGGTCGAGTCGGTCGAGCGCGACGCCCGCATGGTCGGGCGCCACTCCCGCGCAGCGCGACCTCTCGCCGGAGGAGAAAAGAGAGAAGGAAAAGGTCTGCTTTAGCATTGCTTGCACGAGTAGACGGTTACTGTTATGGTGCGTCCACACTGGGCGAACGGGTGCGCGGCAAACTCGACATCCTGCTCACTCATGAGCAGGGTGAGCAGGATGACAAGCGTGCCGCGCGAGCCCGTTCGCCCAGTGTGGACTCACCATTAGTGTATGGGGCACGTAGGATATTGATTGGTATTGTGTATAGTCACGCGCAAAAATATACTACATTTATAGTCAACGATTCTGAAACGTCAAGTAGCAAAAATCAAAAACTACCATTGATTAATTTGATAGTAGCGCCCTCCTGTAAATTTCATAATTATATGGTTGTCCGACGTGGCAAAAATTGGAACCAACCATTGGAATAATCCAGTATTGATAGTAGCGCCCTCCTGACAATGTTATTATAGCTCAGTGTACAGGAGTTCAATGTTGGAGATAGTATACCGTTTATTACAGCGGAATAACTTACGTAGTATTTTTGTGTTCGTGACTGTACTTTTTTAGTGTAATGAAAATTCCTTTTGGATTTGTTTACAGATTTGAAAGTTAAATTGAAAGTTAAAACATTTTTTATTTTGTATTTTCAAAATTAATGTCATGAAGAATAAAATAATTTAATAATTCACATTTAAAGATAAATCAATGTAGATTTAATGTTATTTTGTTCTATTATTTGGGGAGTAGCTAAAAGTAGTAATTATTGCACTTTTAATAGTTTTTTAGGTTAATTAAGAAAGTTGAGGTTTAAGTGTATAAAATCATTTCAAGGTAAGTGCTTAAAAAAGCTTAATCAGCATGCTTGCACTTTATGGCATGTCATTCATTTCATCTTCGCTTTTCTCATTCACAACGCATGCTGCATGTTTCTTTGTGGTTAATTACATTTCCTATGTAAATTTTTTATTCAATATGTAATTTTTATTAGGAATAGGATAATTTGAATACTACTTTTTACAAGCCATGTTAAATGAGCCGTAGGCCTTCGGCATAGTTCAATCAAACCTTCAACTTAACGTGCTCTCCGAAGTACGAATAATATTTCTTTCAGATTAAAAGTGGAATGTGTGTATACTTACGAAGAAATTTTATACATACCGTTACTTATCGTAACACATATTGGCGCTCAAATGACGCTTCACTCACATTATAATAATAATTATAATTACATTCAACAACACATCAGATTATAAGTTTTTCTTTTTAACGAAATAAAATCTTACAGTATTTAACCTTCCACACCACACTTTTTATTGTAAAATGACACTTAACACCATGACATAAGATGCCACAGCTTGATTAAAAATTCAACAAATCGGCTGCAGGACCCGCTATCCCACAGCATTTGTCTTACCACACCAGACTTTGTTGTATAATGATACCTAGCACTACGACATAAGAAATATTTTTAATGAATTGGCTGTCAGGAGCCGCCGGTGGACACCAAGATCGTGGAAGCAGCGGAGGCGCGGCCACCGGATGACGTTGTGGACAGCAAGGAGCCCGAACCCAAGCCGCCGCCGCCTGCTGAGGAACCCAAAAATGTGGATCTTGACACCAGGTATGGAAATACTTCGGACAACATAGAGGTTTTTACGCTTGTGGCGTGACGTCTTGTGTATTTTAACAGATTTTTGTGTTCTGTTTTTAAATATTACATCAGTGTTAGTTTGTGTTCGCCTCAACTTTCGTTGCCCAACCTACATTACCTATTTACCGGACCCCATTTGTCTAGATTTTAAGGAGTTTGCGTAACAGTTTCTCAGTGATTCATTCGAGTCAGTTTCAGTGGTCGAGAATAAATTTTAGTTATTTTTTCTAGCTAACCCTAATGTTAATATTTTTGGCATTGAAGTATAAATAAATAAACCCTTTGCACTTCTTGACTATTTTGAGCTGTATCGTCTGTCTTTCAGCATAACATATCAAATAAAATAATACTATCAACTACGAACTAAAAATAATGGCATTATTACTTACCTGCCTGAGCTATTAAAATTGTATTTGTTCCTTTACACAGGATAGCGATGTTGCTCAAAGGCGCAAGCGGGGGCGGAGGCCTGGCGCCTCCCTTCCTAGCGCTGGGTATATCGTCTGAAGAGGAGGACGACGAGAGGATCCCGGCCAATATACCAGACCTCGATGCTCCCCAGCCGCCCTCGGACGATGACGGTGAGTGAATAACAATGTTTAATGCAGGGTTCGAAAATATCCGATATTTATTATAAATATCAAAATATCGGATATTTATGATATATATCCGATATATATCAACTTTGATATATATCAATTTTGTATGAAAGCCATAGTATTATTTTATTGTATTATTCATGAATACTATTGCATATGTGTTAATACACATGTTTTTAATGTTTATAAACCTTATAATCAGACAAATAAAGCAAAAACATAAAATATTCTTTTAAATACGGCAAAATAAGTTGATATATATCATCAAAACCGGCTTGATATAATTATATCGGATATATATGGGTGGTTCTACTTTTAGAGTCCATCACAAAAATAAGGTTGTCCCCACAATAACGAAGGTTAATACTATAATACAAAATGAAGAAACTATCATTTATTTTATTTAAATAAAGTTAATAACACCTGTTTAGATTATCTAGTTACACTAAGTTTCAATTACAATTTAACTGTGTTAAAAAAATGACTTCAAACTTTTATAACAAAGCTAAAACGGCATGTCCCCATTAGGTGTTGCTTAGAACTATTACGTTTTTTAGAAATAATTTGTTGAAGCCACACAATTATTTTTAAATAAAAAGAGATATATATTGTTAAACATGGTAACGACAAACTTTAATGTTATTTATCTGTAAAAATATATTTTTTTGGTGTGACGAATGATTGTCCCGAAAATTGGAGTATCCATCGTCACGAACAGTCAAATATTAAAATAAGTTCTTAAAAAATACGTGAGTAGATCACGTTTTTTAGTAAAACGAAAGGCCATAGACCATAGAGTATAGAACGAAACTCAAATCAAGTGTTTAACATAGCCAGCTTGTCACTTCTTTTACATCAAGCACGAAAACGGGCAGCGTGTGTTTATTGGGCGTATCCTTAGTCACAGCGGTTTTTGGTATTTATTTAACGAATTTTAAATTGTTTTACTGTAAACATGATTTGTTTTTATGTAATCTTTAAGATAAAGTATAGTTTTCGATCCAAATTATCGTGATTTACGATTATTATTGATCTTTTTGGAAAATTGTATACTTCGTCACACGTATCCTTCGTAACAGGTGATCCTACATCTAAGCGATGTGTCCTTTGTGCAGTTAGATAATATGTTAAGAATACTAAAAACACCTCAGAAAAAGGTATACGAATTTTGTATTCGTTTAGTAAACCAAATTGAAGCAGCTTTTGAAATGTTTTTTTTTCCCTTAATACTCTTAGTTTCAGTTCCTATTTGTGTAGGTTTTTGCTGATTTTCCACATATTTTTCATTATCTATTTTAGTACAAATATTATGCCTGTGCTTAATTAAAAATGGCTGAGACACTCATTAGTTTTCAAGTTAGATTGATTATTAAGTGTTAGATGTCTACTTCATCACATTTACGTCTCCTTCGTAACGAAGAGTTTGACCTCGTCCCCTAATAAATATTATCTCTTAAACAACAAAAATGCGAGTGTTAACTCTTTTTGTAACTCATTTTATGTCGTGTAATACTTGGTTTTTAGTGTGTAATACTACTTTTTCAATATAACTTTATAAAATAGAAAAATAATTGACTTTTGTTAAGTTTTAAAGGTGTAAATGTGACGAAAGGGACAAACTGTTGATTTTTATGGAATTGTTACCTGATTAAATAACGATTAACTACCAATTGTCCAAGACTGATTTAAGCTGAGATTTTATAATAATAAATGCAAATATCTATTGAAATTTCTTTTAATTTATCGAGTTTTAAACAACTGAATTTCGTGACGAAGGATACTTTTGTTTCCATCTTAGTCTAGTAAAACGCAAAAAAATATAAGTTTTGATAAAAAACTAAGGTGCTGGTCTACAGATACCGAATCTATGGTAATTTTCCTACATTTCAGTCGTATGAAATGTACTAAATAGCCTTCTTTATATTTTTTCATGGTTAAGACCTTAAAAGTAGAACGACCCATATATCCCTTGATATACAGTGTGAGTCACGTTAAAGTGTACATATGAAAATAGATGAAACTAGACCTATTTTTATCGGCAAAAAAGTGGTCAAAAATTTTTTGAGATTTTTTTAAATTTTTTATAGANACAAAGGTTATACGATAGAGAATAATACAAAACAATAAAAACCACCTGTTATAGGGGCATTTTTTGGAGAAATTTATCAAATAACCAAAAAAACACGAATTTTTAAGCAGATTTTTTTTAAAAATGTATCATTTTTTATTATTCGTTGGCTATTTTTGTGTATTTTATGTATTTTTTTAGTATCGCCTGTTATTTAGCATTATCACTGTTTTTATTTTATCAGGATATACCGCTTAGTTTAAAAGTTATTACGTTTTCTTTACAATACGTAATTGGAAGAAAAAAAAATCTATAAAAAATTAAAAAAAAAATCTCAAAAAATTTTTGACCTCTTTTTTGTCGATAAAAATAGGTCTAGTTTCATCTATTTTCATATGTACACTTTAACGTGACTCACACTGTATATCCTCGAACCCTGGTTTAATGACACGGTAACTTGTCAAAACTACAAGTTAGGGGCAACTAATTTGAGCGTATATCCCTGTCGCCAAGAATGTCGAGTATATTATGAGTTAAGTTTTATTGTTGAAATTTTAAGTTGATATTATTTCTAGTTCTATTGAAGCTACACTAATGTTTTTGTTTTCTTATGAGTAACGAATGAGGTCAATCACCCTGGTGTTGTCAGACTGACTCCTGAAAGATATTATCCTTTTTACAATGATATGAGATAATTTTTCTGCAAAATGATACAATTTATGTTTTTTATGTCTTTTTCATCTTTTCAGCCGAATGACATGTGATTATGTTTTTTATTCTCCAGGATCCGGTAGTGAAGATCGGAACAGTATAATATCAATAAACCCGAAGAAAGACATCGACCCGGAGCCGCTATCAAATACGCCTTCACCGTACCTATCTCGGGAGTTCTACCTTGAGTGCCTCAAAGTGACTGTTGAATGGGTTAGTACTCGTCTTTGTTAGTTAATGATCGTCACTTACCATCAGGTGAGATACAGGATCGTTGTGGTTAAAAAAAGTTTTGTAAAAAAATGCGTAGCGAATTATGTAAATTATTAAAATTTTGCGAATTTGAAGTCATAATATTGTTTAAAATATATTCCTGTTCGATATCAATGGACAATCATTCTACCAGTTTTCTTACCAAACCTTGTGGCTAAAACTGAAATTTATTTTTGCGTATCCGGCTCGAAGGACCATTTTTTATTACGCTCTTACGTCATTTCCTGATTGAGTCGTGTTTCATTGCAGAAGTCAAAGAAGGAGGAGCGGCGGCGCTTCCCAGCTATGGACAAAATCGGTTCCGACATTTCGTCGTCGGAAGATGAGCTACTGACTGGCGAAGAGCCGCGCCGATCGCCGCTTGCGCCCCCCGACAAGGAGAGAGACAACTTGGATGACGATCAGGTATTGCATTTTAGTCGCAATAGCAGCATGTGTCAAACATTTAAAAAATAAATGAGCAGAGACTGTGCAGTTACGGCAGTTAGCTCACAACCTGCGACTATATTTACCTAAATCGGACCGTTTCTTTGTATCGCGTATATCGCAAGGTCTTTTTTTATTGACACGGTAGTAAGAAACACCGATTTATATGGGCCCAGGAAAAGGACACCTAGGCGACTTGCAGCTTTTTTTTTATCATAATAAAGGTAAACTAGTTGTGATGTGAGACTAGTTTGCATACAAAAGAAGTCGTTTATAACTTCGGTCGTCGGTCTAGAAGACCGTCAGAAGACTGCACGATTTTTACCAGTTCTCTCTTAACTGCGGATTTAACTCCTTTCTATTTTTTTAGAACTGGTAAAGGCATTTACTTACCGAGCTCGGTATATTGCAGATGTCTCTGTCCTCGCTGTCGTCGACGGAGGCCAAGATCGAGGAGCAAGTACCAGCTGAAGCGTACTACGGGCCGCCGCCTGCGCACCCGCACTATTATCAACCCGTGTGGCCGCCCACCGGTGAGTGGAGTATTGATTTTGAGTCTTATTACTAAGAAAATAAAGTTCAAAACCCATTGGAGATTTGTCATTTTTGGTTTAGTATATTAATGTGCTGACACTTTTGTGAATATCGTATAAAGATATAAAGTTGCGTTGGGGAAATTCGTAATTTTATGTAGGTAATCTGCTGAAAGTATCTTGTCCTATGGCCAGTGCTTCATCAAAAGCCAGTCTACAACTGCTGCCGTCTATCTCACTCAAGGCAAATAGCACAAGTAGTACNAGTAGTATATTGCTTTCTTTAATAGCTAAAATATATTGACTTGAATAAACTTTTATATTATACACTAGCTTTCCGCCCGCGGCTTCGCCCGCGTGGTTTTTTTCTGTCACCGAAAAACTTCATCGCGCGTGTCCCTGTTTTAAAAACCGGCATAAAAACTATCCTGTCCTTTCCCGGGACTCAAACTATCTCTATGCCAAATTTCATCAAAATCGGTTCAGTGGTTTTGGCGTGAAAGCAAGACAGACATAGCTACTTTCGCATTTATAATATTAAGTATAGATTATGTCATTGTTGGATTCATTGTTTCCAAAATCATTGACTTTGAAAACCGTCGTTACCATAAAAGAAGGTGAAGTTTTGACAGTTTTGGATAAGTTGTTAAACCTTATTGTGTTTTGTCGTGTTTAGCGTACCCGCCTCCGGCGTACGGCGCGCCGGACATGTCTCTAGCGTATGGCGGCGGGTTCGCGGCGCCGCCCATACTGCCGCACCACTACCAGCCGTATCCTGAGCCCACTGTGACGCAGCAGGTATGTCCAATATTTACTGGTCTGGTAGAATGATGTTCCAGCAATTTAAAGTGCAACTTTTACACCTATGATTATGAATTTGCTATTAAAACGGCCTCTATGTAGGATCTGTATTCCTACTCAAAGGACCAAGCCCGTTTTGACCCATAAGCTTCAAAGCTGACAAAATATATAATAATTATAAATTTTCAACAAACATACTATGCATGCTTATGTACATACGTAAACTAGATTTAAACTGTTCTTATAGGCACTGATAAAAACAGGTTAAGTAACATTCTAAATAATACATGTTGATCCCATTTCATTTATATTGATACAATGTTTCTCGATTCATAAAAATACATGTTAAGCGTTGACAGTAAAATGCGGTGTCGGCGAAATATAAAATGTCGAGTGTGCTCGTACATCATACTTTGCCCAACAACAAAAACATGTGGGATGGGTTAGAATGGGTTATAATTTATCCGTTCTTCAAAAAAGAGATTTTAGTTGCCTACTTCTTTTCCCGACCTGACGGACAACCTTTTTAACTAAACATTAATGTTCATTTATCTTTTCCAAATCACAGGAACTAGACAACCCGTACTACCCAACCATAAACAGCATAATCGAGCGGGTGACGTCAGAACTGAAGCACATCTTGAAACGGGATTTCAACAAGAAGATGATCGAAAGCACCGCGTTTAAGANAAAACCGTCGTTACCATAAAAGAAGGTGACGTTTTAACAGTTTTGGATAAGTTGTTAAACCTTATTGTGTTTTTTCGTGTTTAGCGTACCCGCCTCCTGCATATGGTGCGCCGGACATGTCTCTAGCATACGGCGGCGGGTTCGCGGCGCCGCCCATACTGCCGCACCACTACCAGCCGTATCCTGAGCCCGCTGTGACGCAGCAGGTGTGTACGATATACGGACCTGATGGTAAAATAATAATTATATTCCAGCTTGTGAGCTTGTGTTCCATTTTTACATTTCATGATTATGAGTATTTTCGTCTCAATGTGTTGAATCTGTATCCCTATTTAAAGGACCAGGCCCGTTATGACCCGTATGCTCCAAAGCCGAAAAAACTATAATGATCAATTCTTTATTCTGCAATAAACATACTACTATGTACGTAAACTAGATCTCACCAGAGCCCCGATTACGGTAACTTTTAACGTCCACAATCCAGACGCGTTTCTGATTCTGCGATACGATTGGTCAAAACAGCTGACGTACGCTGTTGAACGACCAATCGTATCGCAGAATCGAGAAGCGTGTCTGGATTGTTGACGTTAAAAATTACCGTAATCGGGGCTCTGTTCTTATAGGCACTGATAAAAACAGGTTAAGTTAGAAGCTTCAGCTAAATAATACATGTTGATCCCATTTCATATTGATACAATGTTTCTTTATTCATAAAAATACATGTATGCCATACTTTGCCCTTCAACAAAAACATGTGGGATGGGTTAGAATGGGTTATAATTTATCCGTTCTTTAAAAAAATAGCTACAAATATACAGCCTTTTTAACTAAACAATAGCGATCATTTATCTTTTTTAAATCACAGGAACTAGACAACCCGTACTACCCAACAATAAACAGCATAATCGAGCGGGTGACGTCAGAACTGAAGCACATCCTGAAACGGGATTTCAACAAGAAGATGATCGAAAGCACCGCGTTCAAAAGTTTTGAACTGTGGTGGGACGAGCAGAGTCGAAAGGCGCGCTTAGCCAAACCTAAGGAGGAGGCGGGACAACCTGGCGAGCCGCTTAAAGTAAGAAATAATAATCCTTCTATTTATAGATATAATTAACATTACTTTTATTCAAAATAAAATATGGTAGCAACTACTTATCACCCAAACAAGCAGTAAGAAATAATGTAGTTGCCACATTATTCGAGCTTGTGAAGGCTAACGATAGTCCAATGGTGAAGGTGTTGGTCTGGCCGGCTCGAAATCCGAGAAAAGCTGGTTCGAACTCCGCCGCTATTGCCGTGAACTCAGTCGTGACACCTAACAATATTTAGTTTGCTAAGAGGGGTTAACCGTCCAAAATAATTGAATTCTTTTAACTATTTGTAAATTGAGAGTACATTTATGGATAAAGTAAAAAAGCTTCCTATCGTTATTCAATTTATTCAAATGGGTGTAAGCAAAACTCACAACAATTTTTCGCCGTACCCAGGACATCTCAAACAAGAAAGAAGAGACCGCAGTGGACTCAATAAAATCCATTATGGAGTCTCGAGACCTCGGTCTAGAGCTGGGAGGCTACAGCATCGGCATAGGGCTGGGTCTTCGCGCCGCAATCCCCAAGATGCCCAGCTTCCGGCGCAAGCGGAAGATTCCCTCGCCCGTTGTTATGGACGAGGACTCTTCCAAGAGGCTGAGCGATCAGGTAAGAGTAGCATTTGAGAATAAAGATAATTCTTCTTTCTTTCAGCATTATGTAGATCGTTTCATCCACGAAGACACGCCCCACTATTCGACCGCTTATATTTGAGTGTTAGTGGTACACGCTAATTTTATCGAGTACACACGCACACTACAATAATGCCCCTGGGATTGCTCGGATCAAACTCCCCGCATCCCGCGCTTCCCTCGACCAAAAATAAGTGGGGCGCGTCTTCGTGGATGAAGCGATCTATGTATTCTCGTCTATGGTATAAACATTACTTAATAATTTTGCAATTCATGTCAACATCCCTATTGTTTGAGTGGAGGTATGCCTTATGCAACTTCATCGAATTTATAATTTACATATCAACTTCAATTTTCATTGGTTTTGGTTTAGTTTCTCTGAAATTTATCATTTTATCTAATCTATGTTTTAGTCCTAAATTCATTAATTAAAAATATCTCTTAAAAAACAATTTTATCCGGCTCGAAGGACCATTATTGGTTATTATTATCCGGCTCGAAGGACCACTTTACTTTATATTACCGCTTTTATAGCATCACTTCATTACGTGTGTAGGAGGAGATGGTGCAGAATTCGGACGAGGAGAAGGAGGTGCCGTCGGCCAGCCCGCACAACAGGAACGCCGGCTCGTACCTGTCGCGGAGCCGACGGAGGCAGTCCAGCAGTTCTTCCAGGTCTGTATAAATAGAGTTTTTACAACCATATCTCTATGTATTTCTAATACAACAAGCTTAGGGCGTAGGTCAAAAAAGATGATACGTCATAACGTTTGACGATTTGTCAAAATATCCAATTTGATGTTCACATTCATTTCGAGATTGAATTCAGTCTTGCTTGAACTTTGTCGCCGTAAAAAAACAACTAATCGTGAAAAAAGAGGATTCGTCAAAAAACACATCAATCTCGTGTGAACGCACCCTTATTCGGTGATGATAGTGTCCCGTTTTAGGTATAAAGGCAGCGTCTAGAATACGGCAATCTTTATCAGATGAAGACTTCAGGGGGAGGACCCCCTCCCGTCGTTTCACAAATAAAGCCTCTCCCCCCTTCTTAAATTAGATCATACGCTCACGAAACCATTTCGGTCGGCGGTCACATCGCCACGTTGTTAGTGTGACATCGCTCTAGAGCAGTGTTTCCTAACCTTTTCAATGTCACTACCCCTGTGAACAAGTATGAGAATTGAGTTTACCCCTAGCTAAACTTTAAAGTAGTTCATTGCGCGGCCGCGGCACGCCACGGCGAGACCGCCGGCGGTCTCCTGCGGCTCTACAGAATCTAAGAATTTCGTGGTGGGAGTAAATTTGCCCGTCGTAAAATGTACTCTGAAACTAAAGGCATACGATACACGATACATTTTACGACGGCCAAATTTACCCCCACCACGCAATTTTTTGCTTAATAAGTTTGGCGCGGCGTATACCGTACTATTATTTTGTTTATTGCTATTTTAATACTTTTTCGTGCCATCCCGTGTTACCCCTCTAGAATTTCCGTTTTACCCCTGCGGGGATAATTACCCCCAGGTTAGGAACCACTGCTCTAGAGCCAATGACTTAATGAGTGTTATTTGCCGCAGGTCATCATCGTCGTCATCAAGCCGGTCGTCGTCATCATCAGGCTCGGAGCGCAAGCCGGCCGCGCCGCGGATATATTCAGATACCGATGACGACTCGGAAATCGACGAGTCACAGGTAATGGTCTCCAGAGTTGAGTTAAACTTTCTATGTGGAAGGAATTTTAGGAAACATTGAAATTAATTGGTTAAGCGTAATGTCACATGTTACAAAGTGAACAAAATGAGTATGAGGAAGCTAGCGAGCAGCGAGTCGCGTTTACACGATTCTTTAGCAGACGACGTACTGTATCAAACTTGCTATGAACGTTACATAAAGTCCGGTCTCCGAGCAGATAAGATTTCGTCCAATGACCCTAAGCTACCCATCCTTATAGCTCACCGCTTGCGCGTAATTATATTGCTGTCGCGACTGTGTGACGGGCAGCCGCAGTGAGTGTGCGACACGAGCGATAAGGATGGGTAGCTTGGGGTCATTGGACGAAATTTTATCTGCTCGGCGACCGAACCTTACTCACTACCTTTATGTTTCATTTCATATCTGCTGTAGCTTGGACCACCACTCGAATGTCGTAACTTCATAGATAAATTAGAACCAAGTGGCGACGACGACGAGACGCCTTTGTCTGGCGTCCAAGACTGTGCATAAGAAAACTAACAGCAATACCATCTCCCCCAGTTCAAGGTGGTATCAAACAAGGAGAGGCTGCGGCGGGTGTATTCTTCATCAGACAGCGAAGAAGAACAACGGCGGCGCGAGAAGACTCCCATCCCCGACGTCGACGCGTTCGAAGTGGACGAGCGCCTGTCGCCCGCGCGCTCGCCGCCGCGCGACACGCTGCTCGACCGCATCTACTCCGACTCCGAGGAGGAGCGCGAGTACCAGGTCAGTCAGGCAGTCAGTCAGTCAGTCAGACAGCGAGCAGGAACAACGGCGGCGCGAGAAGACTCCCATCCCCGACGTCGACGCGTTCGAAGTGGACGAGCGCCTGTCGCCCGCGCGCGACAGGAGCCGGAGCGCGAGTACCAGGTCAGTCAGTCAGGCAGTCAGTCAGTGATAGTCACGCGCCCAGTAACGTCCCTGGGTCTGCGGGTGTCTATGGGCGACGGTAATCACTTACCATCAGGTGATCCGTCTGGTCGTTTGCCTCCTGTCACATAAAAAAAGAGTCAGTCAGATCGCTGTCTAAGGATGTTAGACGATAAGGTCAGTCTTAAACAGTGTGGAGGAATAACGGCGGCGCGAGAAGACTCCCATCCCCGACAACAAGGTGGTGTCGAACAAGGAGAGGTTGCGATGGGTGAAGATTCACAAAAGAGAATCTCAAACCAAAATATTAAGGCCTCCTCTATATCAGCGTTTTTCGAACGTCATCACGTACGCGCGGCGCCATCGTAACCTTTTTTGGACAAACGCCGCGTCGACAGTTCGACACTGCGCGAGCGCTGGTAAGACTACCATGCTTAAAAGACGCTGTGGGTCCCTAATGCGATTTTTTTTTTCATATTTCAAAGTCTTCACGTTTCATCACAACACTAAAATACACATATTATACTACAGGAAAGAAGAAGAAGAAATACGGAGTATATGGAGCAAATCGAACGGGAGTTCTTCGAGGAGCAACAGAAAAGTTTGGAGACGAATACGACGCGCCCGCAGCCCGAAAAACCGCCCGACGAAAGGTACTGACAATGAACTACCAAACCATTTGCATACTAAATATTCTTTGTGTCCATATTGACTTTGAAAATAAATAAAAAAGTGTTTTTCGAATGTTCTGAACATAAGAAGAGAATAATATAAAGTGTCAATGCAATAAATTAATTATTTCTAATACTTATTCTTCTCAATCCACCACCATCCTCCATATTTATTTGTGAAACGTTTTTAGTATTAATTTTAATTTGCAGTATACCAGAACCGAAGAAAAAAGAAGAGGAAGTCACGAATGCAGTCAAAAACCATCTCAAATCACCCGAAAAGAAAGAGACGAAGAGAGAACCCAAAGCGGAAGTGGAAGAGGGAGAGATTACGTCCGAAGAGGAGCCCCAGCCGGCGCGGAGGAAGAAGGAGAANTCAGTCAGGTCGCTGTCTAAGAATGTTAGACAATAAGGTCAGTCTTAAACAGTGTGGAGGAATAACGGCGGCGCGAGAAAACTCCCATCCCCGAAAAGGTGGTGTCGAACAAAGGAGATGCTGCGACGGGTGAAGATTCACGAAATGGAATCTTAAACCAAAATATTAAGGCCTCCTCTATACCAGCGTTTTTCGAACGTCATCACGTACGCGCGGCGCCAAAGTAAAAGTAACCTTTTTTTGACAAGCGCCGTGTCGACGCTGCGCTGGCGCTAGTAAGACGACGATGCTTGAATATCGCTAGTGTGGGGAATCCCTAATCCGATTTTTTTTTCATATTTCAAAGTCTTCACGTTTCATCACAACACTAAAAGACACATATTACACTACAGGAAAGAAGAAGAAGAAATACGGAGTATATGGAGCAAATCGAACGGGAGTTCTTCGAGGAGCAACAGAAGAGTTTGGAGACGAATACAGCGCGTCCGCAGCCCGAGAAACCGCCCGACGAAAGGTACTGACAAGGAACTAATACCATTTGCATACTAAATATTCTTTGTGTCCATATTGACGTTGAAAATAAATAAAAAAGTGTTTTTCGAATGTTAAGAAACATCAATATAAATCGTTCAAATTAAAAGTGTTCAAGTGTGTGTTCAAATTATTTCTAATATTCTTCTCAATCCACCACCATCTCGAATTTGTATTTATTTGTAAACGTCTTTAGTATTAATTTTAATTTGCAGTATACCAGAACCGAAGAAGAAAGAAGAGGAAGTCACGAATGCAGTCAAAAACCATCTCAAATCACCCGAAAAGAAAGAGACGAAAAGAGAACCCAAACCGGAAGTGGAAGAGGGAGAGATTACGTCCGAAGAGGAGCCCCAGCCGGCGCGGAGGAAGAAGGAAAAGAGGAAGACCAAGAAGACCGAGAAGAGACAGAGGATAGTGTCCGTCAGCGACCACAGCAATACGGAAACCACCGTCAGCGTCAATGGGGTTAAAGAGGTAAGATTGACGCCTCCAAAGATTAATCAAGCAGGTACCCTACCCTGCCTAGCTCGCATAAATATTTATAACTTTGTACATTTTAAAGCATGTAAACCTTTGAAAAAAAGAAGCTGACAATAGTGACTGAGTTTCTTGCGCTGCTTCTTCTCAGCACTGGCCCATTTATTGTCCTGAAGCAGTGGTAGGGTTAACTGGGAAGTGTAAAAGTGCTTTTTTAAGCCTATTTACAGAAATAAATGAGTTTTAGTTTTTTACCAAAATTACTGTTTTTTTTTTGTGGTAGAGTTCAAGTGTTTAATTTATAGTTTAGTGATATATTTCAACAAATAAGAGTGTGTTCAATTCAACCAAAAAACGTCCACTGCTGTCCACATAGGCCAAGGACTTTCACTACGACCAGCTCTGCGCTGTCCTCGTCCAAGAGCTTTCTGCGACCTTCACCAGATACCTTCACCAGATTGTAGGTCCACCGAATATCACAAAGCACGTTTCCTCATTTGGAAAACTAATCTTTCGGTTACAAGCTTGAACCAACTGTTTATGTCTTCACAAACTCTTACACCCTGTATGACTGTACAAACTAAATACGTATCATTCTCCACAGGCGAGCAGTGCACAATCGGAGACGTGGTCACCCGCGTCGCAAGCATCGCAGGCCTCCCAGGCGTCGCAGGTGGCGCTCGACCACTCGTACTGCCGCCCGCCGCCCGACGCGGGCACCAGGCGCGCCTCCAACCATCTGCAGCACGACCATGGTACGCTGATCATACGGGCTGTTTCACAATGGCAGGCGTCCAGGTGGCGCTCGACCACTCGTACTGCCGCCCGCCGCCCGACGCGGGCACCAGGCGCGCCTCCAACCATCTGCAGCACGACCATGGTACGCTGATCATACGGGCTGTTTCACAATGGCAGGCGTCCAGGTGGCGCTCGACCACTCGTACTGCCGCCTGACACTGGCGTACGCCGCGCCTACAACCATTAACAGCACGACCATGGTACGCTGATAATACCGGCTGTTTTACAATAGCAGAAAACGCCTTATGGGAGTCACCTATAGCACCTTCCATGTTACGCTGATTATAATGTCTGTTTTCGTATGACAACTCAAGATTTTCAGGAGTTGTCGCGCCTCCAACCATCTGCAGCACGACCATGTTGCATTGAACATACAGGCTGTTTTTGAATCTTAGGAGTCGTCGTCTTTGATGATTACTCGTCGGGTATCCATCTACCTGCATCATAACCACGGTACACTGCTGCACTGTTCATAAGGCCTGAACATCTTTAAAATTAAGTAAAGTTTTTTTTCCTCTGTGCTATTAAAATACTTGCAATTAAAATAAAATGCACCGATTTCCAGGTTACACTTGGATGGAGGAACCGGAGAGCGAAGCGCCGGCGGTGGAAGAAGCGAAACCCAAGAAGGACGCCAAGCGGCCCTACAAGCGGAAACACGAAACCAAGAAGCTGGCAGAGATACAGAACAAGTACGTTTTAGAAAGGACAATGGGCAAAATGGTACCCGGCTCCAATAGATATGTGTCTAGTATCGTTTGAAAGGTCTTACCAAGATGAACAACTTTTACTATGACCACCAGCCTCAGATCTGGTTGTGTACGAAGATATACATACTTTTTTGCAGAATGGTACCCGGCTCCAATAGTTATGTTTGTAGTGTCATTTGAAAGGTCTTACCAAGACGAACAACATTTACTATGGCCACCAGCCTCAGATCTGGTTGCGTTCGAAGATAAAGATACTTTTTGTGTAACCTAAGTATCATACAGTATGAAGGGGGACGCGCTCGGGGCAGGGCACCGACGAGATGGTCGGACGCGGTGAGGAAGACGGTGGGCGGGAGTTTGCATCGTGCGGTCCACACAGCTTATGACCGCAGTCTGTGGAGGAACACTATCTGTGGTCGCGATCCTCATCAGTGAGGGACCGAGGAAGAAGAAGAAGAAGAAGTATCATACGTGTCCATCGTATGGTACTTAGGTTATGCGAGGCAGGAAGGATTTACTGCTCCAGCATCCTTCCTTAACTCTATAATTATTGATAGGGAGAATTGTGAAATAAATATTTTTATTTAAAGAAGTACTACCCCCTTATTAATAAAAAGTTACACCTAGGAAGGACCTTGGATTAAAATGACATTTCCATACCAAATGACAATTTAAGCCAGAGTTCAACTAGGGTGTAACTTTTATTAATAAAGGGGTTAAAGTTTTATTACTTCTTAAGGGTTTTATTATGAGTTGCTAAAGCGAATAAACCCACAAGACCCAATAAGTCCACCCACAAGACGGGCCGACGACCTCATAAAGGTAGCGGGAAGGCGCGCCGCCACCAACCGGTCATTGTGGAAATCATTGGGGGAGGCCTATGTTCAACTGGACGTCCTATGGCTAAAATGATCATGATGATGATGATGAAAGCGAATAAAGGGCTAATAGCTTGGGTAGTTCATCGTAGGTATAATCCTTTCCTTTTCAATGCTTCTTTTAGTTATATAATAGATTGTAGTCATAATACATACTCGTATACATGGATGATTGTGTTATACTTTCATTATAATACTTAGTGGAATTACTGCTTTCAAAACGTGAATTAGAACTGGCCCCATAGCAGACATTTTTCTACATCTAAAGGCCTTTTAAAATATATATCGGTTATGGCTATTGGAGCGGGTACCACTTTCCATACATTTGTGCCCATCATCCTTTAGAGCTTAGGTTTCATATTTCATAACGTAATAGTATAAAACATTCATTTTATTTTCAAACACATTATTTTTACTTGCAAAAGCTAAAAGTGAAAACTACTACAAATAATAGTTCTAGATCTAAAAACAGACTATCAGACTTTAAATTTGTGTGGCAAAATAGCCTGTATTACAACGAGATAAGACGCCAGTGGGTTAAGGTTAGGGTACACAGAGGCGGGAAAGCGGTCGCGATCCGGGACGATATTTTTTTGTAATGTTCGTATAAAATCAGTCACATGGAAAGCAAACGCCTCCCGTCTCCCATCGCGCGTAATACGCGTCGACGTACCGCGCTTTCAGATTCATTTCAGACCGCTTTTCCGCACTTTCCGCCTCTGTGTGCGCTGACTAAACCTTGATGTCCGTTAGGTCCTTGCCACACTGGTAGATTACAAGCGTTTTCAACTCTAGGCGGAAACGATGAGCAATCCGCGATGTGTTCGCCGCGTCGCCGCTCCGCTTTGAAAACGCTTGCAATCCGCCAGTGTGGTAAGGCTCTTACGACCCGGAGCTACAGATAACTTGACTCTTTCGACTCCAATTGTCGACTCCGTATGTCGACCTTTGGTGTAGTGGTTCGAAGCGAACTACTATTCCGGAGGTAGCGGGTTCGATTCCTGCACAGTACAAACATTGGTGTGCATGAACATATTTGTTTGTATTGGACTGGGTGTTTTCTATGTATAATATGTATGTATTTACAAAAAAAAAGTATTTAAGTATGTTTATATCCGTTGTCTAGTACCCATAGTACAAGCTTTGCTTAGTTTTGGACTAGAAGCGCAGTGTAAAATGTCTAAGGATATTTATTTATTTATTTAATCTCATGAACCCATCNAGATAAAAGAAGTAAAAGAAATAGAAAAGAAAGAAGAAAAACCGATCCAAGAAGAAATCAAAATAAAATCTCCGACGCCTGACAAGAAAGTTGAGAAAAAAGTAAAAGAAAGCCCTAGGAAAGAAAAAAGAAAACATAGGGATAGGAAAAAAGAATACAAATCTAAGTCGGAGAGCAAAGAGTCTAAGAGAGTGGAGCGGAGTGTAGATAGAGAGAAGAAAAAAGACAGAGACGGGGAGAAAGAGAAAAAGAAACGAAGGTATAGCAGAGAGGAGTTGGACAGTGAGATTATATCGCTTGTCGACACTACAGACGATCTGATTGATTTGACTGGCGACCAGGATTGTAAAGGTAAATAAATATCATGTATTTGGGTAGAAAGATAGAGGTTTTTATGTTGTTCTGTTGATTGATGTAAAGACATTAGAGTATAGTATGATCCTTGCGTCCATATTTTCTGTCTGATTAAGGTTACAAAATAGCCGAATTGCTTGGCAAAGACAAGATAAGACTGTTCGTCAGCTCAATGAGGGCTATCGTTTTGATACTTAACAGTTGGCACCCCTGGCGATTGACAGGACCTTACTCTACAGTGGCGCCATCTTGATGAGTGCAAATGCGATAGTCCTCCTACCACTTTAGCGCTCACAAGTTGGTGCCACTGTCTTCGCTACTAGCAAGTGACAGGACCTTACTCTACAGTGGCGCTAACTGGTGAGCGCTAAAACGATAGCCCTCATTGACTTACAATATATTGTATTAATTAAAAGTTACTAATTGAAATTACAGTCAATTAGAAACTAATTGGGTTTTCAATCCTAGAACTATGTGTTTTTTAGAAATATAGTGCCTTGAAATGATTCATGAACTACTCAGGCAACGATTGTATAGTCAACAGCACAACAGACCACTTATATTTTTATGAGAAAATTGCACCTACTGTCGCTACTGTGCGACGGGCGCCCGCAGTGAGTGTGCAAGCGCGACAGCAACATAATTACGCGCGAGCGATAAGGATGGGTAGCTTGGGGTCATTGGACAAAATTCTACGTGCTCGGAGACTGGGCTTTAGCAGTAGTTATCTTGATATCCCGCCGTCTGTACGTTTAACTTATTTAATTAATACTCACAGGTGAATCAGACGCGCGCTCCAGCGACCGCGCCAAGCAACAGGCGCGCCGGCGCCGCGCCGCCGAGTTCCTGAAGAAAGTCGGCGTGGACCCCGCCGCCGCTGCGTTGCCTACATCTTCTTTAGCCAGCGCCATGGTCAGTGTTTGTTCTTTGTGTCTTTGTGTGCCTTTTTAATACGGATAAAAACTATTTAAAATTCTCGTCTCAATACAGTGTGAGTCACGTTAAAGTGTACATATGAAAATAGATAAAACTAGACCTATTTTTATCGACAAAAAAGAGGTCAAAAAATTTTTGAGATTTTTTTTTAATTTTTTATAGAATTTTTTTTCTTCCAATTACTTATTGTAAAGAAAACGTAATAACTTTGAAACTAAGCGGTATATCCTGATAAAATAAAAACAGTAATAATGCTAAATAACAGGCAATATTAAAAAAACCGGCCAAGTGCGAGTCGGACTCGCTCACCGAGGGTTCCGTACAAACCTGCAAGGTTTACAAAGTTCGTTCATTACGACAATCGAGTCATAACTATGGTATTTTTATTGCAAAATGAAATTCATAAGTTTATATTTATTAAAAAATATATATTTTGTAATGTAACTAAAAATTTAAGGTTTTCGGAATTTTTCCTTTATGTGTGCTATAAAACGTTGCTTCATGCCAAATTTCAAGATTCTAGGTCGACTGGAAGTACCCTTTAGGTTTTGATTCCCTTGCGAGTACTTGCGAGTTTCAAAATATGCAGCTTAAATTGCTGTTTCTTTTGATTGCGTTGACATAGAAGTTTGATTTTGTTACAACTTAAAGGTATTATAGACCTGAGTATTTGGTATGAATTTCAATTTAATACCTCTACGCGTTTATGAGGAAATGGGTAGTAAGTTTAAAATTATTTAAAAAAAATATATTATGTGATGTAACTAAAAATTTATGGTTTTCGTAATTTTTCCTTTATCTATGCTATAAGACGTTGCTTCGTACCAAATTTCAAGATTCTGAGTTCACGGGAAGCACCCTGTAGGTTTTGATTCTCTTGCAAGTGTCGAAAATTTGCGGCATAAATGGCTGTATCTTTTGATTGCGTTGGCTTAGAAGTTTGATTTTTTCACAGCTTCAAGGGACAGTAGACCTGAGTAATTGATATAAATTTCAGCTTCATACCTCCACGCGTTCCTGAGAAAAAGGGTCTTGACAGACGGACGGACGGACAACAAAGTGATCCTATAAGGGTTCCGTTTTTTCCTTTTGAGGTACGGAACCCTAAAAATACATTAAATACACAAAAAAGTCCAGCAAATAATAAAAAACCATCATAGCAAATGTTGTGATAGGGATAGAGACATGCAATTTTTGGTTTTACAAAGATAATACGATAGAGAATCATACAAAGTAATAAAAACCACCTGTTATAGGGGCATTTTTTGGATAAATTTATCAAATAACCAAAAAAACACGAATTTAAAAGCAGATTTTTTTCAAAAAGTATCATTTTTTATTATTTGCTGGCATTTTTTGTGTATTTTATGTATTTTTTTAGTATTGCCTGTTATTTAGCATTATTACTGTTTTTATTTTATAAGGATATACCGCTGAGTTTAAAAGTTATTACGTTTTCTTTCCAATAAGTAATTGGAAGAAAAAAAATTCTATAAAAAATTTTAAAAAAATCTCAAAAATTTTTTGAGCTCTTTTTTGTCGATAAAAATAGGTCTAGTTTCATCTATTTTCATATGTACACTTTAACGTGACTCACACTGTATATCTTTAAATTCTCACTTTAACGGAATTTGGAAACAAAACACTTTTATAAAGGTAAAAAGGTATTTACCCTCCCGACGTGTTGACTCGATTGCACGAGTCAATATACATAGCTTGGCCAAATAAAGTGTCCCAATATAGTGTGCTCAATATAGCGTCCCAATATATTACTTAAACACGTCACGATTATAGCTTGCCCTAATATAAGCCGATGTGCTGAAAGATGCTTTATGCAATAAACAAAATCAAATAATGCCTTTAACAAAATCAAAACATACTCAACGGCAGCAGTTTAATCAAAAAGTTTTAATTAATTAACACATTGATTTTGATTTGACAATTCATTTCCAGGTGGACACATTGGAATCGTTGCGAAAGAAGAAAGCCGAAGAGGAGGAGAAACGGAGAAAACGCGAGAAGAGACGTCATCGAGACAGATACGGTAAGGACCATATTATTATCATAGACATCCCATAAACAAACTTAGCTGATACTATACGCGGTAGTTGATTTCGTGCCATAGAGCCATTTAAATATGAAAATGATTACGTTATGGTATTTCTATTTTGTGTAATTTTTAAAGTGATAGTTACTATGATTTTTTATTTTTCTAGATTATGAAAATGGATCTGAAAGGTCTCACAGAAAAAGCAAACGCAGAAAGAACAAGTAAGTGATATTGAGAAGTAATTACTTTAAAACTAATTTTGTCGCCTTTGTTATTTAAATTTCTCAAGCTAGATTTAGAAGAATATACTCATTTGATAAACACGATTTATATTTTTACAGGTCATCAGAAGAAAATGACGAGTCGGATTATGACGGGTAAATATAATTTAATGTCGATTATTTACAAAAATCATTACCGGATCTTACAATCTCACTATAGGAGCAGATAACTGATTCACAAATAAATGCTTGGGCATGATTCTAATGTGTAGTTTGAATGCGATAGACGGGATTTAAATCTTCAACCACAACTAGCATTGCTGTCTGCCTAACCATAATTTTAACTCTACTTCCAGCACCAAAAAGAAGAAACGAAAGAAGGAAAGACGACACGCCTCCAAAAGCAAAAAGCGGAGGCGACGAGACGAACCAATGGAGGAGGAAGAAGGAGAAATTGACCACCCCATCAATATTGACCTCACGAGCACTCTAAAGGAACTCAGGAACGCTTCCCCCACCAAAGAACTGGTACAAGACATTGATGACAACACGCAGCAAAGCTTTGTAAGACAGGAAGACTCCTCGGAGGATGAGAATGGAGAAGTGAGAAGGGACAGAAGAAGGAAGAAAGAAGATAGGGAGTATAGTGAGGGAGAGTGGTCTAGCGATACCGAGCAGGACTCCGGGTCGTCTTATAGTGGGAAAGAAGAATGATAATCAGGTAAGAGAAATAGGAATTAGAATAACTTTATTCAGCATATAACAGAAAGTTGCCTAAGGCCCGATTCGACCAAACTTTTATCCGAGAATAACTCCTGGTACAACTGGCACATTGACAGTTTCAGTATGGGAAATAATATGTCAAAATGTCGAATAACTGACGATTTAATCTCAGAATTAATATTTACTCTTGTTTGGTCGAATCCACCCTAAGTACACACAATATTGAGGAGAATGATAATTTTTTACTTCTTTTTCACGTAAATCCTTGAAGTTTTGACGTGTGGTCATAGTGGAATAAAACCACTCCCACTCTTACCGTAGATGTAAAAGGCGACTAAGGGACAAATATGCGAACATCGCGGTTCCCGAACCCCAAGCGGGTTCAGCGTAGAAAGTGTAGACCAAAATAATACACCTTGCTTTGCTTCTAGTAAATTAAAGAGGATCTTACTCCTGCAGTAGAGATTAAATAACTTGTTGATGATGATGCCCTAAAATAGTTAAAAAAATACATTTATTTTGCCTTTTTAAACCGACTGCCAACATTTTTTGTTAACATTAACTCCCTGAAGAAGTTTGCTTCTAAAACGCCCATTTGTGTATTAGAAAAAATTGAACGCTAGAACGAAAGAACATTCGAATCGGTCAGCTATGTAAAATTAGATGAGCTGAATTCAATTGTTCTTTAGTACCTAAGTAATAATCAACATTAAAGTTTATGTTATCAATTCTTTTGTTTTAGGTACACCAACGACAAATATTCCCCCGACACAAAAGACTTAGTTGAGTAGATTATGATTTCTTAACGAATTATGAATGTATGTATTTATAAATATAGATTTCGTATTGTTCCAAATAACATTTTATTTAAATCCTTCGCCATTTTACACAGCGACATCTAGTTTTAATGCTCCAAGAAATTACGCGAAGTTTGTACCTACTATAGGTAACGAGTGACGTCACACGTTAACATTTTTAAAATATTTTCTAAATTGTATTTTTCTGACTGATTACTGATCAACAATACATACTACACATGCTGTAGAAAAATAAGTTAAAGTTAAACGTTATCAAATACAAGATAATATTTATTTAAAGCGCAGTAGTTTAACAGTCAGATCTATTATCGTTTTTAGAGTACACACACACTGCACACAACAGTTGTTCTGTCTCAATATAATATTACCGTTTTACCAGTAAATATCTAACAGTCACAATAGAATCACTCATTGGGGTCCTTTTTGCATGTCATTAATTAAAATTTGCGATATAAATAATTTGAATGCTTTTTATTAATACTGACAGTGAGATTATTACATAAATAACACTAAAAGAAACATAACGAGTGCTTTGGGTACACCACTGGCTTATCACTGAATTAATAACATTTAAAATGTTTATTTACATCTTTTATCATCATTATGTTTTTATTATAAAGATAAAATCACTGTTTGCTTACATGCAAAACTCATAAACTAATGGGTTATCAATATGTATTTTTCCCAAAATTATGGGTCAAATAAGTCCCAAAGCATTGAAATTTCAGAAAAATCTATTTAATTTTATATCCAAACAAATCTAAATTTTTATGTTGTCAAATCGCGATGTCACTCTCACTCATTGATAGATAACAATTGAAACTAATGACGTCACTTATTTTGCTAACCCAAGTTTTTGTTTACTGATTTCATATAGCTATCTAAGTTGGGTTCTAGGGCTAAATGAAGTTTAAACAAACTATTAAATTACATACGCCCTGTATAAAGAAGTAAACAGCAAAGCAATTCGACGGTGGCTTAAGGATAAACTTGTCTGCGAACGTCAATAGCAGATAATCATTTTCTAAGCCGCGGTGTTCTGCTTATCTTATCTGATATTTGTTCTATCCCGCGAAGTCCTGAGATCAACACAACATAGAATAATAATCAGCGTGAATAGAGATACACACAAGGACAGTTTGACGATTTTATTCATACAACTTTATGGAATAAACGATTTCAAAAGCGTGCATCAAAATCGTGCAAATCGAATGAGCCACATACACTATTTTTATACTAGGCACTAGAGCGGTAAATAAATTGTATTGCTCCTATCATAAGAGCAAATGGAACTTTATCATTTCTTGCTGCCTGCACATCAGACTACATTTTTGTTGCAATTGCACCCGTAACAACAAAAACATGTCAACATTCAACAAAATTGCCTGCAAAAAATGTTGAATGTTGAACTGACTTTGTTGATTGTGTAGAGCAAAACACGCGCTGGAGACCCAGCATAAGTAATAAATAAATATCCTTAGACATTTTACACTGCGCTTCTAGTCCCAAACTAAGCAAAGCTTGTACTATGGGTACTAGACAACGAATATAAACATACTTAAATATTTTTTTAAATACATACTTATTATACATAGAAAACACCCAGTCCAATACAAACAAATATGTTCATGCACAGTGCACACAAATGTTTGTACTGTGCGGGAATCGAACCCGCTACCTCCGGAATAGTAGTCCGTTTCGAACCACTACACCAAACGGCCGAAAAATAAGTATTACTGTGTAATAGATAAAGCGCCCCTGGTTGTTGCTTGATGTGCTTTCGTCTACTAAGTGGGGACTTAAGAGAAAACGGCCGATATCGGCCTGAACAAATAGGATAGATTAGTCAATAAAAACCAACTCAAAATAGAAACCAATTTTTCAATGTACCTTTATTTATTGACAAACAGACTGCGTAATAATCTTCTATTGTTATCAGCATCACCCATATCGGTAGTACTTGACGAGTAATCCCTTGTGAGTGGCTAGATCACCTCTCTTGACGTTCCCGGGTTATCTTCCTGGGTCGTGCCCCACGCCAATTTTATGGAAAATTTTAAGCAAAACGTTTTTTATTTTGTCAATATCTTACTAGTAATCAGATTGAAGTAAACGGTAACTGCTAGTTTTTGTTAGTATAATATGGGACAAACTTGAACATAATACATATCATACAAATAGTTCGCTCGTTTCAGCCAAATGACGTCTACTGCTGAATAAAAGGCCTCAAGGATTTTCACAAAGAACGGTCCTGCGCTGCCCGCAGTGCCCGCGTAAATTTCTCTAGTGGCGAACACGGGCTGGAAGGTAGACCGAGGATCTGGTGAAGGTCGCGGAAAGTACCTGGATTATACTTGGATAATTATTTTTAAATTTCTGCTTCACCCAAAGGTTGACTGGAAGAGAATGCCATATGACATCAAGTTCGCCTTTAGTGCTAATATAAACTTTTAAATAAACAATGTTAACAGCATTGTTGTGTTCCGGCAGTTAGAGGTAAGATAGCCAGTTCCTCCGTGGTTGAGGATTCTGGGTGAAGCTCGCTTCCACCTTCGGCCTGGTCATCACTTACCTACCATCAGGTGAGATACAGGCCAAGAGCTTCCTCGTTGTGGATAAAAAAAAAATGTAGGTACAACAGTGACTTACGCATTTAGACCGTGGCAGGAGGCGCGGTCCGCTACCCCGCTGGGGTCAATTTGCGACGTATATTTAGACTGACCTCGCGGTTAGTTGACACATAAATATGCATTATGTCCGTCCGACTCACGTGACTGTTACGAACAGTGATCATATAGCTAGTTTTGTTTAGGTTTCTCACATTTTTTCAAATTTATTTTCAAGGTGGACACTGCGTAACATCCTACAGCCGTCCCTTACTGAAATATTGGAAAGTTTGATCAAAACAAATACAAAAAATATCTCCTCTGTCGGAATCAGAATCCACGCACAGTTTTCGAGTAAAATATTTAGAGCCTGTATGAGATACCCCTATGTGATTAAGTTTTTATATGTTGTCTTTAAATAAATTTTACTCGTAACTTTCATGTTAGATAATATGTATCTGGAATTTAAAGAACTCAATTTAAAGAGCCTACCCATTCACAAAAGTTTATTAAAGAGCAACACTATTCAGATGAATAAGGATGCCAGATTTAGAAATATGATTGGCTAGGTACAATAATCATCACGATTTTAATAAACGCCATGTTATGATTTTTAAAGGGGTTATTTAATAACGTGGCGGAAATAATTGTTATAACATGCATTTAGCATGTATTTTTTGTTAAATTAATGGTTAAAAACTATCGACGCTTAAAAAATAGTCACCAGAAGATACATGGTGTTACGCCACTTGCTAAGTCATTGATACTTCATTGGTTGGGTTTTTGTGGCGGTCAAGCAGTAGATCCTGGCTACACAGGAGTTGCAGCGGTGGGAACAGTCCCGTGTCTACTTACCTATCTACATACTTTGGTATAATATGTCCAAAAAACTGTTTAATATTTCTAATAAAGGGTAACCCTAACATCTTGGTGTTGCACGAGTACAAATTACGTCGGATTTCCTTCTCAAGTGCAATGTCGTCGCCGCGTATAGGATGGACGCGCGTGTAAATAATCCGTCACCATTATAGTAGTAGTAGGTAGTGATACACTATAACCAAAACTAACTTTGAAAAAAATAAAAACTAGGACATACAAAGTACTTATCATTATGGGATGGGAGTCTTCCCAGTTCGTACAATCCGAAATAAATGTTTAAGTAAATAGTTTGGGTGTTTTTCGGTGGCGTACAAAGCCTTACACCAGGATTATGACCCCATGGCGGATAGCGTCTCAAAGACTTCGAAGGACACCATCAGGTTTTAGTGAGATGGCCCTGCCCATCTGGCAGGGAGAGCCTCACATAACCCACTGGTCCCCCCAGGTTAGTGTGTATGCAATTTATGCATTTCCTGGCGAAAAAAAAGGATCCCTTACATACTTAGGCGAGTACCTACTTTTTTATTATGTTACACAAAAACAAAGAAGAAATAAGTATGCTCCCCTGATAGCTCACCTAGGTCTTAACAGCTAAACTGGAGATCAGATAAAGGATTTAAAACAATATCACCCTGTGTCGTTATCAGTTATCTCGGTAGGCCCGCGCCCCATATAAGTAAATGGCGCTCTCGGCTCGGCTATTGTTCACACTCCTGACTCCACGAGCTGACAGAAGAAAAATGGCGGCCACAGATGTTGTAAGTAAAGTTTATAGTTATTTACAGCGTTTTTTTTAAATGAGTGCAATGTGTTTTTTCTTTGTTTCATTGATATCAGAAAAGTTATCCCAACTGCAACAGTAGGTAACGACGAGAATTAAATTTATTTCTGGAGTCCAGACTAAGAAATATTATTATAATTTTTCTTACAAAAAGTAGGTATTATTTTTAACTATTCTAAAGTTCTTTTTTCTAATAGCTAATTTACTTAACCCTAAATTAGACAGTTTATAATAATAATTAGTGACGAACATAAAACATGGATATAAGTAAATGTAAACATTTACTCTATCGGAACTTGAATCTGCAACCATTCACCACCAGAAGCCCAGACCTTTAAAATATAAAATAAATATCCTTGGACTTTTTGCACTGCGCCTCTAGTCCCAAACTATGCAAAGCTTGTACTATAGGTACTAGACAACGGATATAAACATATACTTTAAAAAAAGTAACTCATATTTTTCCCCAGAAATCCCCAATATCCATGATCGACCCGTCGCAACTCCTGCGACCGGAACCCACGTTCCACGACAAGCCTCTGGACGCCTTCCGCGACTACTCCGTCGACGACGCCGACCCGATCAAGGAGCGCGTGCGCAGGACCTACTACACCATGCACACTAACGTCACCGTGGACCTTGTCAAACGTGAGTACAGCCCTCTAGACAAATGAGGTGAGGCCCTTCGCCCACGGCGACTTTTTGTAGCGATGTAGTAGCGATTCTGTAGCACGTTCGCATCGATACAGTCGCAATGCGGTCGCTAGCTGTGTGCCCTCGCCCACATTTTAAACGCGCTTCTGTCGCGATGTAAACGCAGTACTGTCGCGATACAAATCAAGGAGTGCGTGCGGAGGACCTACTACACCATGCACACTAACGTCACCGTCGACCTTGTCAAACGTGAGTGACTACAGCCCCTAACACTAAGTATATCTAGTATACATAGCCCCCCTATACACAGTAACACCCGTGCGTGAGCCGTTCATTCTTCATCTTTAAAAACTAGCTTTTATCGGCGGCTTCGCCCACATGAATTTCGATTAAGTATAAGTAGTCACTGAAAAACTATCGCCCGATATCACACTTATTAAATCCTTTTTAAAAACCGCGATAAGCCTAGGTTTTACTTTTAGGTGACTTTTAGTCGGCCGATAGTTGGACCCGATTCTAATTTGTATGAAGGAAGAATCGGCCGATACCAAATCGGTGTAATGCGCTCTTTCATACATCTCCATACTGATTAACAGCCCGACCCAACTATCGGCCAACTAAAAGTCGATAGTCTGCGCCTAGGCTTAAAGTTTTTTTTTTTTACCTGGGTCTCAAATTATCTCTTCACCACCTTTCATCTCATTGGTTCAGTGTTAAAGCGTGAAAAGTCACAAATCATTATTTTTCTGCTCGAGATAATTAACTGATGATTGATGAGATTTTAACCATGACAATTTACAGTCAATTGAAGCCACAACTTTAGTTACTTAATGTTTACGTTGTTAAATTAGTTGACTCGAAAATAAAAACCGAACAACTACTATCCATTTTAATAGTTGCAATTTCGTAATCGCTGTGCTCCAGCGTCTTTTTTTGCATGTTACTTTGCTCCGTAAACCGATTTTGAAAATAAAATTGCAACTTACCTACTTAGGAGGGTATCGTCCGTATTCACAAACATTCTATGAGGTCTCACAGTGCGCGTGGACGCACAGGGTGACACACGAACCAATCATAGAGCCCTTCAACGCTGTGTGATCGATTTGCTGCTTCACTTATTGCAAGCATCGTTTGTTGATACGGGCGTGAGTCTTACTTCAACCTTGTTTCTCAACAGAAAAGCGCGAAAAGTGGCTCAAGTTCAACCACTTCAAGGCGACCATCAAGGAGGCGCTGACGAAGCTGAACGAGCTGGTGGACGAGTCCGACCCCGACACCGACCTGCCCAACATCGTGCATGCCTTCCAGACGGCTGAGAGGATCCGAGAAGACCACCCTGATGATGACTGGTTCCATCTAACTGGATTGATCCATGATTTGGGAAAGGTGAGGATAATTTTGTATTAGATAAATAGAGATGTACAACATTGCAGCCTTCCAGATCGCTAAGAGAATAGACTAGATGACAAAATTTAGATTATTTGTCCGTCAGACAGATAATTAGAAAATATTAGACTCATATTTTTTATTTTCTTTCATAATTAAATAATAACAGTGCTACATCGAGTTGAAATGGCGCGATACGTCATGCTTGAGTAGAATTTTTACTCAAAAGTGACGTCACGCGACATTTCAACTCAATATAATACTGTAATTATTCGATTATGGAAAAAATATGAGTCTAATATTTTCTAATTATCTGTCTGACGGACTAAATCGAATTTCGATTTCATTACCCAGTCATCATCCCTATTCGGGAGGACTATTCTTTTGACAACTGGTTCCATCTGTGGTTTGAGCTCCATTCATGCACGACTTGGGAAAGTCTTAATAGACCTCGATGAATAGAGATGCAATGTCGTGCATGCCTTCGTGGTCATGATCCGGGAGGACCACCCTGATGACAACTGGTTTCATTTGACTGGACTAATCCATGATTTGGGGAAGGTGAGGACAATTTTGAAGCTTAGACTATGATGAACAGAGGTACCAACATGAAGCTGCCTTCTAGATCGCTGGAAGAATCCGGGAGGACCACCCAGATGATGACTGGTTCCATTTGACTGGACTGATCCATGATTTGGGGAAGGTAAGGGAATTGTAAAGCTTAGACCTTGATAAACAGTGATGCACAATATAGGACATGCCTTCCAGACGGCTGAGAGGATCAGGGAGGACCACCCTGATGATGACTGGCCTCATTTAAGATTTGGTAAATGTAAGACATCATAACATTCATAACATCATCCAAAGGCGTAGCTACCGTACACAAAGTCTTACAAATCCAAGAGACCTTCAGATCCTGAGCAGCTTATCTCGTAAATCTGTCTACGAACGGGAACATGAGCTTTAGGTTTTTAGCAGGGCCTTTGGTTACTACGCCTCTTTTGAGAATAATAATTCTAAAAGGTAGTTAAAAGCTAATGTGCATTCTGTCCTCTTTGATCTTTTTCTTAAAGTCGATTACATAATGCACCAAAGAAAAAAAACATTGAACTGAGTAGGTATCTTGTAATTAAGATAAAAAGCGATACAAACTAAAAAGTTCAGATAAAAATAAAATAATTGCGTTTTATGATCTCAATCCAAATACAACACAATCATCATGACGTAGGACGTTTCATATTGTAAACTAATAATTAAATTCGCACATGCGTCTCGATAACCCGCAACTAATTGCGGGTTATCGAGACGCCTAAACGCCGTGAACTTGAGACGTGATCTTGATACTTGATCTTGAGACGCATTATCTCCGGACCTATCCTTGCCTCTAGATGAAATTCCTATTATACTGATTTCAATTTTGTCTCGGTCTTTAAAAGGGTGACCATGTTTTTGTACACACGGCCACACTGTTAACTATCCATTTCCGTTTTTGCTCTCGCTCTCATCAAATGGTGATTCTTTGCGATAGAACGAGATGGCATGACTGGCAATGGGCAGTTAACACTGTTGCCGATAGTACATAATGCTATTGCGATATCTATGACTTGTATAATTTCATCAAAATCCGTCCACTCGTTTTTGTGTTTCTACTAGGCAGAACCTGGCCCACGCAGTGCATTTTGCAAAATTGAAGTAGAGTTGGTAAAGTTTCATGTCATTTATTTAACTCTTAACTTTTCGAGCACAGACAGCTCTATTTAATTTTAAGGGCTTTATTTAACCCTTAAACAGGCCAAGCAACATTTTTACCACAAGACAATAAAGTGGTAGCTATATTCCCATTCGTTAAATGATATTCCCATTGTCTGTTAAAGGTGATGGCGTTCTACGACGAGCCGCAGTGGTGCGTGGTGGGCGATACGTTCCCCGTGGGATGCCGCTGGGCGAAATCCATCGTGTACGGGCCTGAGAGCTTCAAGGACAACCCCGACACATACAACCCTAAATACAAGTTAGTATCTATTCTGTGATATTCATTAATAAGTACATTTTGAAAATCTCAAATAAAAAAAGCTTATATCTAGGCCTCTCTTATTTTACTGTTATTCATGGAAGTGATTGGTTACTTACATATAATTATTACTAACTACAGGTACAGACAAACTAACATATACATGAGCAGGATCAAGCTTAAATAGAACATCATTTTAAAATACCTACATCATTCGTAATTGAAAGTTAGTAATCTTATAAATTCAGAAGATTCTTTCTGTTGTGGGAATATAAACACTAACTTAAAGCTTACTCTTCATCAAATGTAAATAACATACCTTGGTTTAAACTTACACTAACACTACACTAGTTGAATAGTAGTTCAAAATGCAGTTTAATATCCTACATATTCTCCCCCAGCACAGAGAACGGCATGTACCAGGCGCGCTGCGGGCTGGACGCGCTGCTGATGTCGTGGAGCCACGACGAGTACCTCTACCAGTTCCTGCTGCACAACAAGGCTAAACTGCCCGAGAAGGCGCTCTATATGATCAGGTAGAAACTTCCTGCCCCGTACAACCAAACTGTGGAATGGTCTGTCGTCTGCGATGTTTCCGGACGGATACGACCTGCAAGCTTTCAAGAGGAGAGCGTATCTTCACCTTAAAGGCTGGCAACGCACCTGTAACGCCCCTGGGTCTGCGGGTGTCTATGGCGACGGCAATCACTTACCATCAGGAGATCCGTCTGCTCGTTTGCCTCCTGTCACATAAAAAAAAGATAACTGCAATATGGGTTATAATAAAGTTGTTAATTAATCAGCACAGCCCTCTAGTATAGAGGTATTAGTCCTAGTACATACCTGAAGACTTACGTTGTAAATTGATCAGTGACCGGCACAATTACCAGTCAGTTGGAAACACTTAAATCTTACCTCAATGACCTTCTGAAGCAAAATTAAATGGAAAAGAAAAGAGTCATTGAATATTCATATTTTTGCAAATTCCAAATGGTTCCTTCCATCTTTTCTTTAATGTGTAAATGTCCTGTTTGTGAGATGTCTACCGTTTTTTACTATAAGTTTTTCAAGTTAAGTACATTTTTTCTCTCAGGTACCACTCGTTCTACCCGTGGCACGCAGGCGGCGACTACCGCCACCTCACCAATGAGAAAGATGAGCAAATCCTGCAATGGGTGCTAGAATTCAAGTGAGTTTCAATTTTTGTTAATCCTTATAGCATTTAACCCTTCAAGTACCAGCGTCATGCGACCGCTTAGGGTTGGAAATACAGTTTTGTGTAGTGAATACTATACTAAATATAGTTTTTATTTATTTATTTGATTGTCAAATGCTATTTACTTACTTACACACATGGTAGTTTTGTGTGTTTAAGGAAACAACTTTATAAATGCAGTACTAAATGGTACTTACTTTTAATGCATTATATTTATTAATTTATATTTTAGCAAATACGACCTGTACACGAAGAGCGAAAAGGTCCCGGACATCGACGCCCTCTGGCCGTACTACGAGGGACTAATCGACAAGTACATTCCCGGGGTACTGGAGTGGTGATTTCTTATGGGTACAGCAAGTTTGACCAAGATTGTCTTTAAGTACAGCTAGATTGACCATCCACTCGTATTTTTTATGCAAGGGTTATTGTCCTACCAGTAAATTTGTAGATGATATCTCATAAGTGGTACATACAGTGCATAAGTTTTGATTTGACTTTAATAACCTATCTCACAATATCCAATTTTTTTTCTCGTCTGTCTATGCTCAAGATAAATAGAAAAAAAATGTTTTTAAGAAATAAATTGTCATTACTTGTTTAAGGGTTAAAAACACTAAAGTATATTTGATAAATTGTAAAATTATGAAATTACTACATTGTTATTTAAGAGATATTTGGTGCTATGAAAATTACGTATTATTATGTATGTATTTATATAGTGATTTTATCATTATGTTTTAAAACATAGTTTTATTGTTACAAAAACATATTGACTGAAAAAGAGAATGTATTGTACATATTTTGAATATTGATATTTTTATTTAAATGTAAATAATTTGTAAATACTATGGTGTTTTATTATCTCAAACTTTGCTCCTCCTTTTGGACATTTTTGTCTTGGTAATTACCGAACTGATTATGATGGGACGTAAAGAAGTAGGTACTTAGTAGAATATTGCAGTTAACTGAATGCTACATTTAATCAACGATTTTTAAAGATGCATGTAGCNAGCCACAACTTTAGTAAAATGTTTACGTTGTTAAATTAGTTGTCTCGAAAATAAAAACCGAACAACTACTATCCATTTTAATAGTTGCAATTTCGTAATCGCTGTGCTCCAGCGTCTTTTTTTGCATGTTACTTTGCTCCGTAAACCGATTTTGAAAATAAAATTGCAACTTACCTACTTAGGAGGGTATCGCCCGTATTCACAAACATTCTATGAGGTCTCACAGTGCGCGTGGACGCACAGGGTGACACACGAACCAATCATAGAGCCCTTCAACGCTGTGTGATCGATTTGCTGCTTCACTTATTGCAAGCATCGTTTGTTGATACGGGCGTGAGTCTTACTTCAACCTTGTTTCTCAACAGAAAAGCGCGAAAAGTGGCTCAAGTTCAACCACTTCAAGGCGACCATCAAGGAGGCGCTGACGAAGCTGAACGAGCTGGTGGACGAGTCCGACCCCGACACCGACCTGCCCAACATCGTGCATGCCTTCCAGACGGCCGAGAGGATTAGAGAAGACCACCCTGATGACGACTGGTTCCATTTGACTGGGCTGATCCATGATTTGGGGAAGGTGAGGGCAATAGTGACTAGTGAAGCTTAAACGGAGATGCTGAAGCATAGACCTTGATGAACAGAGATGGACAACATGGTGCTGGCTTCCAAGCTGCTGGGAGAATCAGGGAAGACCACCCTGATGACGACTGGTTCCATTTAACTGGACTAATCCATGATTTGGGGAAGGTGAGGACAATTTTGAAGCTTAGACTATGATGAACAGAGGTACAAACATGAAGCTGCCATCTAGACCGCTGGAAGAATCCGGGAGGACCACCCTGATGATGACTGGTTCCATTTGACGGGACTCATGACTTGTGGAAGGTAAGGCAATTGTAAAGCTTAGACCTTGATAAACAGTGATGCACAATATAGGGCATGCCTTCCAGACTGCTGAGAGTATTAGGGAAGACCACCCTGATGATGACTGGTTCCATCTGACCGGGCTCATTCATGATTTGGGGAAGGTAAGAAAGATTGGATCTTGATAAACGGATGCAAAAAATTGTACAGCCTGAAGGCTGCAAAGAGAAGGCCAAGGAGGCGCTGACGAAGCTGAACGAGCTGGTCGACGAGTCGGACCCCGACACCGACCTGCCCAACATCGTGCACGCCTTCCAGACGGCCGAGAGGATTAGAGAAGACCACCCTGATGATGACTGGTTCCATTTGACTGGGCTGATCCATGATTTGGGGAAGGTGAGGACAATTTTGAAGCTTAGACTATGATGAACAGAGGTACAAACATGAAGCTGCCATCTAGACCGCTGGAAGAATCCGGGAGGACACCCAGATGATGACTAGTTCCATTTGACTGGACTGATCCATGACTTTGGGAAGGTAAGGATAATGTGAAGCTTATACCTTGATAAACAGTGATGCACAATATAGGACATGCCTTCCAGACCGCCGAGAGGATCCGGGAGGATCACCCTAATGATGACTGGTTTCTATCCTCATTGATCTTTTTCTTAAGAGCGTTTACGCCGTTTCCCGCAAAAACAGTACTTTTTCAACTCGTTACAATCATTAACCAGTAATAGTACAAATATGTTATAGGCATAAATAATTAGGCAATTTCGTCGTCTAAATAGTTAATTGAGAAAATATTGCGATTAGTTTAGCATTTAAGAATTCTATCAAGATAAGTCCACACAGGTTTTGTAAATTTCCACTTAAGCGTCATTTTACAAGCTGAAATTTTTATAAAAATACTGTGAAAACGATTTAACAAACATTTACATCCTATAGCATAGATCCTTGGGCAAATAGTTATCTGAGAAAATTTTTAGATTTAAGCATTCTACAATAAGAAATCACAAATTAAAAGAACGTGAAATACCCAAAAATCAAAGTGATTTTTTCACCAATATTCTTCCTTTATTCAACACAAAAATAGCTTAATATAATAGAAGAATATCTTATCTAAAATATTTACTTTGAAATTTAAAATAATTCATTGTATTTTTTTTTCTATGAGTATTTGAATATACTATAAAACGCCGCGCACGAATCGTTCAAATTCAGTCCGCCTCGAGGCGTTCCAGAGTGAGGTCACGTCGCTCGGTGCTCTGCTGACATATGTCACGCGTACGTTGATCTTTGACAGATAGCTGGACTTTTATAGTGTATCCGCAAAATCTTGGTGGTAGATTTTGCGATCACGTGGTAATTAAAATATTTTATTGTTATTTTTCATTACAGTCTATTTTTACTACAAATACTATTTCAGACGTAATGAAAAATAAAATTAAGTTATTTTTAGCGATGAAACAAAAACGAATGACGAAAATTTGGAACAGCAAGTTATGTATGTATACCTACTAATATTATAAAGAGGAATAATACTAATAATTTATTTGCCATAAATAGGTGGTTACAGAATAGTTAATAGGAATGCTCTGCCAGCAGGGTCCCACCTAGTTGTAGGGGGAACATACACAACATNTGTATATTATGCAAGACCTAGGTACTCTGGCAAATAGTGTTTCATAATACGAGTAAATCAGTGGTTTATCAAGTTACCTACCTAAAATTACCACTGGCTATTATCTTGCTCGTGTTAATTTCGGCTTATTCCACTATTCTTTTTGTTCACTATTCCCCTTTAACGCCAATTAGAGCTTATAATATCTACGTTAAAAATAAAATCCTAATATAACGGGGATTAATGAACTTTTTAGTTCATTATTCCCCATTATAAGCTCCAATGAGGGCTATCGTTTTAGCGCTCACCAGTTAGCGCCACTGTAGAGTAAGGTCCTGTCAATCGCCAGGGGTGCCAACTGTTAAGTATAAAAACGATAGCCCTCATTGGCGTTAACGGGGAATAGTGAACAAAAAGTTCACGAATAGTGGAATAAGCCTTAATTTCAACTAAATTAATTTAAGTATGCAGTCTTATTTATCCTGAAGATAATTGTTTTATTAATGGGTTTATCTTAATTATCTTCCTAATCTATATTTGGTACTTAATTGAATAGTGCCTAATAGCAAAACTACAAAGAGTTTCTTGTATTTTTGCCACATTAATCTTTATTGTGTGCTTAACTGGCGATAACCCAAGTTCCAGCATGTTTGACCCCATTATCTGAGCAATTAGCAGTTATTTAACTGGGGCCACGCGGGACCAGTAGTTATTGTGCTTCGGACAGGACTCGAACTCGCTACCGCCGAAATGAAGATTAAAATTACTGTAAGTGAAAGTTTTTTTTTCGTTAGCAAAATATTTTTTGTCAAATTAAAGGTTAACGTAAGGCATTTTTTTCTATTTTCTGTCTGTCCTTTGTTAAATAGTAATAATTAATTGATTTTAAAATAGAGGTAATGGCAGTACTGCCAGTACTTAGCTTTTGTCTTATAACATCTGAAGTCCATAATTTAAACACATAAAATCAAAAATTAAATGGTTGAACTTACACTTGGTTTATTTAAATATTTTATTTTATGTGAAGTATTGATTGTGTATGCCACTGGTAGCCCATCTTTTTATTTAACGCTATTGAGACACAACTGTGAGCTAAGTTACTGTAGTGGAGACTAAATGGCCTGATGATAAACTACTAAAATACTAATCTCTTTACTTCAAACTTAGCATTGGCATCTTTAATTAGTTAATAAAGAACAAATTTTCTTCCCAGGACCCCATCTTCCTTGAAGACCCCTCCTTGCTACTACGTCCAGAGGCGGTATACGACGGCAAACCTGTGAACGCCTTTAGAAACTACGATGAAGATGAGAATGATCCCATTNAAAGTTTTCTTCGTTAGCAAAATATTGTTTGTCAAATTAAAGGTTAAAGAATGGCATTTTTTTCTATTTTCTGTCTGTCCTTAGATTGAAATAATTAAATTAGTTTTAAAATAGAGGTAATGGCAGCCTACTTAGCTTTTCTTTGTCTTATAACGTGTGAAGTCCTTTATTACCGAAGTCCAAATAAAAAACAAAAATTCAATGGTTGAACTTACTTTTTTAATTTTTATTTTATTTTATGTAAAGTATTGTGTATGCCACTGGTAGCCCATCTTTTTATTCAACGCTGTTGAGTCACAACTGTGAGTTAAGTAACTGCAGTGGAAAACTGGAGACTAAATGACCTGATGATAAACTTACTAATATACTTGATAAAATACCAGTCTCTTTAAATTCAAACTTAATAGGCATTTATTTTATTTATTTTTATTTAATTTAAAGACTTTATTGCACACACAACAATGTTCTGTACAAAAAGGCGAGCTTAATGCCATACGTCATTCTCTACCAGCTAGCATATATCTTTAGCGTTTTACTTGGCATATATCTTTAGCGTTTTACTTGGTTAATAAAGAACAAATTTTCTTCTCAGGACCCCATCTTCCTTGAAGACCCCTCCTTGCTACTACGTCCAGAGGCGGTATACGACGGCAAACCTGTGAACGCCTTCCGAAACTACGATGAAGATGAGAACGACCCCATCAAGATGCGCGTGCGCAGAACTTACTACGAAATGCACTCTAATATGACAGTCGACTTCGTCAGAGGTAGGTATCTACTTAAATCTACTATAGTGCACGTGTCTGGTAAAATAGCACGTTTATGACCACGTGAGATGTCACAGTTTTCAACAGTTCAAGGAAGAAGGCGAGAAAATATGCAATAGCTTCAATCATCGCCCCCTATGCATTGTTTTGATGGATTTTTTTTACTAAAGCAACCCCTGGATGCGGGCGGCGCATGACCGGTAGTGGAAATCCTTGGGGGATGCCTTGGTCCAGCANTCGAACCCTGTTTTTTCTTATTTACATGAATATGGTTTGACTACGTTTGTGTGCGTTTGCTTCGTCGCGCTCAAATTTGTTTGGTCAGACAGAGACGGAGTGAATCTCTACGTTCGCACATATAAGCTTAGCGAGAAATACTAGGTGCGCGTAATACACGACTACGGATTACGCAATAATAACCTCTATTACTTTGACGGTAGGGTCGGAAATCGTGTAATTTATAAAATACTAGGTGGATCAAGTATTTTAAAAATTGGAATAGGTGCCGCCTAGTACTGTAAAATACCTAGTGTGTGGATCTGTTCTAGTAAATACATCTCATCTCTAGTCACTACCCATATTTTACATCGAAACAAATATTGAAAGTTGCTACCCAGTTGCTACTAGTTGCTACTAATCGTTAGATAGTTGCTACCCTCGATTTAAAGAAAATAATCTACTTTCTTAGGTGACGCGCCATCCTAGCATCAGAATGGCTGGTCACCCATACTGTAATATGCACGGGACTGTTCCCACCTCTCGTTCCCACCGCTACAACTCCTGTGTAGCCAGGATCTACAGATTGACCGGCAATAAAAACCCAACCAGTAAAGGTCATGTGGTACCGGGGGAAAGTTAACTGTCATTGGACCCGCAACGAAATTAATCAGAAGAACATAGGAGGAGTTCAAAGTTATGTGCACCTACAATAGACACGATTTTATTAAAGGCTGTGGAGTGTTGGCCAAGTCCTCCTTTTGCTTCTAGTAAATTAGAATCCTTCCTTCAGTGGACCTGTAGGCCTAATATGCGCGCCGCAATAAGCGGTTATCACGCTGTTTTATCGATTTTTCTCATACATTTTGACGTCGATAAGAGTATATCACGGCGCGCAACCTAGCCCGTGTAACCTAGTCCACCTACAAGGTGGACCGACGACATCGTAAAGGTAGCAAGGGAAGCGCTGGACGCAGACCGCTGCCAATCGATCAACATGGAAAGCATTGGGGGAGGCCTATGTTCAGCAGTAGACGTCCTATGGCTGAAATGATGATGATGATGATGATGAACCTAGCCCGGCTGATGATGTTGATGATTATTATTGTTATTTGATTGCAGCACAAAATACGGCATGTACGAGCCCAACTGTGGGCTTGAGAACCTGCTGATGTCGTGGGGACACGACGAGTATTTGTACCGGGTGCTGGTGCACAACAAAGCGAAGTTCCCCAAGAAAGGACTGTTCATGATCAGGTTGGTCTCTTTTACAAATTAATATAAAAACTCGTAGCATGTAATAATACCCCAAATGATGAAATTGCAGATTATTTTCTTCGATATTAATGTGATAACGTAATTTTCCGTGTAAAAATATCCTAGGCGCAGACCATCGACTTTTAGTCGGCCGATAGTTGGGGCCCGATCCTAATTTTTATAAAGAATCGGCCGATATCAAATCNGTCCAGCAGTGGGTGGACGTCATTTGGCTGAAAAACGATCGAACGTCCCTGCGACGCCTCTTTAGAACTGAAAACGGTTTAGATCTAAATTCTGCCAAATAACATTTTATTCTTCAAATGGAAATTCTCTTCTTCACCCAAATCACCCATCATTCCGATATTTTGACTGGCCCACGAACTATTAACACTTATCTACAGTAGGTAATTCGTAGGAAGATAATCAACATTACATTCGTTTACAGAAAAAATGCACAAATGGCTGCAGTTCAGCCACTTCAAGGCTACGGTCAAGGACGCTTTAATCAAGCTGAATGACTTGGTAGACGAGTCCGACCCCGACATCGACCTGCCCAACATCATCCATGCCTTCCAGACCGCCGAGAGGATCCGCGAGGACCACCCTGATGAGGATTGGTTCCAGCTTATTGGATTAATACACGACTTGGGCAAGGTATGTAGGATAACAAGATTTGCCGGTTTTGTCCATATTCTGTTGTGCCAATGCTCCTAATTGTAGAGTTGACATTTTGCAGTACCTAGGTAGGTAATCACCTATGACTTTGCTCGTTGCTCTATAAAAACTTCAATGGGGTACCTAATACGCCTAATTTATAACCCACGATTTAGCCCGCTTTTCTCTTCTTCTTTGATGTTAATGCTCCTCGGCTCGACATTTTTCAACTCGCATAATTCCCATTGCCCTGTAAGAGCTAGTTCACACTATGTGGGTCGGTCCCACGAACTGATAAATGTGACGGATGCATAGTGAGAGTGAGTGAGATAGGTAGTAATAATAATGAGTAATTTCAGTACCCTTTGAGCGTAGTTGCGTGAGGCTGAGGTATTCTAAAATCATTTAATTATTTTGTCTCTCCCAGCGCTTAATCAAAGTGCGGTCAAAATAAAGTGGTGGTAAACTATAATCCTCCTGGCCTTTTAAAGGTGATGGCGTTCTACGGCGAGCCACAATGGTGCGTGGTGGGTGACACCTTCGCGCTGGGCTGCCGCTGGGGCCGCAGCATCGTCTACGGAGACGACAGCTTCAAGGCCAACCCCGACACATACAACCCCAAATACAAGTAAGATGTTTTTCTTTTAGATTAGAAACTTCGAACTCCTCCTATGTTTTCTGATTTCGTTGCGGGTCCAATAAACCCCGGGACAAACTTGGCTTTCACTGGTTGAGTTTTTATTGGTGGTCAAACTGTAGATCCTGGTCAAGCTAGGAGCCAAGAGTTGCAGCAATGGGAATAGTCCCGTATTAGATTAGAAATTACAAGTATATGAATGAAAACAAAAAAAATACGCAGTAACGTGGAACAAATATTCTCCGCAGTTCATGTTGCTAATCTAGTGTTTACTAGTCTGTACCTTCTTGTTATTTGTGGCGTACATTTAATAGATATTCGTTTTAATACCTCATAGCCTACATGTTTGTATTAAGGTTGGTTTTTTTATCATAAAAATATAAGGATCGAACTAGCGACATCTAGAATCATCAGTCCGATGCCAACTTGTAACAAAAATGTATCTGGTTGATACTGTGTTATTTGTGTTATCTATTCAATAAACGTGTTTTTATTTCCTTACAGCACAAAATACGGCATGTACGAGCCCAACTGTGGGCTTGAGAACCTGCTGATGTCGTGGGGGCACGACGAGTACTTGTACCGTATACTGGTGCACAACAAAGCGAAGTTCCCCAAGAAAGGACTGTTTATGATCAGGTTGGTCTCTTTTACAAATTAATATAAAAACTCGTAGCATGTAATAATACCCCAAATGATGAAATTGCAGATTATTTTCTTCGATATTAATGTGATAACGTCATTTTCCGTGTAAAAATATCCTAGGCGCAGACCATCGACTTTTAGTCGGCCGATAGTTGGGGCCCGATTCTAATTTTTATGAAGAATCGGCCGATATCAAATTGCTGTAATGAGCGCACTTCATACATCTCCCTACTGATCAACAGGCCGACCCAACTATCGGCCAACTAAAAGTCGGTGGTCTGCGCCTAGCTAGGCTAAGAGGTTTAAATGGTCCCAATGTTTATTTATAACAATTCGAATACAGTTAAAAACCTCCTCCTTTTTTTGAAGTCGGTTAAAAATGTGTCGTTCATAAAAAAAATATTATGTAATTCCTATCTATTACAGATACCACTCGTTCTACCCGTGGCACGCGGGCGGAGACTACAAACACTTGCTGAAAGATGGCGACCAGGAGATATTGGATGCCGTACTCGAATTCAAGTAAGCATCTAATGTGGAGATTTTTTATAAAGCGAGGATCAATAGAAAGTTTTTTTTACAATGTTTATGTAATTATATTCTCACAAACTTTTTCTCTTTTTAGCAAATACGACCTCTACACGAAGAGCGCTGCCATACCGGACGTGGAAACTCTGTGGCCGTACTACGAGTCACTCATCGATAAGTACATCCCTGGAGAGCTAGAATTTTAAAATGACCCCCTCTAAAAACCTTTTTCTACTGACAGGCTATTTATTTCGCGTTTTAAGAACTATTTACGATTAGATATTTGCGGCTGGGACGCGTTTTCATGTTGCATATTTATATGCAGCTATTAATTAACCCTTGTGACTACCATATTTTAGATTTTATTTTGGATAAAATAAGTTTCGATAATTTCTCTATGCTGCTCTAAGGGTTAAATTATACGACTAAATTGTTACCTACTGCTGGCGGAAAACATTAATTATAAGGACTAAATAAGTACAAAATACTCTTACTTGTAAATAAATTTAAGTTAATATAAATAAATTATTATATTTAATTAAACATTTAAGTATCACCCAATAAGTTTATTTTATTTAAGTCAATCATCAATTAGGTTAATGGTAAGTAAATAAATACAACATTTATTATAATAAATCAGGAACTTTATTTAAGCTATATTTACAAAAATACAAATCTCTCAAAATAGACAATAATTAATTAATTAATAATATAGCTTCAACAACCAAAGTCGGTACAACACAATCATCGTAAGCTGTTACAAAATCACAAATACTCAGCTCAAGTATTAGCTATAAACTGTACAGACAACAGCGTATCAACCAGAGACTGTAGTACTTTCCTCAATTGATTTTAAACCTTATATTTACAGCCATAAAGATTAAAATTTCATGAAAAGAAATACTGGTGTAGGTAGATTTCACTGCTGACCGCACTCACATATTATAATCCTCTTTCACTTCTATAAAATCCTTTCTTTACGTTGATTTGCAAAAAAATCAAGTATTTTTATCATTTAGGCTAATTTTGGAAATGAGTTTACATTAGAATATTATCATATTCATCATTTAAAACTGCGTACAAGCGCACGCAACCGAAACATAACATTTGCGATAGTCATTTGTATTTACTGACCTTACAATTTGGTTTCGCCAGATAAGTACTGTGTTATCAAGTTCACCAATTATCTTGGGCGGTTTACGATTTTGACCCCAATTGGCCCGAATATTGGACCAATAAACAAAAAATCCCGTTCCACAAACACAACAGGTGCTAATAACTCATTTGATAACAAACATTTGGTCAAATATTTGTTTTTATTTAACAGGATTACTTATCACATCTGTTATTTTTATGAAAGAGAGGAGTCTGGGATTCATCGAAAATCATAATTATTCACTCGATTTAGTTGATAAACCTCCTGAAATAGTGCGTCATTGAAGGATCTTATCGATTGTTCGCCTTAGTTTATCGATTCCAAAGTGACGTACTTACTATTATTTTACGAGATTATTTCAATGCCAATAACATCTTCACAAACGTAATTCGATGAAAACAACATAAAAAACAGTACAATCAGCTTCAAATATTTGGTGTCATCATAAGTTGACGATACAAGCTTATTCCAATCGTAACAAAGACTTGTTGCGAACTTTTTGGCTACTTTGGGTGTCACAAACTATTTGATGCTGACTGTACCTATTTCAACAATATTTTAAATTACTCTTTGTCACTACTGAGTTTTGATATGGCTACCATGCAAGCTGCGTTTGTAATTTCAAATTGTTTTTTGAGCAAAAAAGGAAATGTGTTAGGTAAACGACAGCACACCAACCTAAACACTCTTATGAAGTCGTAATAAGGTCGATATTGCAATAAAATGTTTACTTTTCTGTGCTGTCGATTGAACCAAGGGAAGCTATTGGGTATTTGCTATTATATCTCAAATACACGTAGTGCTACTTAATACATAAATTACGTCAAATATTAATGTCACATAAATATGTACTTATGTAAGTAAATGCTTATTGTTAAATATTCGGTCTCAATTCCATGAATACAGTCACACCGATACACTCTCACAGACAATTTGGACTTTATATCTCACACGTTAAGGTAGATTTTAAATAGATATACAAACGTTAAATATTGATTATACGTACATAATAATAAGACACTACCAGTAACACGCATCAAGGCCCGTATTTTCCTTCTAAGGCAAATCCTTCACTATCATTACGTCTTAAGAAATAATCTCTATCTAAAAACAATTTACAGACAAACAACACTTTATAGGTCTGGCGTTTAACTCAGAGCCTGAGGTATGGCAGCGGCGCGGGAGGGTGTTTTTGATACGACAAACGTCAGCGAGACTTCAATATGTATGCTCTATCACGTCATAATAATGGACAATTTGACACCATTCTCCAATAATTCGAAATCACAACTTTTCTAAAAAGACACTTCATTCTGGTCTTAAAAACTTAATAAATTTTAAATTACCTGTAAATTACGATTTTCTGGTCGCATTGTAAATGAAAAAAGTAGTTTATTTGAGTTGACAAAATAGTGACGTCACTTACTTGTAGTGCCATACAAAATCTATGGGAGAGTTTCGTTTTGACAGTTTTAAAAAGTACGTCAATTTATTGGTGGTGTCAACATGTCTATAGTTCCAAAATACTGGACTGTCCTGTCGATGACATTGACAGTGGGGCGCCACCGTCAATACCGGATCGCTGGTTCAGATTTTTGCCATGTTGGAAACCATATAGTTGAACGATGGTAGCGCCGCCCTGTCATTGAGTTTGGTGGGACAGTTCAGCGTGGGTCATCTATATTATAGTTTCAAAATACTGAACTGTCCTATGCATGACATTGACAGTGGGGCGCCACCGTCAATACCGGATCGCTAGTTCCGATTTTTGCCATGTTGGAAACCCATGAAGCTAACATGAAGCTAAAGATAAGAGGGCAGAGTTGGAACAAAAACTTGAGTCAAATACCTACTTATATCTATCTCGCTCTCTGCGGCCCTACCTCTCTTTTTAGTGTGAACTGTAGTATTGCTATCTTCTGATTTAAATCTCCTTGTAAATTCTTCGAAATAGCCAAACTAACCAAATCAGAAGTTAAACAAATAAATAATTAATATTTGAAACTAAGATTTCCTAGTTAAATAAAAAAACACAAAATTGTCGGCCATTTAGGCTTAATGTGTTGGCGAATCAGGGAATTACAATCCCAATTCCTGGGTAATCGGTACCATGTGGCAACATCGGCCCAATCCGGCCCATCATGGCGGTTGTTTACTATTTTGTTTATTAAGCAGTTAATTTCGTTTGAGATTGTTTACAGGAAATAATCATTGTTTTATCACAAAAACTGGTGCAAAATTTTGTAGTGCGTGGTTGCGGTAGTACGTGGTGTCCTGGAAGTGACATAAGATTCCACGCGTAAGTGTTTATTTCGTGATTTCCGACATTGGATCATTGTAAACATTTTTCACNGAAGTCGCGGGCGGCCGCTAGTTATAAATAACTTGAAAAAATCGAACTGCCTAAGGCGGGAATTGAACCTACGACCTTCCGCTTGCCGGGCGACTGCTCTTCCAACTGAGCTACTTAGACACTGGATGAACCCGTCGAAATTTTCAAGTGTAATACGCTGTTACGGCCAGCGTTTGTTTCATCAATGTTGAGTATACCTACATTCTCCAATAATTCGAAACCACAACTTTTCTAAAAAGACACTTCATTCTGGTCTTAATAACTTAATTAATTTTAAATTACCTGTAAATAACGATTTTCTGGTCGCATTGTTATTGAAAAAAGTAGTTTATTTGAGTTGACAAAATACCTAGTGACGTCACTTGTATAGTTCCAAAATACTGAACTGTCCTATCCATGACATTGACAGCGGGGCGCCACCGTCAATACCAGATCGCTGGTTCCGATTTTTGCGATGTTGGAAACCATATAGCGATGGTAGCGCCCCCCTGTCATTGAGTTTGGTGGGACAGTTCAGCGTGGGTCATCTATAGTGCCATACAAAATCTATGGGAGTTTCGTTTTGACAGTTTTANCTATAGTGCCATACAAAATCTATGGGAGTTTCGTTTTGACAGTTTTAAAAAGTATAGATGACCCACGCTGAACTGTCCCACCAAACTCAATGACAGGGGGGCGCTACCATCGTTCAACTATATGGTTTCCAACATGGCAAATATCGGAACCAGCTATTCGGTATTGACGGTGGCGCCCCGCTGTCAATGTCATCGATAGGACAGTTCAGTATTTTGGAACTATACGTCAATTTATTGGTGGTGTCAACATGTATATTATGTCAATGTCATCCCTTCCAGTCCGCTCCCATATCTCAGGCACCGACTGAGTTAGCGCTGGACCGATAACTTATAATAACATATCACACAATGCATAAACACGACCATTTATCAAGACTAGACAAACAGATATTTATCATTAGTGAATTAGTTTGATAATAAGTTAATCTGCAAATTGCTCGTAGACGAAGAATCCCTATTAAAGTTGTTCCTATCTTATCAGTCTTTTGTATAGAAAGACATTTTTACATCGGCGATAAACATGCCCAATTAAAATTAGTTTTTCGTATAATTTGCGTCAGAGAATCGTTATCTAATATTTTTCTTTCAGATCAAAGTAAACAACTTATAACAATGTTTTTAGTGCGCAAAAAGGCCCCATCTCCAGTTTTTTTTTGCATATTTTTAAGCCTATCAATGGACGTCATTTGATTGAAACGAACGAACGAAACAAATATTATGAAAAAATCTGGACCCAATGTAAAACAGTTCACTGAGAATAATGTTGTAAGTCGCATACTTAGATGTAAGAAGCATATTATATTAATACTAAATTGGACAAACGTTTATTTATTAATATGTACGTAAAATTGTGAAATTCTGTCAGATTATAATCTGACGAAGTTACATTACAATTTAACCTAACCCACTGTTAGTTTACAATCTTACGCGTTGTATTATAAACTGACGTATTTCACAATTTTACTTCGACATATACATAGTACATACATAAATATTGGGCCATGTATACCGCCAAACTGTAAACGTTTCGACCAAACCTTCATGTCGAAGGCCTTACACAATTCCACATACAATCGCAAAAGCGGATCTACGTCAAAAAATATCACTAGCGAATAGGCTACCGTCTTAGGAATGTCCTTTACAACCTTTAATGCAATCTTGTATAGCTTTGCTCGTTAAAATAGTCATCAAGGCTGGGTTGCACCATCTTACTTTAACTTTGACAAACATCTAAAATCTGTCGACTCCATACAAAAAACACCGGTTATCGTCAAAGTTACGGTCAAAGTTAGGTGGTGCAACTCACCTTCCAGTTAACCTTAGAGTTAACATAGACACGCTTTGAAGCTAAATGTAATGCTTACGAGAAGTTTCAAATAGAAAATTAGTTCTATTTTCGTCCACTAGATGGCGTTGTAGCAGAATATTATATCTTTGCAAAATTTTATTTC